AGAAAGTTCTTCTAACTTTCTTTTCTTCTAATAGAAAGTTCTTCTAACTTTCTTTTCTACCCCTTTGCTTTTTGAATTCGTCATAGATTATTCGAGTGCAATCTTAGAATAGGAGGTACCGTGCGGCGTTTAAAATAAGTTAAGCGTATGTGTGTGGGTACCCATGCGATTAGTATTAAGTTAATGTATGCGTGTGTGTGTGATACAAGTTCTTTGCTGGATTGTGGTAAAGAACTTGTATATGCGAGCCTATGAGCTAAGTAGAGTCAGAACTCATTTATCCTTCTGATAAATGAGGTTGCATTTGGAGGGTGGAAGGGATTTGGAGTTAGGGCGGGTCACTATCGTAGCAACCTCCTCGTGGTGTGACCTGGTAATCGATATCGTTTTCTAAACATTTTTATAAAAATATTTAGAAAACAATATCGAGCTAATAGCTACGAATTAAATTATAGTTTCATTTGTTTCCCAGTTTCTTTTACGAAAATGTTTGGATTAAATACGCAACTTATAAGAAAATGAAAAACTATATTTTAGAGGAAATTACAGTTGAATGTGTTAGAAATATATGATAAAATATTTATTACAAATTAATTAGTGGTGAAAATGCAGGTTTAAACTCTTCTCCTTCGACCGCCATACTTTTACATTGTGCGCATGCGCAGTCACAGTTCTTTTGCTTTGCGCATTTAAATTAGTTGCGTCCTGTCTCTCTTTCTAAGAGGTAGGTTTCCTTATCTCATTTTGCCTCTTACATCTACTATTTTGTAGCATTTCAATAAATATACACTATTTTGTAGAAGCTAGAAAATATAAAAAGAACTTGGACTTTATACACCACCTAGCGTTGAGATACATAAACTAAGAAGAGCGCCTCGCAGTCCTACCTTGGAGTAAACTTGTCCATCTATGAGTATAATCAACCAATCATACTTCATGGTAAATTGACATTAGATTGTGGCATAGCGGCGTGTAAACGTGTCAAACCACGTATTCACATATAAATGTATTGAACTGTATATGTTATAAAATAATTCTTTAAGGTAATATACATTCTTTTTAACAACTAATTTATAAACTTTTCTTTCGTATGATTTCATCAGTCTTTCTAGAATGTTCAAGATAATTAATAGGTTAACTCTGATATTTCAGATGATCACGGATGTACAACTGGCTGTATTCTGTAACATCCTCGGAGCTACGTTATTTTGCTTAGTATTTCTTTTCCACTACATAAATGCAAATTATTCGAAATAAAAATATACGATGATTGTCTTAACATAACCTGCACCATGTCACGAGAAAGTTTTACAAATGGAGTTACGCAGCTATATGTTGTATTTCATACTGTTGAATAGATATCACCGAAAATAAATGCATTTACATTCATAAACAGATTTTTACTCAATAAAAATGTTATTTTTATATTCCTTCAATATAAAATCTCTACACTATACATTGTATATTACATATGATTAAAGGAGCAAGTACTATAATGTATCAAAATTGATTAATTCATCCCTTACAAATATTAATCTTGAATTAAATAGTTCACTTTTCATTATGTCAAAATAAAAAAGTGGATCCAAATAAATAGGAATGTGTGTTCGTGCGATGATAAGTTCCTATATTCAGGTAGGTCGGAAACAATGAAGTTAGCTGCTAGTAACGTATACATAGTCAAAGTGTTATGCCTTTCGCATATATATCTGCATATAGAAAATTCACAATATAATTTTAGATATCTTTACGTGTAAATTTAGAAAAGTTAATCAGCAATGACCGACGATTCCAATGGGGAATCTACATTCGAATTTGTTGAAAGAAAGACGGACGAATCGTCCACATCGGGAGAATTTGTAAAAACAGGTGAGATTAAAATGCAAAACATAAACACCTGTGTATCTGTCAAACATTCTTTCACAAATAAAAAATTATCTATACATGCCATACTTGTCTCTTATAATGATTTGTATACTAGGAGAAGTTAATAGAAAAAGTAACTGTAAACAATTTATATATACTACGCATATAGAGCATAATAAAAAACAAATACAAATATGTATCATTGAACATGCAAATGTTTGCAATATTGCTAGTCATTTATAATACATTTTTCAAGCAATGTGTTACATTTCATATTAACCATAGGAATAAATAATTTTGTCAATTGAAATCTTTGACAGTAATATTTTGTTACAAAGAACATCATTAATATGAATAATAAAAGCAATATCACTTTTAGATTCTTTCAGTAGTTTATCTTCATCCACATCTTTGTTAATGCCATTAGGCGTATCAACGTCTACTGGGAATCTGCTGTCAAATGTTGCACCACCTAGTGCATTACCTAGCTTCATTTCAAATTCTGGAGTAATAGTATCTGAGAAACCTACTAATTTGCAAATACCTACACAAAAGAAACTTCAAGAACATGAACCTATTAAATCAACATTAAACACTACAATCCAATCTAAGCCATTGCAGCAAGAATCGCATCAAGTAATTACAACTGCTGCTGTAACTCCGTCCATACAAAATGTGCAAACAACGATTCCATCAGAAAACCTGATCCAGGATACAGGAATGGTTGGTGGTGGCTTGCTATCATGGGTTAAAGAAACAGTAGTGAACAGCAATGTTTTAAGTAAAGTTGCAGAAAAAGCAAAAAACAGCATGAACACAATGATTACAACATTAGATCCTCAGATGCGTGAGTTCATTTGTAAGTAAGAAAAGTAGTAATTAAGGTGTACAGATTAAAATTTTGTTCTAATTTGTACGATTGTTAATTTTAATTATATTCTGTTTTATCAAGTTTTTTTTATTCGACCATGATATCACTGTGTGTGTAATTGTTATTGCATCATAACTGAAGAAAATATATATATGTGCTATGTTATTTTTGGACCATCAGTAGCCAAACTTAATTCAATGAACTGTGGTGTACAATCTTTCAGCTGTCATTTGCAATAAAAATTTTTGAAGTTTCAAATATAAAACAGTTCATTTATTTTCTAATTACTGATTGTTTATTAATTTAAATTATAACTCTATATGGATGTAGTAGTGATACAAATATCTTATATCAAATAGAGCAGTTCTGTAATTTATAGTGAAAATATGAACAACAACAATTTGAGGCTAAGATTTAAATAATTTTCAAATCAAACTTTCCATCATTAATGGGGACAAAAATTTGAAAAACAGAGTATAAGTTTCAGTTTGTTTGTACATGAATGGTACTGGTGCAACATGTTAGTTAACATAAAATATATACGAGCTCTTTGGAAAATGTACATTTCAGATTCTGGTGGTGACATGGAGATTATAGTTGCATCTGATAAAGACTCTAAAATAAGCCCTGTACGTCAGGCTTTTCAGACAGTTTTCGGAAAAGCAACAGTAACGTAAGTACGAATACACAATTATAACATATGTTTCATTTTATAAATTTTTTGTTCAAACAAGTGATTGCATTATAGTGGTGTAGCAGTTGAAAGTTCAGCTGTGGCTGCTCAACCAGTTGGTTTTGCTGCTGGAGTAAAAGGAGCAGAAGAGAGAATTAACTTTGCACGAAATATTCCATCTCTTCCAAAGGATATACCTATAATTGCTGTAGAAAACTTTTTATTAGAAGTGGGTGAAGACAAGTGGTACGATTTAGGTGTAGTACTTCTTAATGATCCTAAACATAACGTGAATTTACAAACGTTCACGCAAATGACGCCAGTACCAAGTCAAATAGTAACTATGGCACAAGAAGCTACACCCGAAGATTATCCTCTTAAATGGTCTGGATTGGCAGTCACTGTCGGTAGCTTGATGGCAAGCAGTCTACAGGTTTGTTTCAAGTAAAAAATATGTAACAATATCACTAAAAATATAAACAAATTATATCTTTTAAGGTTCCTCATAACGAATGGCACCACGCGCTTACTGGAATTTCCAGAAGGGATATTATACTTTTAGCAGTTCAATCGTTAGCTGGAATTTACAAAAATACGATTAATCCTATATAAATCTTTACGAAGAATATGCCAATGCAATTTATTAAAGTCTTGCAATTTTGTAAATACAATTTTACTAATTTATATATACTTGAACATCAAGATTTATTTTTTAGGCTCGTATTTTTAACATATACCTAACATTTTAGAGGATTACTGGAATCAAGAATTTAATTTCAGTTGAGGTGGCATATTTACTAACTTGGTATTTATAAATTGAAAAGTGTAATTTTAATTGTATGTGATAATATGTACAAAAAAATTAATGGACTAAAAAAGGCAAAATATATGAAAAAGTAGGTTTCTTATATGTATTTTATCGCACTCCAATTAAGCACATATACTTTATTTTATTATTAAAATAAAATTAATTCATAATTAGTTCCTAGCCCCACTTAATTTTTATCCAAATCGTCCAGAACATTAAATGATCGTATGGGTATTTTTAGCAAATAAAAACTACAAATATTTGTTTCTGAATTTCATCTTTAATTTCTTCATGTATTTTTCCAGTATGAGTACATTGCTGTTTTTGCTTTTTCATTATTAATATCTTCGGGATTCGTCCAATTATTTGAAATCGCCAACAAAAAAAGAATAACAGACTAATTGCAGTAAAAAAGCAATGTAAAAATTACAATTTTTTCTTTTCCTTTTTCTTTTATACGAAACTGGCAACCCATTGCCACCACAATAAAAATAACAATCGAGTCTTTATTTGTTGCTGATATGCTAAAAACGTAAAGCCACTAGATCTCGATAACGTGGCGTACTTAATTAAATAAATGTATAAAATATTTCTCCTTGCACTAGCATACATAGTTTCCGTTGTAATTACAATTTATTATCTTTTTCCATATTTATAATTGTGTATTTTTCACGGTTCTTTGCGCAAAACAAAGTTCATAATAAACCGATGTAGATTGTATACGGTCCGAGCAATATTAATTGAATTACAATATTTAAATAGATATTTAAATATGGTGCGCGAATCTATGGTTACAATTTATCAAGGTATGCGTTCAAGTCTGGCAGACCTTCCTTCAATCCCTTCCTTTTACGTGTTTCCTGTGAACATACAAATATTTATAATCAATATCCATTAAACAATATCTGCATATGTGTGTTACATAAAGAAAACACTGTATGTTTCCCTATTCAGGCAAACCAGGACATACTACTGGAGCACCAAAACAAAAAACAAATTTCTTTCCCACGAGATTAAAAATGGTAATGCATTAACAATTACTGATTACCACCAGTTTTGATCGTGGGTGCATTATATAAAAACTTTTGAAATAAAATGCTTACCTGCACAACTTGGTAAGGTCTAGAGTTCGGTTCCATTGGGTCACCAGGTAGAATTTGCCAATGATCGAATACACATTGTGGAAAAGCTTGTCCTCCGGTATTAGAACGCAAATCGGCAGTAAAACCGAAGGACTCATTAACTGGAAGATATGCTTTAACTACAAACATGGGTGTACCAGCAACTTGTTGTTCTTCAAATACGTGACCTCTTCTTCGGTTAAGCACACCATAAATACCACCAACGGCTACTTCTGGGCACTATAAAAAATCAATTTTATTAATAATTTATATGTAACATATTATAAATTTTTCGGTAAGTATATTTTACCTGAATTTCACATAAGTAAACTGGTTCCATAAGTCGAGGAGAGGCAGTGAGGAGACAAGCATAAAGGCAACGTCTTGTGGTAGGAATAATTTGACCACCACCTCTGTGAATAGCATCAGCGTGTAATGTCACATCATGAATGTTGAAACGTACACCTCTCAAATTTTCTTCCGAAAGAACACCCTATGTAAAATATTTCAAATTAATATAAATAATAAAAATTAATATCCAATTCTTTAGAAAACAGCTTCATACTTCTTTCGTAGCCCATTGGAATCCAGCTACAACAGAATCTTTAATTTCGTTAAGGTATTGTACTCCTTTCGAACAATCTACAAGTATGTTGGGCCCAGTTCCGTCAGGTCCGAAGCACCAAATTTTTCTGGCTTCAGTTACATCGTAATCATACTTTTCGCTCAAGTAACGAGCACGTACTTTAAAATCATCTCTTGGATTAACTTCTCCCTATTAAAGCAATAAATATTAAGTAGAGAGAAAATATGATTTCCATTTTCATCAGTTAAGATACATACACTGTCAATATCTTCAGCTAGACCATCAGGCATAGGATACGCCATCATGAACAGACGATTGTGTTTGTTGGGAGATTTTGAAAGACACATTTGATTTGACTGTTCTGAAATCGTTTCTCTATAAGATACAACAGGATCCGATTTTTTAATGGGTATGCAAGCATGGTCCTCCTCCAAATCTTTCAAACAAATTTCAAGATGAAGTTCTCCAGCACCGGCAATAATGTGCTCTCCTGATTCTTCGATGATACACTGCACCATAGGGTCAGATTTTGCCAAACGTTTGAGACCTAAGAACAAACATCTTTTTAAACAAAATTCTTTCGTCACCAGAGAAACACAATTTTTAGTAATTTTTATTCAGGTGTCAACGAAAATCATGGTTTGTCATAACCCAATGCTCAAAAAAAAATTTCATCATTTTGTTATTATGTTCTATAAAATTTCCTTAAATATATTAACTTCATACCTTCGACCAATTTGGGTAAATCGGCTGGATTTTTCGGTTCAACAGCAACACGTACAACAGGTGAAACCGAGAATTTCATGACTTTCATGTTATGTGCATCTTTAAACGTAGTAATAGTACCAGTCTTTACTAAGAATTGATCAACGCCAACAAGTCCACAAATATTACCTGCATTAAAATAAGAGAATTAGTAAATAATAACAAGTAACTTCTTGCTATTTTAATGGTATCAATTCATAAATTTCAGTTGGCCGTTCTATTGTCAATCAAAAAGTAATCAGTACAGGTCTGTGAGAACAATCATCATTATATTATATGACAAGACATTCAGAAGTTTAAACAAAACAAGATGTACAAACCAGAAGGCACATCTTCAATCGCTTCAACATAACGACCCATCATCAAAATTGTACGCTGAATGGCTTTTTCATACAGATCTTCCTTTTTGCCTGGTTGGAAATTAGGCCCCATAATACGTGCTTTCATACCAGTGCTTACTTTACCAGAAAAGACACGACCGAAAGCATAGAAACGACCTTTATCTGAAGTGGGTACCATTTTTGAAACATACATCATAAGTGGACCATTTGGATCACAGTTCTGTAAAAATAAAAGTAAGTATTTATTAGAAAAAAAATCATAAATTCGAATAAATTAAGTTAGATCATATATTTATCAGAAAACTAACTCAATATCTATCATATAATTCAGAACAGGTCTGTAATAAATTCATCATATGCATAACAATATGTTGCAAAAATATTGGAAATATAAGTACCTTAATGCCAATAGCAGCCTCATCATCAAGTGGACCTTCATACAACATTTCCATACGGTATTTTTGAGCAGTAACAGGAGATGGTAAGTGAATAGCAATCATCTGAAGTAAAGCTTCTCCAGCTGGTAACCATGTTCTCATGACAACCTAATACATAAAACAATGCTAATGTATAATTGTACACTAACAATTGATTAAAAATATTTCAATTTTAAATATCAGTGAAAAGTTCATGGTGTCATCCAAAGGATTCAGAAGAGGTGTCAGAAAAATTTAGAACAATCATCATAAATAAACGTTGAATAAGAGACAAAATTGAATGATTAAACAAAAAAATCTTACCTTAAGAAGAGCTTTACCATCCTTGTCTTTGTCTTCTGGCTTCAGAACAATTCCTAATTTTTCCAATAATTTATCTGCTTCTTCTTTTTTGTAATTCATAATGCTATCAAATACCTATTAATTAGTTTCATTTGTATTAGTATTAGACCAAAGAATATTTGTACAGTATAAAAATAATTATATAGTATCAACATACCTTATAAATTGGATCTAAGACGTACATACAGAAAGAACGTTTGTTGTCTGCTTCTTTCTGCTTGCTCCACTTCTTAGTTTTAGGGTTGAAGAAAGTTTCTCCCCACAATCTGTTCATTAGTTTTACTACGTCAATTTTGAATTTTTCGGCATACATCTCAGAAAATTGTTTTAACGTGAATGCCCAACCATGAAGACCAGAACCGAAACCGACCGATCCTTTACTGGGGTCTACTCTAACTTCACCCATAGGACCATCATCGTCCGAATATGTAGCAATAATAACGTTAACGTTTTCAACAATACGTTGGAAAGTTTGATACAGATCTTCGCTATCAAGCTGCAGTTCCAACAATGCTCTGTCCATCTTGTTCATGAACAGTACAGGCTTTATACGTTCGGCAATAGCTTGACGAAGTACAGTTTCCGTTTGCACACAAACACCTAGATAGAATTTAGAAAAAATGGTTATATAACTGTAATGATAATAATCTGATAAGTGTGATATAATATTGTGACATTGTAGCAATTGTGTCGTAGCATATTAGTCGCGGACATAAGGATAGAGGTCCACTAACAGCGTTTAAACACAATTGCCTATTTAATCTCCTTCCATTAATGCACCATTAACACTGTCAATGTGTAGTAACCAGTTAAACCAGTTTGTACACTACAGAGTAAGGCTGTTAGTGCTGGAAGGGATTTTCTTGCAAATTCATTGTATTGAATTGTTAATTCTACAAATGAAAAATACGTACCAGATACACAATCAACAACTACGAGAGCTCCATCAGTTACACGGAGTGCAGCTGTTACTTCACTAGAGAAATCTACGTGTCCAGGTGAGTCAATAAGATTAATCAAGAAACCCTTCTCATCTTTGTCACGTTGATCAGGATTTGTAATAAAAACTAAATCTTTCTCGTCGAGGGCAAAGAACATAGAAATAGCCCTATAAAAATAATATATCAATTATAAGAAAATTAAATAAGAATTAATATGTTGTGAAAGTATATGTGGCAATCTTACGTGGATTTAATTGTAATACAACGTTCTTGCTCATCTTTACGAGTATCTGTGAATCGAGTCTCACCAGCTTTGGCACCAGCAATGATACCAGCCTTGGACACAAGGGAGTCAGTCAAAGTTGACTTTCCATGATCTACGTGCGCAATGACGGACATATTTCTGATGTTTTTCTTTTTGTCCATCATGGCACGTATCTCATCTACTGTAAAGTTCACCTGAAACAAAGAATATTTTTATTAATATAAAATGAAACAAAATATATGTCCAAATTTTAGTAACAAAGAACAAAATTTCATATATAATAAATGCTATTATCAAAATATCAAAAATGTTATATTCTTTCATTTTCTATTGCTCTACAGCATAAAATTTAAAAAAATATTTTCAAAAAAAAAAATTAAGAATTTTTATACTGACCATATTGGTATAAACACTTCTCAAATCTTGGTAAATATTACTGACACATACATATTATAATATACAACAAAAGAAAGGTATCTTCCTTGTGGACATCTAGCTACACATATTTTTTTGTGCTACAGCAATTTCTGAATCTAGGTATAACTGCCTCAATTTCTATATACATCATACCAAGTATTCAACGTGTTTTTCTGTACAATGATAATGTTTGAGTAATCATTTAGATTCTAAATATCATTAATATGCTTCTCCCGGACTCACAATATTCCGAGAACATGCTGACTCGTATCAAGAGCTCTACAAAGCTCCATGACACGTTGTCTGCCGAATAAGGGGCAAAACATATTTGAACCTCAAACATTGATAACTTTGAACCTTTGTCGAGTAAAATTTTCAGGAATGTTCCGCCAGAATTTTTGCAGAACCTTCAGAGATCTTTGCCCCGGCATATCCATCGCGAGGCTCAAAATTTGTCTTCGAAAGGAGTTGCGCAATCCCAAGTAATCCGCCAGTTTTCGATTTTTCCAAACCCAGGTGACATTTGGTCTTCAAAAATATTCATACCTCTGCACTCCACACATCGTACAGATTTACACGTTCGCAATACTTTATGACGATTATACATACCATTTTGGATGTTGTCCGATTTCCGTTGGCCTGGTCAGAAATATACGTGCACCAACAATGGCGGACTCCCTGGGAAAGAACAGGAGTTCCGTGAAAGAGACAAACCTTTCACGGACGATAGAGGGCACTCGATGTCGTGCATTTTAGTATCGTGCATAGGACCAATTGGAATTTTGTAATCCCTACCACGTGGCATAATTTGCGCGCGCATAGCATTTTTTAGTGTATGACACGGAACATGTGTTGCAGCAATGTTGTGTTTGGTGCTGCCATCTTAGAACTGCATAAAAGGAGCAGAGTAAGGAAGATAAGGGGTGAAGGATAAGATAAAATTCAAAGACTATCCAATAAACATTAATTAAATGTGAGTACATTTATCGTTAGAAATTTTCTTACTTTCCATTAAGCAACGATTTACTTTTACAAAATACTGCATTAATTTTATAAATGAAATGTTGTATTATTGCTGTTACACATATAATAGGTATCCGTGTACAAAAGATAATAATTACTTATTTATTAGGATAATAGTAACGATTGTGCGTTTTCTTATATAATAAAATATTCATTCTCAGGAACGTTAGAATCTGTGCAATGTACATTCATTCATATTTTATATACATATGATAAAAGTACTTAATTTCTTAAGAGTGTAAATACTGTATCTATAATCATTTTTTCATATTGATTTTTCTAAAATTGTGTGTACTGTGCTATGCTATACCTTTTTAAATATAAAAAGATAGCGCAGGTAGAAAGTATTTTCTACATTTTATGAAACATACATGTAAAAACTTCTTAAATATTATCTAGAAATATATGTATACATATAAATAAGTGCATTTAAGTTTATAACGATTTAAGCTCGAAGTTTTAAATGATTAGATGATCACTTATTTCTGTAGTTCTTTTTATCAAGTACTGAAACTTTTTTAAAATCCGTAATACTATAATTCAATTAAAAATAGTGATCTTCTAATTCTTAACAGTATTTAACGAGTTCCTTTGCAGCTCCGTTCATGGACGCTCACGCGATCAGGATTAAACGTCCTTCCGCATCGTTTGCACGGAACTAACTGATTTAAATGCGATTTCCAGCTGGCCTCAGCCATTGCAGCTATATCAATTACCATATTTCCCGTTTCTGGATCACCTGTACATAAAATATTATTATTAAAGTAAAATAATGACATGTGCATATATTCCAAAATGATCATTAAAATAATTGCATGTTTATTGCTTATGTACATGCTGAGAATCCTAATTATAATTCAAACCTTCATTTTAACTTTATACTAACTTTACCCCTGCTGAGATGCAACCACAATATCTTTTGATCAATATAATCTCGTTGACCTTAAGGTCAGTGGCAATGTGCGAAAACACGCAATCAACGCTTAACTTTCTCACATAATGAATTCACTGACAACTCAATACTAATGGATAAAAAGCTCAAGGAATTTGTATGAAGTGAAAGAACCGCTTACAAATTAAAATGTGCGCGATTCTTGGATCTATAGATCTTTAAGAATATTGTTCTAATCACTAGTAATAACTTACGAGTATACACAGCTTCCGGTCTCTCTGGTTCTTTCCGTCTCTGATCCGGTGGCAATTTGTCATTCTCCACGTGCCACTTTTTCAGGCATTGGGGCTCGTGGATAGTTATACTACTGGTTCCAAAATCTCTGCCACATATGTAGCATGTGACCGTTCTCTTCACACTGTTATCCTAAAAGCAATTGTCTTCAAATGATTATCGACCGCAATTAACAAAACTCGCAGGACGGAAAAAGCATCGTATTTATTAGCAACACAAAATGTACACAAAATTTGATAGGAACGCTTAAAATGAATAAGGATCTTCACGTGTTCAATTTCAAACGAATTGGATGATATAAGCATGCTCTCCAGCGCGACTCACCCCTGTTGGGCTGACTAGATTTTCGTGCAAGTTAGTCGATTGCTTTTCTTTCTCTGCTTGCTGTCGTTTGATACACTGAGGTTCGTGTATCACGATGCTTCTCGTGCCAAAATTTCGGCCGCAGATTTTACAGGTGACCATAGGTGGGGTGACTCGTAACGTGCTAGCAGATTTTCCCGCAACAGGACTTTCTGATTTCTCTGGTTCAGAATTCTACAAATAGAAAGATCGTACTTTACTCTGAAAATTTCTGGAAAATAATATGTTTACCTTTGATGACTTGCAGCTTTTCTGATGTACTGCTAAGCGATTTGGGAAGAAGGTCCTACCACATTTTGGACAGGGTACCAGCTGCGCCTGGAAAATATAAAATTACATTATTGTGTTGTACTGTGATTTTATAACAGTGGAACCCTTTCATCTTAAACTTAACGAGTCGCAATGCGGTTCTAAGTTTTTAGATCAAACAAGTCGTTAAATAACTATGCCTTTATAATAAATGTAGGCCAGCACCTTGAACACGATAGGGCTAGAGGATTATAGTGCGTGACATGTTTCCTCTGTGTGGAACTTGATATTTGCATTCTTATACGTGTGTACATACGTATGCATGAGGGACGTGTAAGGGTGAGCTTTAACGAGTCACTTCATTACGCATACTATAATCGTTTCCCTCATCTAATAGCATGTTCGCGCTATAAAAATGTACAGAATAATTGCATTCGTTGAATAAATAATTTGTTGCAGTTCATACATGTAAAATTTAATACAATTTTTGAAGAACTGAAATGCCCAGTCGCGGAATACGATTATGATACGTGTAGTAATATTTGTATGAAAATTATCTCGGGGTTGATAACAGTACTATAACTAATAAGTATGTGCATATTCAGAGTCTGTTGTTACGCTCTGTTTATGATTGAATTCGCGAATAACAGCATGTAATCATTACATAATCGCTCGTTAAAGATCGTCGGCTTTTAAATGGTAATGACTCATTCGGTCAATCGAAACGCGTTTTCCTATATAGACTGCTTCCCGTATCAGCTGAAACGTAAACTTATTTCTTAAAAATCGAAAGATACCGGGCAGGACTATAGCTGCAATTTACATGTTTAAATGACAATACCTGACTTTCTTCCCAAGCTGCAGTATTCCATTCTGAATGATTTATCGCAACGTCGGGTTTCTGAGGAGTTGGGCGCCTCTGATTCGCGGGCAATGCGTTGTTCTCCCGTTCCCATTTCTACAAATAAATCATTAATTAATACTTGAATAATAATAAAATAATGTCACCTCAATTAAAAATATTTCTATAAACGATATAAAGTTTGAGGTCTCAATTTTCGTGCACGGGACACAGTAAATATTCATTAGCAAGCAAACGTGAGTTTCAAAGCGATTCACGATAACACGATCGATTTACACACAAGGCATAATTAATGTTCCTTTACAAATAGATGGATACGTAGTTCAGGTCGCTTATATAGATATATCGAACTGGACATATATAAACTGCAACTCACGTGCAAATTACATGACATTTAATGATCACCTCGTACGTTTTATCTATATCAAATGGTATTAGTTCACGTGTATGCAAATGTCTCCGATATCAAAGGACACACGCCGCATATATGTTCCTATCGATTTCGCAAAGGGCCTTGATGTATTACATACTTCCGGATAGAGTGATTCAATAATATTCATGCATCGTATTCCGTTATCGTGACCATGAATAATAGATATAGTTCAAGTTCAGCATAAAATTAGACCGGCCCTACGCTAATATTAGCATCTGTACTATAAAAGTGAAACGAGCGTGTACGTCATATTGAAACCTATATTCTAGATACTCAAATTCCTACATTCTGTTTATTCTAGATTCTTATATAGATCCCTGGATATCGATATCCTTAGATCCCGATATTCCTGAATACCGATATTTCTGAATACCGATATCCCGAATCTCGATAACTGCATCCTGATATCCTTGGATCCTTAAATCCTTGAATAGATCGTTGTATCTTGATACCTCTATGTTCCTACATCCTCAACTAACAATTTCAACTGAAATAGTTTAATGACATTTACATTTATGGAACAGAAATGTGCGAATGTAGACATGGTGAATAATTGAAGAACTTACTTGCATACACCTTGGCTCGTGAATGGGAAAACTGGCCGTACCAAATTCGCGTCCGCATATGTAACAAGTGATGGTCCTTGGCCCTTTTTTAAGCGGTACCGACGCCGGTCTGTTCGATGGACTCGATCGTTCTTGAGGACTTCCCGACTTGGTCTTTGCCTCAATGGCGATTGTTTCCTCGCTTTTGTTCTTGCTCTTATCGCTGCGGAAATGCAAGGCCACAGGTTTCTGAACGGTTTTCGGCACCGTGGCCTTTGTCTTGGTGCTCGCTGGACTCTCCTTTGTCCTGTGCTGACCGCTTTTCGGGTGACTATGAAATCGCTCCGGCTGATCCGGCTTCCCGCAACTTTTGCAAGGTTCCGGTGCGCTCTTCGTCGAAGAGGCGGTGAACATCTCTAATTCATTCTGTATCGTCGGTTTCGAACTTCTCTTCTTCAACATGGACAGAGAAGGGACCTTGTGGCCGGCCGGTTTGCTTCTAAATCGACACAGGATTATTGTTAAACCTTGAATAAGTTTAATTTTTGCGAAAATTCAATTAGTAGAAAAATGATTATAGACCTATTATTATTGTCATCTAACTTTCTGCTATCCGAAGTTTTCTTCGCCGCATTGGCTTCCTGGCCAATGATCCGTGCATGCTTCTGCATTCTTGGCGATTCCACGAACGCGTCAACGTGACCGAGCCTCGAATCCAGAATCTGTTCGAAACTACGACGTTTGTAGCGTACAGAGAGGGGACCGTTGCACCACGTCGCACCGTTTGGCGCGTGACTCTGTTGTTGGTGTTGTTCTGCAATGGTGACGCTTTGCCGGCACCTTGACGACGATGGGAACGACGACGTCCCACCACCGATTGCTTTTGACAGGCGAAACTGCGTCATAGAGTGGATGAGCAATTCCTTGCTCAATACGGACATGTCTAATTTGTCGACCAAATCTGGATCGAGCACGCTCGGCTTCTCGAGATTCGCGGTTTTCGGTCTCTCGAGATCGTTGTATACACCACGCTTCATTTTCGGTGGCCAGGTGCCTGTGTCCGGGGTCTTCGATTTTCCTCGTTGTTTCCCCTTTTCTGCGCGATTTGTGTAACATTAGCTTTACAGTGTAAAAAAATCAGCATTCAATCAGTACTTGGTAAAAATTTAGGAAAAAATCTTGTTTGAAAATGGCCACTGTAGTTACGCGAGGCTATACAACTCGTGGCGATATAGTACATGGACACGACACATGGGTAATACAGCACGTGGTGATACGCGACGGTATAACACGCAGTGTTATGTCGTGAAAAATGAAACAATAAAGTGTTACTTACTTTCCAGAATATCCAAATCGTCCTTGATTACCAAAAATGTTTTTTCTGATAGAAACTCTGTTGGTCCCTTTTTCCATTTCATGGTTTTCGTACTTGTAACAATTCAGCACTTCGAATTTGAAAAGACAATACGATAAACAATTTAAAATGTTTATTTACAAGGTTAAAAGATGAATGTTCAAGATTTCATTCTAATTATTTGGACGAATTAAATTTACTGAGTTCTAAAACATCTGATCAACTGTAAGACACTTTTAAATTAATTTTAATTTTCGAAGTCTTGAACATTTATGATTATCGCGACAAACAAACGGATCGTTTTGTAGTTATCGAATTGTTCTTTATCACAAACACTTCACTGAATTTAGCTTTCACCGGTATGTTCATGATATCACATATATTGTTCTATAATTTCTCGTCACAAAGTCAATGACAATGCGCACTGAAAATATTAATTTGTTAATTTGACAGATATGATTTACAAAATACGTCCAAGTACGTGTTAATCTTCTTGCGCGTCTTCGATGATCGACAGATCAGATAAAATGACCAGTAAATACACAAACTTAATGATTAATATAGATGTGGGCCATCGAAATAAAAAAAAGATACACGGTCTCTGTAATTTCTTCGAATATCGCAGAAAGCGTAAACCAAATATTTTTTAAATAAAGAATAAAAAATAAGCTTTTACGATTGATCGATTAATAGAGATTAGAGATCATTAGACTGATTCTTGCGCTCTTCACTTTTATCAACAAATTATTATATCGCTTTGAATTGTGCGCGACTTTTGTGGAAGAAACACGATTTTAAACGCGTAGCCCTTTGTCAGTCAAACACCCGGTGCACTATGCTTCAGTTTACCTTGCCATTGGCTACATATAGGTTGTTACCTTTCTCATTGTGGTTGACTGTGTGAGAATACAGGTGGCTAGGAAAATCGATCCAACAACTACTATTAATTAAATATTAGTATTCGTTTGCTAGTTCATTAGACATGTGTAGACTGATGTAGATTCAGCATTACGCTAACGTAAGTTAAATTAAAAACAGAATAATATTGTTGAGTGAGTTTTTGTCTATTTGCACATATTTGTTTGATTAGTGTAACATTATCCCCTACCAAAAGTACAGCGCATGCGCCTGTACAGCGATAGTTATATGTACAGAGTACAATGTATACCCCGTAATATTTTTATTTAGAATATCTTTCTACATAATCATTTCTCTCCTTCATTTGTATATTTTTATCCACCATATATATGACTAGTAAAGTTGTTTATGGAAGGGGCCAGATAGTGAGAGGTGGTAAGAGGTTTTTGCACAGTACCAAACACTCAGTGATGAGTGATGAGATATTGGTCGAATTTTTGCGCGCATGCGCGAGAAATGCAGGAGCGTACGCAGCGTATGTATTTAGTGGCGCCACTAGATGGCGTAGTGTCATTGTCAGGAAAATATTTTATTTTTATATTATATATTTTGCTTACAGTTATTTTAGTACCCTTCCTTTCCATCTGCTCCCCAAATATGAAAATATGTATATAATCTAATCTTATCCAACCTATACATTCATATTTCACAACCAAATTATAAAAATTTTTTGAAAAATAATGAGGGGTGATTAAGGTACCCCATTTTATTGAAACTTGTACCTTACTGAGACTAAAATTTCCGCGCATGCGCGAAAAAACCCGAAAACCCATCCAATATCTCATCACTGAATACACTAGTGTTTCCTGTGAATTCAAGCATAGAATAGGCAAGTAATATTTGCCGGAACCAAGAGGAGTATTAATTTCGGTATTATTAGTAATTATCAGGTAATAGACAAAAACTGCATATAATTATATGTAATATTTTATACATTGATTACATAAATAAGTATAAAATCATTAAAAGTAACATATTTACATAATTGTGCGCAAAAACATCTGGGACAAGCTCAACGACATTACTGACGAATCATATTTTTTTTATACTGTATTTACTTTAACGGTTTATTTCTCAAAAACAATTTATTTTAACACTGCAAAATTTGTATAATACTTCGTGAAAATGTAAGAATAATTCAATTTTGACTTTTTTAAAATAAGCATTTTGCTAAATTGATTTTTATAACTTATAACAATTACAAAACCGATTTTTAATATAAAAGTAATTATTATGTAAGGTATTATTTAGTTTAAAATTATACATGTAAGTTTGATGATAACTAAATATATTTGTACATTTTATTATTATACAATGTTATTTAAAATTTTTATAATTTTCATAACTGTATTTATTTTTCTCAGTAAAATGAATATTATTGATTCTTATGTAACCTGCCCATTGGAAGTATCGCATCGGATTCTAAGTAGTCGATTGCAGACGCATTTATATAAATGCTATAAAAATTTTCCAAAGGACACAAAGATAAAATGCATTTATGACGCGACACATATATTGGATTTTGATGAATATGAGGTAATTTTAAAGACATACAGTGTTTATATATAATTTTTATGTACATATTTCAAACAATAGATTGTTAGATAAATCTTAATTTTTATTATTTTTTAACAATACAAGTAACCTTATGAATTGTAGTAATTGTAAGAAAGAAAAAATTCTTGGCTTAAATTGTTACACACAAAAGAAATATATTGTCTTTCATCTTAATACTATTATTGTTTATTATTATAGCAGCATCTTGAAATATGTCCAAGCAGTGGAAATGTACGATGTTATAATACTATATTGGAACCAGTACGTAATGTAGGAATTCCAATACAGCAAGTATGCAGTCTACAGACAAATACAACAGAGGACGAAGATTGGTATGGTGTATGTAAACAATCAGCCCATTAAATGTTTTTCCCATAATCTAGAATTAAATTTGTTGCCTATTAGTTTAACACGTTGACTGCCACACTGAAGCAATTTTCAATTGCATCCAGTAGTGTTTTAATTTTTAATCAATTTTTCTAAATATTTTCACAATATCTTGTTATATTTATTTTCCATAGATCCATGTAATTAATGAGAGAATTTTCGATTAGGAAAGTGAATAAATTTTTAACAATATACATGTTAAATCAATGTGGCAATCAACATGTTAAAGTGAAAACCTATAAACCTATGGTCTATCATTTTTTACATATTAATTTTATGTATTATTGTTTCAGTTGATATATATGAATCCTTTTTCAATTTTCATTTGGATTTTCAGAATAATCCTTCATATAATCCATTAGCTGCTTCTGAAAAAAAAAATGTTATAAGACCAGCAATAGCTATGTCAAAAACAGAAAAGAAAAAATTTAGGGAATATGAAAGACAAAGGTTATTAAGTTTAGAAAAAGAAAATAATGAGAAATCTTTTGATAAGTGCAACAGTTCTGCACAAAAGCAAATAGTAAGTTTATACTTTTAGTTTATATGTATACAGGGTGTTCAGAGATTTACTAGCCAGCGTTTTTCTCGTAAACGACTGGTACGAGAGAAAAATGAAAGAGGAAAAACCCATTCCATTAGCTAGAAAGCACTTTTGGTAGTTTTATGTTATGATTAGGTCATGAATGGTGTTATGAAAATAGAAACCACATTGAACACGAAATGTAAACATATCAGTAAGAAATACCGTTAAGTACAGTAATACGAAATATTTGAAATATTTCGTTTGTTTTTGAATCTGAATGGGTCTCAAGGTCATGATATGGTACGTCATTGAATTCGTTTCGATACGCCCTTTCATATGATATAAAAAAATATATACCATTCCATTTAAAAAACTGAAGGTTGCCTTCACTTCTCAAAAAATAGTATAAACACGAAAAATTTATATACTTCATTTTTTTCTCGTACCAGTCGTTTACGAAAAAAACGCTGGCTAGTAAATCTCTAAACACCCTGTATATATGAATATGTATATGTACATATTATTTATTGTCATTTTTTTTCAGGGATGCGATGAACCATTAAGAATTCCTAAAAATATTGCTAAAGCTGTGTCTTATGATCTAAACGCTTCGACTAGTAGTGTTATTTCACGACTGAAAGACATTTCGATTAACAGCAACAATGATATTCCAGATTCAGAAAATTCTTGCAAGTTGAACCTTAATTCTTCAAAAACAAATGCAGATATAAAGACAATTTCACCTCAAAACAATAATTCTCAACTTAAACAAAAAGAAGATATACCGAATGTTAAAAAAGATACTTGTGCATCGTCTCAAAATATGAAAATGAAGGATGATACTTTGGGACCAATAAATTCAAAAACAAGCGTTAATACTTTAAAAGAAAATTTGGAAACACATAATATTAAACAAAAGCCGAATAAATATTATACTTCAGAAAGTCAGAATGGAATTGAGTTGGGTGTACAAAGAGGCATATTACATGGAGAACCAAAGAAAGTTAGCACTGGTAGAGGATTTATTCTTGCTTATCAACGTTCAGGATCTGATGTAACAAAGGGATCAAACAGAAAAGCTGGTTCTACATTAGATCGTAACTGTGATAAAAATTAAAATGACCATGACAATACTGACTTATAAGAACTTACTTTTTTATAAAGATAGGAACGTAGTATTTAGAAATCATATAGTATAGTTGTAAGAAAAATTTATTTTTTATATTTTATTATAAAACAAAGTATTTGATTTGTTTAATTATTTGAATATTGACAGATTTCAAGCAAGAAGAAACGAAACGTTAAGAAAAACATTTACTTTTCATATAGTTTAAATGAATATTTTCTATAATAAGATAAAATTTACATTATTTTAGTCTCTTCGACATTACTAATTCGTATGTAAGTGTAAATCATTATTCGATTTAAGTAAAAGCTTATCTTTATATTCATTAATTTGAATAGAATATGTATTGATATATCATTTTTATTATAAACATTTTTTATTTTTGTTCTTTGCATTATATCAATAAAGAAATACATGTTTATTTTACATTGAAATTTGTATTCACATGGCGTTTTAATATGTAAAAAAAATATAAAAGTCAATACTTTATTGAAAAGTATTTAATTAAAGTCAATTACGTTTGAGAACTCGTATTTAATTTATATTTTGATGTTCACTGCCTTCAAACAATGCTATTAACGCCATCTAGCTGGCAAGTGGACCCCGAAATTTAGCCATCTAGTGGTAGAAAGTGGCAATTAATGGAAGTAAATTATCTTATGAAATATGAAGTTAGGTTACGATGAGGTTATGTCTAATTAAAATTAAATTAAATTGAGATTAGATTGTGGTAGGACTAGATTAAATGCGGATTAAGTTGTAATAACGCTAGTTTAACAATAAAAGAGCTTTCATATTGTAATACAATGACTTATTTTATTTAGTTGTTTGCAGTCATATTACAGAACATACCTAGACCCAACCATTTCGTAAATTTTTTGAACGAACTCGGTCTGAGTGTCTATTCTGAAGTTTTCAAAAAGCCAACTGATACAAACCATTCTTGATTGTCATCACAGTATATTAATATATTAACATTACATATATCATTTTGTTACTGTTATAAACAGAATTTTACAAAATGGTAAGTATATAAGTTATCACTTTATTGAAAACATTAATTACTCTCTGTTTAAAGAATATCATTATTAAAGAGGTTATTTTTAAACTGCATTGTCATGCATTGAAAACAATATTTCTCAAATCATAATAATAAAATAGTATTCATTTAAGTTTACATTTTAATTAATTTTTGCAATATTTAATATTTACTATATCTTTTATTATAGATTTTATTATTTATAATATCTATATAATATTCAATGATTTATTTAGTAAACTAAGTTTCTATATATTTAATTCATATTATCATTTATATTACAGGCACGTAGATATGATACACGTACAACTATTTTTTCACCTGAGGGTAGGCTTTATCAAGTAGAATATGCAATGGAAGCTATAAGTCATGCAGGCACCTGTGTTGGTATTTTAGCAACTGATGGTGTACTACTTGTAGCTGAAAGACGTAATACAAATAAACTTTTGGATGAAGTCCATTATTCTGAAAAGATTTACAAACTCAATGATGATATTGTGTGTTGTGTGGCTGGTATTACGTCTGATGCTAATGTATTAACAAATGAACTGCGTGTAAATGCACAACGTCATTTACTACGATATGGAGAACCAATCCATTGCGAACAGCTTGTTTCTTGGCTTTGTGATTTAAAACAAGCATATACACAGTTTGGTGGAAAAAGGCCTTTTGGTGTTTCAATTTTGTATATGGGATGGGATAAACATTATGGATACCAATTGTATCAATCAGATCCAAGTGGAAATTATGGAGGATGGAAAGCAACTTGCATTGGATATAATTCTGCCGCTGCTGTGTCTTCATTAAAACAGGAATATGATAATAATAACATAACATTAGCAGATGCTAAAGCATTAGCTATTAAAGTGCTATCAAAGACATTAGATCTGAATAAATTGTCTGGAGATAAAGGTAAATGTATATGGCATATTAACTGTAATGTTAATTTATTATTTTGACCTCAAGTCTAGAATGTAATAAATCACATTTTTTAGATATTTAAATTTTATTTACTGTAATAATGTATAATTTTTTTATTATTTCAGTGGAGATAGTCACTTTGACAAGAGAAAATGGCAAAACTGTTACTAAGATTCTTCCTGTAAATGAAGTTGATGCCTTAATTGCTGAACATGATCGTTTAGAAGCACTTGCTGAACAAGCCAAGAAAGAAAAACAAAAATTGTAGAATAAAAAATATATATGTATTTTATTTTCATCTTGATACCATTGTTTACATAAATATTATCCTGAATATTATCTGATTTTATTTGTACCATACATCAATTGTTAAAGAATAACAATCAAATAGATAATCAAATAGAAAAATAGTGTTTTCCATGCTGACATAAATGAACTGTTTTCTTTTTAAATTATGCTTGATGCATTATTCTAATATTTTTGTTACAATTAGTATTTATATATGGAAAAATATAACTGACTTTTATTTTATATAGTAAATTTTCAAACAATATGCATTTATTAATAATTCAGTAGCTTATTTAAGAATTAAAAACAAAGACTAAATGTGTACTTAACTGTTATTTAATTATTATGTCTTGTTTATTTGTATGATCACAAATATAACTTTAAAATTATACAAGTGGGTGAAAAAGATCTTTATGGAGATCTTATGAAAAGAATCAGGAGATTCTTTTCAACCCATGTTTTTATATAATAAAGTACTTTACAATATAAGTAAAAGATGAAACCCTTTTTAATAATTAATAAAATAATAGAGATTTATTAACAGTTTTCGATAACAAAATATAAACAAACTACAAAATCATAATTTCAAAGTTAAACTAAAATGTATGACTACTTATAGCTACTATTATACAGGAAAAATAAATTGTTAAATAACATTAATAACATTAAAAGTACTAAAAAATATTTAACATTTTATTAAACTTTTCTAAAACTAGAGAAATGCAAAGATATACACTACATTTAAGATACAAATATGATTTGATGTGTTTTATACAACCAACAAATATTTATTTCTATAAACTAATGAATACATTTTTAAATAAACAAATATAATTAAATTATTTAAACTAATGAATAAAGACATGAAAAAAAGTAAAAAAAGTTATGAGTCGAGTCATATTGACCAGGCTGTCGATACGGTCCCACTCCCGGGCGCGATCCCACTACTGCCCGCCACGGAGACTTTTGGCTGCTGGGTTTCCCCTCTGGCCCGGTTCGCCTCTCCTTAGCCAACCTGGCCATCCCGGATTCCTCCAGGATGTCCATATTGATGGCGAGCTTAGTGCGGACGCCCAGTCAACGTGAGTCCCGCACCAACAGGTACCCCCGACCTCAGACCCTCCATCATAACCAGCCTCCGAGTAGCCGGATTACAGGAGCCGCCACACTCCCAGCTGACAACACCTTCTACTATTCGTGTATTTTAGTTAAACCTTTCATGTACCTTTTTACGTAATAACACGGTCCAAAGGAGTCCTGATATTAATAAAAATTTGTAAATGTAATTCGTAAGATTTAATTTTCTACTTACAAAGTTATACTGATATAATAACGCAATAACTGATAACGAAACGTTCTTGGGCATCACAGTTAAATGATTAAATGAGTGGTAAAGTTGATCTAAATTCAGCTAACGAAAGAAGTGTAGTCCTAATAAAGAATTTATTGTAAAGTAATAAATTTAGTAAACTAATAATGCTATGGAAGTCGAATCTTTCTAAGTTTTTAAATTTTGTGTTATTACGCACTTCGAAAATATATACAGTTTTCGCCATCTTGCGGTAAAGTAATAGACTGTAATCAAAATATGAAGCTGTACCACAGTAGATATGGTAGTTTCTGTTCTGAAGAAACATTTTCATCCTGTCCATCTACAAAAATTTAATTGTCATATGTTCTAAGTATATTGTCAGCTTGACGATTAGTAATAGCACTCAATGATTTTACTTTATAGTACTTATGTTACATTTCTCAGAAATAATCGTAGTTGAAAATTCGTGTTCATGGTGGTTGTCATACTAGTTACACTGAAATTTAAATGACAATCAGTTTGATCAAATCGTGATATTAATACGTATCGGATCTTTCGTAAACAAGGAAGGTTGAATTTGTTATTTAAGACGTTTATTTTTTTTAAATTTTACCACAACGGGGGCCGAACAGTCAATAATGTCCGTCTCTCAGATGGAAAGTATCCTTTTTCTAAATATTTTTCATGTTTTACTTATGTAATTTGAAGTGCAACGGTGATTATTTTTAATTGACAGTCATTAATTTTTAAAATTCAAAGTATAATTTTTAGTGTCAAAAAGTAATAATTATTTGTTCATTTTTAATTTTTTTAAATTTTCAACTTAATTACTTTCACTTTATTCATAAATGACAACTCTTGTTTTGATAGAATTACTAATTGTTTTTTTCAAATTGGAATAAGTAATATTTTATAAGGTTAAAAAGTTCTTAAGGGAATTTTACTTATACTTTTTAACAAAAAGGATTAGAATATTTTCCTGAACTAGTTTTCAGAAAACTTGTTTAATCTTAAGTTTGCCGTGAAAGAGTTGGAAAGAAATTCAAAAAAATGTGAGAAGGAGGAGAAAGTCGAGAAAGCCAAAATAAAGAAGGCAATACAAAAAGGTAATATGGAAGGTGCTCGTATCCATGCTGAAAATGCAATTCGTCAAAAAAATCAAGCATTGAATTATTTGCGCATGAGTGCAAGGGTCGATGCAACACCTTCTACTATTCGTGTATTTTAGTTAAACCTTTCATGTACCTTTTTACGTAATAACACGGTCCAAAGGAGTCCTGATATTAATAAAAATTTGTAAATGTAATTCGTAAGATTTAATTTTCTACTTACAAAGTTATACTGATATAATAACGCAATAACTGATAACGAAACGTTCTTGGGCATCACAGTTAAATGATTAAATGAGTGGTAAAGTTGATCTAAATTCAGCTAACGAAAGAAGTGTAGTCCTAATAAAGAATTTATTGTAAAGTAATAAATTTAGTAAACTAATAATGCTATGGAAGTCGAATCTTTCTAAGTTTTTAAATTTTGTGTTATTACGCACTTCGAAAATATATACAGTTTTCGCCATCTTGCGGTAAAGTAATAGACTGTAATCAAAATATGAAGCTGTACCACAGTAGATATGGTAGTTTCTGTTCTGAAGAAACATTTTCATCCTGTCCATCTACAAAAATTTAATTGTCATATGTTCTAAGTATATTGTCAGCTTGACGATTAGTAATAGCACTCAATGATTTTACTTTATAGTACTTATGTTACATTTCTCAGAAATAATCGTAGTTGAAAATTCGTGTTCATGGTGGTTGTCATACTAGTTACACTGAAATTTAAATGACAATCAGTTTGATCAAATCGTGATATTAATACGTATCGGATCTTTCGTAAACAAGGAAGGTTGAATTTGTTATTTAAGACGTTTATTTTTTTTAAATTTTACCACAACGGGGGCCGAACAGTCAATAATGTCCGTCTCTCAGATGGAAAGTATCCTTTTTCTAAATATTTTTCATGTTTTACTTATGTAATTTGAAGTGCAACGGTGATTATTTTTAATTGACAGTCATTAATTTTTAAAATTCAAAGTATAATTTTTAGTGTCAAAAAGTAATAATTATTTGTTCATTTTTAATTTTTTTAAATTTTCAACTTAATTACTTTCACTTTATTCATAAATGACAACTCTTGTTTTGATAGAATTACTAATTGTTTTTTTCAAATTGGAATAAGTAATATTTTATAAGGTTAAAAAGTTCTTAAGGGAATTTTACTTATACTTTTTAACAAAAAGGATTAGAATATTTTCCTGAACTAGTTTTCAGAAAACTTGTTTAATCTTAAGTTTGCCGTGAAAGAGTTGGAAAGAAATTCAAAAAAATGTGAGAAGGAGGAGAAAGTCGAGAAAGCCAAAATAAAGAAGGCAATACAAAAAGGTAATATGGAAGGTGCTCGTATCCATGCTGAAAATGCAATTCGTCAAAAAAATCAAGCATTGAATTATTTGCGCATGAGTGCAAGGGTCGATGCTGTAGCTAGTAGAGTACAGACTGCTTTAACTACACGTAAAGTTACTCAATCAATGGCTGGAGTAGTTAAAGCTATGGACGCAGCAATGAAATCTATGAATTTAGAAAAGATTTCAGGTAATTGAATACAAGTCAATATTTTTTATATATTTAATTCAGACATAAAAATATTAGGTACAAGGGTAATAATATTGAAATTAATATATTATAACTTTAATCCTAGGTTTAATGGATAAATTCGAAAGTCAGTTTGAGGACTTAGATGTACAGAGTTCATACATGGAAAATGCTATGTCTCAAACTACAACTACAAATGTTCCACAAAATGATGTTGACAATTTATTACAACAAGTAGCAGATGAAGCTGGGTAAGTATTTGTGTTAGAACTATTTTGTAATAATTAAATCACCTTAATATTAAAGATAAGATTAATAATAAGTTTTATATATAATTGTTTACAGTCTAGAATTGAATATGGAATTACCATCTGGTCAATTAAGTACTATAGGGTCTTCTACTGTTAGTCAAGAACAGGATGAGCTTACACAACGATTAGCAAGACTTCGTGAATAGTAATATATACATTATTATTACATCATAGGTACATAATAAATGGAAAATTTAATTGATGCTTACGTACTATAACCAGCATTAACTTGTTAAAAACAAAAAACAAAGAAACATTTTTTAAAACGCACTTTATGATCTTAAAAATAGATATATTTTTTATTTACATTTTTCATACAAAACTATCTGAATAGGACAGTGAACAATAAATCAAGTCTACTACAATAGTTGTTCTATTTAAGTAGTTTAATATGAACTAATATTTTATTAAGTTAATTACATATTAACAATTATACAAATAAATATATCTGTATATGTTATTTAATAAATGTACGTATTCGTTATTGAAAAATTACACTCATAAAAATAAGTAGAATTAAGAAATGTGACATGTAGAAAAAGTGAATTAATGAATATCTGCTTGTATTTTAAATAAGATTTAAAGCTATATGTACATTTATTGTAACATATATAAATAATGAATGTGTTAAGACATTCAAATTATATTTAAATGAGATATAATTTTAATGTATCTACTGATTATTACTTAATTTAAAAAGTTTCCAATTTTTTGTGTAATAAAAGAGTATTACCGAAACATTATTATATAAAATAAGTAATAATTTTTGCAATATATTCGATAAAGAATAAATTATTGAAACATAAAAATATAATTTAATATACAAATCGATTTATCAAAATACAAGAACTTTATTCATTTTATACAGATATTCTATAATTTGTAGTAAGATGCTTGTATTATACATATATCACATGTTAAATACACAATGCTATAGCAAGTTCACCGTGTTTTATAAAAATAAATTTATATAATAAATATTTTAATAAGTGGTATTCTTACTTAACTAATGATAATAAAAAATATTTGATAACTGCACATCTATGATGCAGCAGTATTTTCATCAGTTCCTGAACTGTAACAAGGATATTTTTCTATCCAAATTGTACAAAAACATTCAGCTTGTTTCAAAATGACAACTTTTTCCTTATGAAATTCTAGAAATTTAAAATAAATAATGTTTATTAAGATTTGTCTGTGTAAATGTGTTAAATCTGTGGTAATAAATTTTAATTTACCTAAACAAAGAGAAAATGCACGTGCAGCGTCTTTTTTACTATAGCTTTCTGGTGAAATTATATCTTCAAATTTAATCATTCCTTTCTCATGCCATTGTACTTCCATTAATGCTAACAGTTCATGTTTAGTTAAACGTGTTTCAGAACTATAATAAAAAAATATGAAATTAAAAAGGTATTCTGAGTAATTAGTTTTAACTTGTACAAAGAATAGCTGACCTAACAGAAGTAGATTCTGACTTTCTACCATTCAACTTCTCTAGTTTGACAGATGATTCTCTAAGAAATAAAAATAAACATTATATAATAATATTCTCAATATTTACAATGACGTATTGGTGCAAATATTTCATACCTAATTTTGTGTTCAATATCAGTGATATCAGGAAGTTCAACTATAGGTTCTTGACCTTCCTTCATTTCTGTTATATGATTCTCATCGGATAATTTTGGCTGAAAACCGTTTATCGGCGGTATTTTCTCTAGTGTCTTAGACTGATCAGTTGTATCAGTTGTAGTTATTGCAAGTTTGCTAGATATTTCAGCTGTTTGATCTCGTATTTTACTTGATATATCCGCACGTATAGTTTCTCCATCTACAAAATTGGCATTATAAAGTTGCTTTGCATTTCCGGAAATCAATTATTTTTCTAAATAATTTTACGCTTACGTATTGTATCTTCAATTTCAAAGTCAAGTATTTCATATTCGTTTTGCGCGACAAAGGGTCCAATAAGATGTTGTTCAAACAGTTTGATCAACGATCTTCCTCGCGATTTATTAAAAATCATCACCGAAGGTTGCATTATATATTCCATTACTGATGGTAAAGTAGTTGCAAATCGAGGATGTTTCTGAAAAATAAATTTAATTTTTATTAATACCGTTTTACTTTATTGAATTTACTTTAATGGTTTGAAACAAGTAAATGTCAACTAACTATAGTATGAGCTGAAATATTCCGAATCCAACTTTGCATTACAGTATCGCTCAATTTAGTCTCTTTATCGCTAAACTTTCGTTTCTTCTTGGTCTTTGTTAAGCCAACTATCGCTTCACGCTCAAGATTCTGTTGAGCTTGCTCTTGCTGTTCTGGAATCGGTACTGGTTCAGGTAAGAGTTCAGGTATCGGTTCAGGTACTGGCTCAGGTATCGGTCCAGGTACTGTTTCCGGTAATGGCGCAAGTACCGGAGGTGTCTTTTCTTCAGGACTTATCTGCAAAAAAAATCACATAATATTATCACTCTTTTCTTTAGTTACACTTTATGTCCCAAGTTTTCTAATTTTAATTTCTACTTTAAATTATATCGAATACACAAAGTTTTTTCTTTCGTACTTTACGCCTTTTTGTTGCAACTTCGTCAGAATATTTCAGACTTCTCTTTTTGGAAATTGGAGGAGTAAGCTTTTTCAGCTGACCGCCTAAAATATAATAATAACAATGTATTAACAAATTCTGTTAGTACTGTACTGATTTTTAAATACCTTCAACAGCAATTAAAGATTCTCGTTGATCTCTTCTCGCAGACGCTAAACGTTTTTCCTCCTCAGTTTCAATGACGTCTATTTGAAATTGGTCAATATCAACCAAAGGTACTTGCATTTTTGATTCTTCAATCGCTTCTTCCGAGTTATCCCAACGAAATTTTCGTATATCATTTCTAAATAAGTAATGTTAAAAAAGATCAGTAAATAACATCAAATCTATGTGTAATGTACATGAATTTGGATCGAACGCGTAGAGTTTGAGACTGTAGTTAGGATAGTTTAGGATCAAGAAACTTGTGGAAGCATGGGAAACTAACAAGGATTGGTCTTCTCCTCCAAGGAATATAAATTTCTCCATTTCTTGGCTGGTCAGCACTCCAAAATTCATTTCATCTTGCATCTACATTCAAACAACTTTACTAAGTATTGAAACATTTTAATTTTCAAACGAAATTTTTTTAACGTTTAACTGGTACAACTATTATTACATGAAAATATTATTCATTATTTTATAATAAAATTTTCATTATGTCTTTTAAACCTTTAACTATAGTTGTCAATAAAGAATTTTAGAATATGTTATTTAAAACAATTATAATCAATTTTCATGAAGGTGTTTTGTAGGAATGTTATTTTTCTTTTCTGCAATCATTTTTTCCTTACCAAGTGTTCTATAACGGAAGTGTAAGGTTCTTCCGTGATAAGATGTAAATTGGATGCAGTTTCTAAATTTCGAAATACTTCATTTATAGGGGGTACATCCGGTAGTTCAAAAATTCCGGCAGTATTGAGACCCAATTCCGATTTACTAAAAGACAATTATTAAGAATATAAATACATTCCATTTTTATAAGAATTTGTACCAAATACATCTTAAGAATATTTTAAACATATTTTCTAATTAATTAAAAACGTTGTTACCCTTGAAAAATTACCTGTGAATTGTAAGCAGTTTCCTGTACATACAAAATAGGTAATCTAAAATAAAAATGAATTAATAATTAATTAAAATTTATAATAATAATTTATTATTAATAAAAATTTTTAAAATACCTTGAAAAATTTTAGTCTGATAAAAAAGTATTTTTGTAACTCCATACATTAACTGCGACGAAAGATATAGACTGAATCTGCCATAGCTTCTTCTGTCGCGTATTTCGACCGTTACCAAAATCTCTTCGCTAAAAATCAAAAAATAAGTTCTTGATTTTATATAAATAATTGCTAAAACATTATAAATAGTAATTACATGTATTTTAATTGTTGAAACATTACACTTATTTTAACGCAACTTAGAATTTTTAACAATGAAAGTTTTACCATAACAATGAAACAAGAAAGCAATGAATAAAAAAAAGCAAAACTCGCATCTTACCAAATACGATACACATCAATCTTCGAAATGAGATTGGGTTTGCAAAATTTTTTAAACATTTTCTCGCTGACAGTTGCAGCCAGCCAGCATCGTGCCAATTTTCCCTTTCGCCGAAGGGAAAGCAATTCAGTTGAATAAAACATTCAGAGCAATTAAATAAACAATATATAAGTAAAATGTGAGTTCTGCCGTTTTTGTTTCTAACGGTTCGTTACGAATAAGTTCGATTACAGCATCGATTAATCGATTTTTATTGAAACGCGCTCCATCTACAAGATTTAAATTTAAGTATGACTCTCGTTGAAACTACGCAATGCGCATTCGCAATGCGCAGTACATTTATTGCGCTTGCGTGAATTAGCAAGAACACCTACATATGCATATGACTTACATATAGGCTGCATAATACAGCGTACCTTTTCTAACGTTATATCGCTTTGTCAACTCTATTCTTATGTGTAAGAAGTTCTATACACACTTGAATACAACGGTTGATTAAGAAAAGTCATGCTACGCTCAACTTATCGCTGACTACTTTCACGTTATCTGTCAATAATACCAACAAAATATAATATTTTATGATAATTGAATATACAGAAACAGTTATTCTTTGTATTGTTTAATAATTTTACTAGTGATATATTATATTTACATTTGTTATTGTACAATTTTTTAATACCTAACACGAGTCAGTTGTAAATAAATCATCGTACTTGGATAATATAGTATGTATAGCAAAATTGAGTCATAGCTGATCAAGCTGAGCTGTCACATTTTGTGACTTCGAATAACCCTTGTTATTCTCCCACGTAAGGGCATGTGAGATCATATCAATTTTCTCTAATTGTGACAAGAACGATAAACGAAAATGTTTTCGAGTGGACCAAATTACACAAAACTAAAGACGCATTTGCGTCTTGCAATAAATCGATTGAAATTGCTTGAGAAAAAGAAAACTGAACTTGCACAGAAAGCACGAAAAGAAATAGCCGATTACATAGCCGCAGGAAAAACTGAAAGAGCAAAAATACGAGTTGAACATATTATTAGGGAAGATTACATGGTCGAAGCTATGGAATTGCTCGAGATGTATTGTGATCTTTTATTAGCACGTTTTGGACTTATTCAACAAATGAAGTAAGAACTTTAAGATTACTTTGATTTTACTTTCTGCGCTTTACTTAAATATCATTCTTATGGTTATCGTTGTAGAAACTTGGATGAAGGATTAGCAGAGGCTATTTCTACAATAATTTGGGCTGCTCCCAGAATTCAGACTGATGTTCAAGAAATTAAAGTAATCGCTGATATTTTAACATCTAAGTATGGCAAGCCGTACACAGATGCTTGCAGAGAAGAAGCAGTGCAAACTATTTCTGAGAAGTTAAAGCACAAAATGAGTGTACAGTCACCATCTAAGCTTCTTGTAGAAAAGTATCTTATAGAGATTGCAAAAAATTATAATGTTGAATATGAACCAGATCCACAGGTGAAAACAATGAATTACAATTAATAATAATAAATGACATTATATAATATTTCTTTATTTTTAATTACTGATATTACAGGTAATGTCAGAAGGTCAGGATGCTCTTCTGATTGATGTTGGAGGTAGTGGTGAAACTAGAAATAATTTAGATACAGCTTCTGGTGGTGGTATACCACAACCACTTGGATTTATTGGTTTTCCTCAACCTCCACTGTTACCAAATCCAACAGCAAACTTAATTGTAAATAATTGCCATACATCTACATGTACTTTACTTAAATTTTTTATACTACAGTGTGGTAAATATCATTCTTATTTTTACTTGTCTCTTTAGAATTCAGAGAAAGGACCTATTGGATTTATACCTCCATCGGTACCCTTAGAAAATAAAGACCAAAATGTTCCTTACAACCCAAATAATGTTTCTTATAATATTCCTTTGGATAACTCAAATAGCAATAAACCTGTAAGTATTATAATATTTAAATTACTTCCACCATTTATATCATAGTATAAATCTTGCAAACAGTTTAATTGTGTGATTAATTAATTTTTGTGTGTGCAGGAAAATGATTTGCCACCACCATATGGATCGTTTCCTCCTGATTTAAATAAACAGGTAATAGAGCAATAAAAATGATAGATGACAATTAATCATAACATGTATTTTTAGTTATATTTATTTTATATAACATATTTATGATATTCTGTTGCAGTCTGATCAAAAACCAAAACCACAACCACGATCAAAAATGCCGATGAATGATTTTCAGCTTCCAGATCTACCAGCTGTACCATCTGAGAATGATTTACCTTCAAATAATCCATCAAGTAGCGAAGATATTGATTTCGACGATTTAATGAAACGCTTTGAAGATTTAAAGAAAAGAAAATAGTTTATATTTATAAAATATATTAGATATAATATATATCTCGAAAAACAGAAAATGTAGGTAGTAAAAAGGAAAAATAATATGATTTTATTACTGAAAAGATATGTTATATTACAGTATTGACAATATATTTTAGCAATATCAATTTAAAAACAATAATTTAAACAATCGAAATTTTGCAATGCTGTAAAGAATTATACGAACATTACACAACCAAGAAAGTGCAATTTTACATATAAAAGCTATTGTATGCTTAAGTAAATGCACTCAGACAATTATTTATAACTTCTATTGCTTATTGCACATATATCTTTAATATAATATTTTTACCTTCTTATATAGTTGAAAAAATTAGAATGAATGCACTTTTTTAATTTTCCCAATCTTCACATCGCTAAAAAACAAATCATTTGCTTATTTTGATTGTGATATACTGCTTATTTTCATATTATAGTATTTACGTTAAAACAAAAAATAAAAAGTTGATTACAACGAAAATAAAGTTAGTATTAATTTTGTAAATATTAACAAATATTAACTTGTTGTCCTTTTTCAGCCAAACACGTTAAAAGATTCTGTGAAAATTCGCACTTTTCTCTCTTGTTTGATTCAAGGTAATGGAAGCATTCTATTATTGATTCTTCAACAAAATCTTTCAATTCTGGATCTTGAATATTTTGGGTCATTAATGGTATTACCAAATCCCTTTCTGGAAATCCTTTTTGATCCACCTATTTTTTTCATAAATTAGAAACAAGAAAATTAGGTACTGTAGATTTTTAAATTAAATAAATGCATGAAACATTACTTACAACATTCAGTTCATTAAAGAAACACTGCACAACACACTGAAAAATGTTACAATTATTCATTTTTTATACTCTAATATAATGTGCAAAGAAACAAAAATTTTCAAAAGATATTATAAAACATAAAATTGAAATAGTTAATAATTCTTACAGCCTGTTCTCGGTCGGTATTATTGTTAGACTTCATACTTCCATTATTCATTTCTCGATTATGAAAATTACTTCTATTATTTTGTACATTTCGTGAATTCCATGAATCCTGATCATTTGATCTACGAATATGCCTTATATTATGAAAATGTTTGATATTCCTGTTAATTGAACGGTCAGATGTATTTATATTGCTGTTCCTATTAGAGTTCCTGTAGCAATGAAAAATATGATTACTATTTATTAATAACAACAATAAATGTCAAGAAACAAATGTCTTTATGGAAAAATTAAAAAAATTTGTATATGTCTCTTTCTATATTTTTGTTGACCTAAGCAACCTCATCCAAGGCCATATAGCGAGACTCCACTCTATGTCATTATCAACCGTCTATTTAAATCGCACCTATATCTCTGAGTGTTTGTAGATTGATTATAAGATTGGTCGCCTTTTTTATCAAAAAAATTTTTTTCATAAATATTCTCATCAGAATTTGAATCGCTTTCTGAACTGTTGTTTTCTGTAGAAGTAGAATCTTCCGAGTTATCTGTGTTTGAATCAGCATATCGTTTCCTGCAGGTCGTCAACACTTTTTGGAATTGCACGTCGACTTCTTGATTTCCGGAACGACATTTTAAGGACTAAAAGATCATATGTTATTATCCGAAAATAGTGTTTTAACTAATTTTTAATGCAAAAAATTATATTAAATGAATGTCTTAAAAATATTTTGTAAACAACTTACTGTTCCCTCGTGAAAAAAAAATAAAATAATCCAAGTTAAAATAAGCGGTTCGAAATGTTTCATGGTGTCTACGTTTCGTAAAGTTAACGTACGATTGATAAAAACATGTTCTCGTTTGGTCGAATATATAAGGGAAATTAACAGGAAAACGTGCTGACATTAATTGCATATCATTCTATCTTTGAAAAGAATTCAAAATCAGTGAACGTTTCGATGACACGGTGTATCCTGAATTATACGTTTCCGGTTGCACACGAATTACATAAACTGGAACGAACAAGCGTTACGATTTTCATTGTATTTGTTGCGGATCGGTTATAGGTAAAAAGCCTACCCCCGTTATCTTGATATGACATATATATGTATGTTTGGCTTTTGTCATACTTCGACAAAATGTATACGGATAAACCATTGATGATCAACTTTGAATTAGATTTTAACTAAACAAATTATTTAAAATGGTATACCTATTGTATTTCAACATCTCGAAAATTCGATAGTATCGATGGTATGATTGACGTATTACGGAGGGGATAAAAGGGAGAGGAAATATGAAAGTTGGTCGCATGATACAATGAAATTTGTCAATCTATTTTCTTATTCAATTTGTTTCGAACGCCAATAATGCATATCAAATTTCTCGTAAGTGTTTGCTTTTACATAAATATAAATTGAATAACTTGTTTGTTAAATTTCAATTACTTAAATCGACTAAAAAGTAACAAAAAAATCGTTCAAACTACTGTAGTGCCAAACAGTTTTTAAACATGCATACTTTCTTCGTGAATTTTCAATTTAATACTATTTTAAATATTTCATTTAAAGTGGTATAAAATTAATGTCTTGTACTGAAGGAACATCGCTTGCAATTTTGCTATATCGAATTTATATAATTTTTAAAATTTCTAAATTAAAAATTTTCAAAATATTTTTAAATATGACTATTAATTTAAATTCTTCTTAGTTATGGTATTAACACCATTCGTATTATAAGTCGTAGAAATGGAAAAGTGACAGAACATTATATTACGAAAAAACCGTGAAAGCGAAACAAATCACTGGTGAACTCATGACTTGTAACGTTAGCTTGTTTTATTGAAACGACCACTTTACCGAAATATTAAAACCTACAAACTAATGGAAGATATTTATACTAATTAGAATGTTTCCCCGAAAGAATAATTTTAATCAATATTTCAAATGCATAGATTAATGATTTTCTTTTATTTCTAGTTTTTTACTAATGTAATCATCGTATTCGCGAACAATGTCTCGTGGGCAAATCAACAACGCCATAGATTTTACGATCAACAGTTATCATCACGTGGTAAAAATGATTCGAAGCTTATAACGAGAGAAAGCAATAAAGAATTACAACTACAGGAGTTGAAAAAGGATAAACCAATAATTAAACAACGTGTGGACGAGAAAGAAGAAACCGAAACTCCTTGGAGCTTATCGAAAGAAAACGATAGATTGCAATTTCACATACAGGGTCACGAAGGACCACAAACTTACATTTTTGGATTCGATACTGGTTACGGGTAAATCACACTATTTATCCACAATGAAATAGTGACAATATCAGCATTCAATGAGCCCAAAACATCATTAATTTTTGTAGTTCCATCAGAATATATTATGTATAAATTGGCGAAATGAACTATTATAAATAAATAATACATAATTATTTTTTAACGAACTTCCTAATTTCTATTTATAAAAGTTAAATTTATTTATTACAAACTTTCAATTCGAATTTTGTGTACATATGCATGTGTAACATTGTGAACTTATCTTTATTCGTTTCAGAAAGAATAGACAGTATAGACTGGAAGAAAGACATCGGGATGGCACGATAAAAGGACAATACGGTTATTACGATGCGAAGGGAAAATTAAGAACAGTTCGATATATTGCAAAACCGTTTGAAGGTTATACAGAAATACACCATGAAAGTAACATGGACAAGTTAATAAGTTAAATGGAAAATTGAACTTATAAATTAAATTAACCTTTAGCGTACGAGTAGAGAAATCTCAATCTCCGAAAATTTGTTCTGAACGTTAATACAAAATCATAGCTGTCTATAATATTAAAATACCAGAAGATACATCTTAAAAACTATTTGAATAAATTTATAATGGGTAACTTTAATGACCCCACTCCGTTAGTTACGTTTCAAAACATATTTTGTACTGCAAAGGTTAAACATAGGTATAATACTCTTGACATAATTTTTAAAATTTTCTAATCACAGGCTCTAGAAATTATAACATTTAACGAAAAAAAATAGTATTAAAACATTCAATTAACAATAACAACACCTAGATAAAAAAAATACAAAATAAAGTTAAACTTCGATACAAATTAAATGTCCAGGTAGTAACAAAATTGTAGAGAAGCGTACATATCTGTTATAGTACATACATACATCATACCCATAAAATACACCCACTTCCAAAAGTACTCAAATGAAAAATATTAAATTAAAATGCCCATTTACAAAACTATTTATAACAATCTTTAATTAATTTGTGCACTGCTGAAGAATTATTTATATAAAATATACATTGTTTTAAATTAAATAAATAATTTAAAAATATTGTTCTAAGATTTTCATTTCATTTGACATACTTTTTGTTCGTATTCCTTTAAAATTTCTAACTTTTTTAGAACTGCTATTTTTACATTTCAGAAATGTAAACTTGCTTTAATGCCTTTTTTTTTTTGGTTTATTAAATGGAACTTATAATTATATATCCTCCCTAAATATAAAACTTAAATAAGTTATTATAAATTTTTTAGAATTTTCAAAAAATGAAAATAAGTAATTTAATATAATCCCACCCATTATAACAAAAAGCTACGATTTTTTAAAATACTCAAATAGCCAAAACAAAAATATTCCTTTTCCCAATTGACGTATAAATATAAATATAATATAAATTATAATTATAACATACTGATAACGTACATTAATCTGTTTGTAATATTAATATTAAAGATATAATCAACGGTATAAAACTAAAATACTTTTCAAATCATTGTAAATACGTTCTATATACTGATTGTAAGGAAAATCACGCGGAGAAGATAATTAGTTAACATTTGTTTGATAATACCGTCTAAAGTTATACCGATCTGTTCCTAACATATTTTCTTTATTGTTTCTTCATCCTTACTTATTTCGATTTTTTATCGCCGGTTCCATAAGACGAACTCTTACTTATTTCAGATATTCCTATTATTTTTTTCATTGATATATAAACTGAAAAAAAAACAGCTATTAAATTTAAAGCAATATCAATGATATTTATAAAACGTTATTATATTATTTAAATACTTACACACAAAAATAATACCCACACCAATGGAGAAATAAATAGTTGATCCAGATAAGAAAAGATTAATCAAATAATAAATCATTGGTATTAAAATTACCACTGCCCAAAAAATCGTATTGGTTAAGGAATAATACCTTCTTGTTAGCCTAAATTCATCTGTTCTAGGTACACCACTGGTTGCAAACAAATCACCTGTTTGAAAGAAACTTTCTGCCATACGATCCTAACAAGACAATAATAGTTAAAAAAATATTTTTAAACCTAAATACTTTTTCTAACAGTGTCTTTTAAACTATTGTTTAGAATGAATTTCTTTAAAACATACTTTTCTTTCAAAAAGCTTATATAACCATTCTCCTGCACCTTTATCATCTTCTGGTATTTCTTCCAATGGAATCCTCCGCATATACACATGTACCTCAACTTGTTTTCCCAATAACAAGTTTGTAATTGTTGGTTTCACCTGATCATTTGGTGTAAAATATGCTTCTATATCGTAAATTGCAATGTTCTTATCCCGCATGTTTGATATACTAGCCAAAAAACCTTTTATACGTGGAGTTAAATGGTACTTTAATACTGGAAGACCCTGTTCTTGGGCAAATTTTTGACTGGCTTCTAATTTTTTTTCCGTGAACCGTGTTCCCTCAGGATACAAAAGTAACTGTGGAGGTGATTTTAAATAAAATAATAATTTATAAATAATTTGAAGAAAGAATTCAGAAAAATATTAAAATTAAATTGTACTACATAAATACCAAATAATAAAAAATATAAATTAATGGTAAACATTTTTATTACCCATATATTGTCTGGATATTCACAAAGTTCTTTAATTTGAGTACCAATTATTTCTTTATCCTTAGTCCAATTCCTCTCTAAGAATATAAATTCAGCAAATTTCCATGTCCAACCTATTATTGGAACATATTGTAATGACTTCTTTGAATATGCTTTACAATTCTGAAATATAAAACATTTTACAATAACAGATCTTACATAATGTAACTTAAATATTTATGTGTTTACATAGCATAACCTACAAAACATACATATAACTTACCCCAAGTGAACTAATACGTTCACAAAAAATCCAACCCATGAGCCAATCTATTTCATAGCGATGATTCATTACCAAATATGCATGTTCTTTTCCAAAATATTTTTCAAACTCTTTTTTATCTATGTGCATTATTGGATCTGTTCCAGACCACCATTCTGCCACAAATACTAATTCTGCAAAAAATATGATTCAAAAAATTAAAAATTAATCACATATTTACATTTCTTTATAATTCAATATTAAACAAATCAGATATAAAAAGTAATATTGAAAGTCTAATTTCAAAGAAATGATACTCAGCAATTTGAAACAATGTATAAGATTACATAAAAGATTTGTTACTTAATATACAAAGTGTTGTAGCGACTTACGGCTAAAAAGAGAATAACAGAGATAATAGTTAATTTTCCGATAAAAATATCTGGAAAAAGGCCTAAGACCAAAGTACAAAAGACATTGGAAGAAACTGATTATCAAACCCGATGTAAAAAATGTTATAGCGAACATCAGATGAATCACTGTAGACTGCTTTAATGTTGACACTAGCTCCATTCTTTTAAACTTTTTGTATGTGCGTTTAATAACAAAAAAGTATACATATATATCCTTTGGAAACGTTGAATTTTGTTATACCTGAAATAAATAAATCTAAAATAAGATACAAACTCATAATTAAATTTATACATTTCTTTAAATGTTTCAGTTTTTTTATTTACTTTCTATCCACATTACAAAGAATAATTAAATAATGTATTTATAATAACAATATTTGTTAACTAAACCACTGACTTTATAAACATTAATTCTTCCATTATTATAAATGAAATATAAATGAAAGTTTTTTGGGGATCATCATTGAACCTTTAAAAAAAAGAAACAATCCATAAACAGTTTATTTTATTATTTATTTTATTTATGTTTAATTCCATTTCTATATAAGTTCTAAAACATTAATAAAGCAGAATAAATAAATGACTAATAATAACTAATATCTAAGTAATTATAATTTTAAAAGACAATTATTGTAAATTCTTGAAACAAGAAGTTACAGATTTTATAAATTTTATAAATCAAAAATACCTTATTAACAATGCGATACATATCAAAAAATTATCTAATCTTCCTCTGATAATAGAGTTGGGTAATTTATGTAATCTGTTAATTGTAAATTTAAATAATTAAATATTTAAATACAATAACTGTAATGAAATAACATGAATTTAATTCTGTAATATTGCTAGTATTGCTTCTAATTTAATTATTTTAAATAATCTCTATACAATATTTTGTCAACTTTATTGAGAATATTTATTCTTAAACAAAAAACATTGTGAAAATATTTGTTTTTAAAAATAAACTAAATTTTATAAACAAAGCATGCAAACAAACCACACATCATTTTACTAAAATGTTAATTGTTGCATATTAAATGTAACGAATGAAAAACTAAAGAATTGAAAAACGAATGTAACAAACATTAACGCTTAACTGGAAAAATAAAATAAAAAATATAAGAAATGTTATCATTCTCATAAAACTAAATTAAAAGTGTTTATCAACTATTTTAATTTAACTTACTTGGCTTAAATCATTTTTAGAATTCTAGAACAACAACTAATTCTTATGATCTGAATATGTCGAGATGGTAACAAGAAAAAGTAATGATGTCAAAAAAATAATTTGGATCTTCAGTTTGAATAGAGTAAATGGTTGATTACAGTCAGCAATTTTGTTGCACCAGATTCTATACTGGTATTGAATTTCAAATAAGTAATTATGTAAAAATATATGTATCAATGACTGGACATAATTTTTATGAAAACAGTATTAAAATGTGCATTATAATGTTTCGTACAAACTGGGTGAGCATTTGAGAGAAGCATAGCTTGACAACCTAGAGAAATTTCTATCTACGACAGTAATGTCTCCCTATATAATCTGTTTCTTCCTTCTTGGGTATATACACGGTGAAAAAAATAAACAAGCAAAGAGAATCGGAAATAATGTGATAAATGTACAAGATAAAAAAATATTTTATTTAATCTTTATAATATATTTACAAAATATGTTAATATAAAGCAGAAAGTATTTTGCCTAATGCATGAAACATACTACAATTCATAAAAACGAATTATAAAACTTTTTATCCGCTGAGTATATATTTTCAGCGTTACATCGTCATATTAGTCATGTGCATCGCCATAGATTACAGAGTATGCAGAAATCAAACTCAGTTTAACATGCGTACATAAAGCAAGAATCTGTCATTTACTAAAATTATTCTGTAATGAAGTAGACAATAAATACCAGTTGCCAAAGATCAAGATTTATCTTGACATAATTACTCTTTACACACACAGAACAATATTCTGTTGTTAATTTATAGTAATTTTTGTTTAAATTATATTGGTAACATTGCATTAGTTGTTGGCCAATCAACAGCAGTCTTGACACGCCCCTTGAATATTCGTTTTCGGTGACTGAATGCGGGTCGGCGAATAAACAGTTTCGATAAAATTTTTCATTGATTTCGTAGTTTTGATTGATTGATGATCTGATTGACACTGATAAAACTTTTCAATTCCCTAAAATGGTGAGTTTAACGTTATTAAATATCAACGACAGTATCTTTCTTTATCAGTGACGTTAACTAAAAATTACTGATAAAAATTTTAATAAACAGTTTTCAGTATAAGTAAATTTGAATGTTCGAAATTTTATATTTACCGTCAAGTTTTACAATATATTCATTGTAGAAATGTTTATTCTTTTGTGAATATATATAGATGTTAAAACCGAATTTTTACTTAACCTCAAATAAAATAAACGTCAAAATGGCGCCATTGGTAACATATAATGAAGTTGCTATTATATTCGATTATTTTTAACAAGTTATACAAATAATTAAGCTTTTTGTCATTAAGAATTTTTATCTACATGGTATTATAAAAATTACTATACATCAGAATGAAATTAGTAGGATTGTGATTTAATTTAAAACAGTGTAAAAATGTAATGAATTTGTTTCTGAATTATATTGCAGTTTTATTATAATGAAGTAAAATTGATGTTCGATCAAAATTATGCAAAAGTAATTTACCAAGTTGCAGAATATTAAAATTTAAACTGTATATTTGTATATTAATTTCAAAGACGGAGCAGCAAATGGATTGCGCATTGGATTTGATGAGAAGACTGCCACCTCAACAGATTGAAAAGAATTTAAGCGATTTAATAGACTTAGTGCCATCCCTTTGTGAAGATCTTTTATCTTCTGTTGATCAACCTTTGAAAATTGCAAAAGATAAGGAATCAGGAAAAGATTATTTACTTTGTGATTATAACAGGGATGGAGACTCTTATCGGTAATTAACCACAAAAATATTATTCTCAACCCATTTATGCTAAATAATGAATCAGATTCATAATTTACTCATAAATATACACAATGACTGTTATAAAAATGAATTAATTGTTGCTTCTGTCTTATATTATATTTCTTGTACTAGAACAGATACCTTGTAATATGAAAGCAACTGTTATAATTCTTTTATGGTTGACACTTTTGGTCTATGCTTGTGAAATTAGAACTATTCTGAATGAGTTAAAATATTATCTTTCTAGATCTCCTTGGAGCAATACATACGACCCACCATTAGAAGATGGTTCAATGCCTTCTGAGAGACTCAGAAAGCTAGAAATAGATGCAAACCATGCATTTGATCAATACAGAGAACTCTATTTTGAGGGTGGAGTTTCTTCTGTTTATTTATGGGATTTGGATCATGGTTTTGCAGCAGTGATTTTAATAAAAAAAGCAGGAGATGGATCAAAGAAAATTAAAGGCTGTTGGGATTCCATTCATGTTGTTGAAGTCCAAGAGAAGTCTACTGGACGAACTGCACACTATAAATTAACTTCCACTGCTATGCTTTGGTTACAGACTAATAAACACGGTTCTGGAACAATGAATCTTGGAGGAAGTCTTACCAGACAGGTTCGTTTATAATTAACTTTAAATGTATATAGTAAATCTTTTTGTGTTTCATTATATGTTTAATAGATGTATTAAAATTAAATTCAAAATCAATTAAGTTGTATGATCTTTATATTTCAGGTAGAACAAGATGCCCAAATAAGTGAGAGTTCTCCGCACATTGCTAATATCGGTCGTATGGTCGAAGATATGGAAAATAAAATTCGAAATACCCTAAATGAAATATATTTCGGGAAAACGAAAGATATCGTAAACGGATTAAGATCCGTTCAATCCCTAGCAGATCAAAGACAACAAGCTGCTCTCAGACAGGATCTAGCAGCCGCACTTCAAAGGAGAAACGCCAATAATTGATCCACCGAAGAAGATCAACTTTCCTTCGATTTTGAAGAGTGTCAATAAAAAAAAGAAAAGAAAAATATCGTAAATGATAAAATTAAAAATCGAATTGTTGCAGTCATTATGACGAGAATTTTGAACAGTTTCCTGTGATATGCAGGGTGCAGCGGTAAAGATGAATTTTTCCTGAAGTATTAAAGAATTAAAGAATGAATAATTGAATATCAATTATTAATTATGTCGAGATTTTGAATATAATATTAAGAAACATTACGAGTGTCTGGGTTTTATATATAAATATATATATATGTATATATAGGATGTGCCTAAAGGTATGTAACACCATAAATCATTACTCATTTCACTTAAGCTTCAAAACAGTTGACTTATAATATTTTCATGGAATGCATATTTACGTTGAAAATGTTTTTAAATATATGTACAATAAACATGGTTTTATGTTCTTTGTGTAATTGTATCATTTTTACTAGTTAAAATATACTTAAATTAAGTATTAATTTATAAAGCATTATGATAAAGTTTCAGTACATTTCCATAGAGTTTCATATTGTTTATTATTATTTTTATAAATTAATATATTTCTTGTTATATTCAATAGAATTTGATCTATGCAAACGTACGAAACTTTCATAATAGTGCTTAACAAATATTTTTGCTTTCTTTTTCAAATTAAATTCATACCTTTTTGATCACCCAATATATGTATAATGTCTAATACACATAGGCATAAATTATAAAATTTTAATATTCAATACTTGTATAAATGTATCTAATTTTTACAATAAATGAGAAAAAGCAGTCATAATCGCATTTAAGATCTTTGTTTAAGATTAATATCTTTGTTTCTGTGTTACATATCTTTTGACACATTCTCTGTATATTGTGTGTATGTGCGTGCGTGTATGTGTGTACTGAATAAAAGCATATGCTTGTGCTTGACAAGTGCGAGCACAAATATACATAATGGCACTCGTAATGTTTTTTTAATCATTAGTAATTAATAATAATACGAGATATAAGAGTATTAATGTTTGAAAATGTAGGAATATTAAAGAGAATATTTGCGAATAAACTTTTAATTAATTATTAAGTCCCCACCCATACGTTTAACTTTAGCAATATTAAAACTTAGCTGACTGGAAACATCTGTAATTCAGCTTTAATCACTTCCAATTTTTATAATTATAAATTCGAGTTAATTTATTTCAAATGAAATTTTATGAAACATCAGAGATAGTTTTTATAAAAATACTTTAGCTAAATGAAAGTTTTTATTAAATTTAATGTAATCAAATTGCATTTACTTGCTTGTTACTACTGTTATTATTAATAATTCTTCTGTCAACATTTAAATATAAAATGTTGATCATAATTATATGAACTAAAATTTTGTATCATAATATTTGCACTAATCAATCAAAAAATGTTATTAGTAAAAAATCATGAAATATCAATTTTTTTATAAAATAAAATAAAAGCAACAAAATATTATAGAAGAAGACACGAAAGCATCGACTGCTTTTTTCCTCATTTATTTATCCTCCATTGACTTCTGCCGTATAAACAAATGCTCGTTGGTATTCTTTTACTTATATATTTTACGCCTGTGTTTCCTGTTTAAATTTCATAATCATGTACTTTCGTATATAATTGTGTGTACAGTGCAGTCACGCTATATAGCACCTATTTATATGGCCCATTAAGCAAGTTCCCCTTTCCGCGATTTTTAAATTCGCTATTGGTACTCCCACCGCCATCATAGGATATGAAAATCCAATTTTAAACACTGATACTATTTCAAATTCTCAAATTTATCAATTTTTTAATTTAGTAAGTTCCTAAACTTTCAAATTTAAGAACTTAGAAATTAACAAATTTCCAAGTTCTCAAATTTAGGAATTCACAAATTCTGAAATTAGAAACTAAATTTTGCAAGCTATACTGCTATCAACAAAACTTTACAATTATGGATGGAGTTCCGCTTATATGGCCCATACCGTAATTTTTTTCCGTTCCTACAGCCCTATTCAAGGGCCATACAGCGAGATTCCACTGTATTTTCATATACTTTACCACCGCATATGTGTATGTGTGTGTATGCATACGTATTTTTACCTTGCCTATATACGCCAATGCTGGTTAAATTTTTTTAAATGCTTATGCAGACATACATTAAAATTTTTAAATGCTATATTCCAATGTTTTACATACTGACTTTATACGTATACATAGTATTAAATAATATTTCAAAAATACTGAGAGAGTATTTGTGGGATGAATTGAGGTTTAATAAATCTTAATCCGTCATGTATCTGAAATAATAGAAAATAAATTTAAACAATGACCAGCAGTGGTGTATAATTAAAGTATTGAGAAGCAGAAAAAAAATTATTTCCACCTCTCTTGGTTGAAGTACGACCGTGAGGCCTATTGATTCGTTTTTTTTTCGGCTTTTTTTATCGATTAAATTCATTTATCTAGGTCGCCTTAATCTTAAATTAGTCTGCTTAGATTATAGTAGCTTAGTTGTTTGTTATCATTCATTTATATATATATATATTTTTTTTAATTTTCTTATTTTTTCGTAGATGGTATGGTCTGATTTGAAATTAGGTATTAAATGTAAGATCGAGTCTTACATTGCAATTAAAATTTCAAGTCAGAAACCAAACATTAACTAATGAACTTAAAATTTCAGAATTCAAGTTTGAAATGTTTATTTTTGAAGCTAGATGTACAGAATCCGAAATTCAAATTGAATTCCAAAATTTCGTGTTAAAATTTAAGTTTTACACGTTTACTGAATTTGAAATTTCGATTCTAGTTTCAAAGTTGTTTTAGAAATCGTTCAGTACAAAAAAAAATATTAGAATGCGAGCCAAAAATCGAATTTTTGGAGCTCACAGAAAATTAATAAAAACTTTCTCTCAGATCTATGTTCGAAATTAAAACTTTTATATTTTTATTCGTAATTAAGAGCACAGAATTAAACGTTTAAATTTCAAGTAAAAGCTACGAATGTTATATCTCCACATGTGAAATAGAGAAAAAAATAGTAATTTTTATCAAATTGAAATTATATAAATTTTTAAAGAGATCAAAAACTTCAAGAATTCAAGTTTTGGTAAAATACAAATTATAAAAACAATTGTAAGAACAAGTTCTTAACAAGACAAAAGGACTTTGGATAGATTACAAAATTCTAGGGACTTTTTAATAAAGATATTAATGTTTTTAACGAAACTTAAATATAGAATTGTAATACCACTGGAATTCTACTGAAGATTGGGCAGAATTAGAATAAATCGTATAAAAAAAATTTCAAAATTAAAATAGGATGGGAATTCTAGATTGGGACAGTCATACTAAAACATAGTATTTTAATAAAAGAAAAAAAGGAATTAATCTCAAATGGAAAAGAAATCTGAATTCCAACAAAACTGGAAATACTACAAGGATTAAGATTCTAATGAAATCGGAATTTTACTGAGTTTAATAGAATTGAAATTTCAATCAAAATATAAAGAAAGAAGGGACTGTTACAAGGAACTTAAACTTCTAGATAATTAGAATTCTAAATGTATTGGAATTTCAATAAAATTATAACTTCAGTTAGAATTGCATATAATCATTATTGCAAGATAATCGCAATTCCAATAGAAATAGAATTCTAATCATATGAATTTTAGAACCACAAATCAAGACAAAAGAGTTGTTTTTCAAAATATCCCGCTGTCAAAGTTGCCTTTTAATCTCAACCCATTAAGTCGCCAAAAACATTCTTTGTTTTTCAAGGTCTAAGCTGATACTGTTTCTTAGTTTATTCTCTTTTTATTTGTTTTTTTTTTTTTATTTTTGCAATTATTTCATTATTTGTAATCCTCTCCTCCTTCACACTTACACGCTTGCGCACATTTGTTTTTCCCTTCCTTTCATTTTTATAATTATATAATTGTTTGTCTCTTTCCTTTTTCCATATTCTTACTTCTTTTCCCTTCATTTTAATCTTTCTGAAGTGCCCCCCACTCTTTTCCTTTCTATTTGTTGTTGGTAATAGTTCTTATGTTAACCATTGATCATCTTGTATTGTATCTTAGGTTTCTCTTAATAATATATTAGCTGTGTGTGTTTTGTTTTTTCTTTAATGTGATGGTGGAGTCTGGACTGAACACAATTATTTATCGATGGCAGTGTTAGTTTTGATGGCGATCACGACTTCCTCACCACAGGCCTTCAGTACAGTGCACTAAAAAAAAAAAAAATAAGTTATATTATTTAATTTCTTTCTGTTCATTCACTTTGAATGCAAGTAATTTACAGAAACCATAACACAGTTTTTGTAAATCTTCATTTAATAAAATGTAATGAAAATATAAAATTATATGTAAAAAAAAAAACTACATTTTGGGCCAATAAATTAGGATATAAAACTCATACAAAAGAAATTTGAGAAGATTGATTTCTAAGGAATAAATATTTGTTAATAAATTTGTAATTATTTACTCATACCTGTCATATAAATTACCTACATCAAATTTTTTAATTTATTTCTTTTATTTATATATGTTATTTTGAACTATATAATATTTCTATTAAAGTTATATCAATATAATGAAGCTTACCAGAAGCTCCTTTCCAGCATCATGATCAGCACGTAACTGAATGCCTAATTCACCATCAGGAATTTTTAAATCTTCACGGAGTTCACCATTATCAGCCATCAGGCACAAATAGCCATCGTCAGATATGTCTGCCAGCTTTTATACAAATACACATATATTCATTATAATGTCATGAAGTAAAAAATTTATAACATTTAACATTACTACAAAATTGACATCTCAGATATATTTAAAACATTGAGGAAATAGTTCAATAAGAGTATAGTATAAAACATAGCTAAAAATAATCAGGAATAAATAAATTCTGTATTTAATATTTTTTCCATAAATCATTCATGTAATGTAAACTACACATAGTGTTAACAATTTTTACCTGGTAATCTTCCCGCTTAACAAATGGCACATCCATGTTGTGCGTAGAGGGACAAATATCTTCATACTTTTTTGAAGTGAAAATGTCAATGCCTACAAGATGTACTTTGGCATGGCCATGTTTTCCTGTTTTTGAAGTTGACATTTCTACAATTTTACATGGCCGTGATTTGAGCATTACAAACCCATTTTTACGCAGAGCTGAACACTGCATAGGGTATGTTACAGAAGCACCAGAGTCTCCGGTTTCGAAGTGAGTATCCTCAATGTCTGCCATCCTTGTATTTTTGTTTTATTTATTCTGAAATCATAATTTAAAATAGACTAATAGCAAGACTTTAATTTTAAACAAAATATATTGATAAAAATTTCTAATAGCATTAAAATTATAATAAATTTAAAAAAATATAGTGCATTAAATTATATTAAAAATGAAAAAGTATAAGTAGATACAATATGACCTATGAAATTTTGGTAGTTCATGTACATTGAACTATAAAGACTCTTTCAAGTACATTTATATTCCATATAAATTAAAAGCTTATAACTATTAAACAAGATAACATAAAATACATAATATGAATTACTGAATGGAACAAAGTATCTCCGACTGGTTTTAAGATGAATTTAATGTAATAATGACCACTGCTGACAGAAGTAATAAAATATTCTCTAAGTTTCATTTCTACTTATTATAAATAATATGAAAGTACATGGTTTACACATTTTTTGAACTTTCTTATTCTTATGTCTTGTCTGTATGATATACAGACTATATACCAAATATATTAATAAAACACATTCTCTAAATTAAATTATTCATTTTTTAATAATTTCTTACAGTATACAGAAAAATATAACAGAAAATAAATTTATCATGAATGACAAAACTTTAACATATTTTTCAAAATATACTTTTCAATTCTGTGCAATAATTATGAAATCTGAAAACTATTTTAGAATTGTCTCTATTGCTCATTAAAACTTGCTATATAAAATATCATTTGTTATTAATAAAACTCATATTAACAGGACAATGAGATTATTTTAATTTTTCAAACATAAATGAAAGATTGTGTAATAATACAAACAATTAAGTAAAAAAATTATTGATACTATTATTTAAATTAATACTTTAATTCAAATTGTTAAACAGTTAATCAATATTAATATTATTGTACTAAAATGAAATATAAACATAAAACATAGAACTATTCAATTTTTCACAATATGTTTTGAAACATAACACTATGAACATTTCATATACCTTCTCTACAAATTTAGGAAATCCAATAATACTTTTAATGTATAGTATACTTAAAATTTTGAATTATAAATACAGAATGTTATACTTGATTACATAAAAATTAAATATAACAGTAAAGAATACCTTTGATAGTATAGATTGAAAACTATTGAAAATCTCAAAAAAGTTAGTTGTTCTACATATATTACAAATGAGAATTAAAGAAAAATAAAGAAACGTAACTATAACGTAATAGAATTACTTTACAAAACGTTTACAAGGAAAGCTTAAAACGCAAAAAGCTTCGAAAAGCTTTCAGGAAGATGACTAGAAAGAAAACGAACACGTTGTAGAAAGTACAATCTAACCAAAGATTCTACCCGGCTGACAGTTCTCTGATTATCAAAGTCTGGTTATGAAAAATCAACTGGAAAGTCTGACGAAAGTCGAATTACCTTCGAGGACGAGTTTACTGCGGATTTTTGACCGTTTTCCTCAAGAAGATGGCGCGAAAAGAATTGCGTGCGGTTCGTCGTCGAAGTTGCCGACTCTCGGAAGAAAGTTGAAAAAATTACGAGTACGAACTGGCCTCTAACAATTTTGTTCTTTATTCTCGAGATTTTTTAACACACGTTTTACGAACTTATTTGAGCAATCACAAGTGAATCAGCTAAACTCACCGTGAAAAAAGGAGAACAGACTGGAGATACTCACATGTGATCAAAATGGACACTCTAACCAGAAGAGCTGGCTGCGCTTGCGCGAACCGCTAATCGGCGACAGGGGGCCACCCGAATAGATCCACGGATTCCGGTTAAAAGTCTATGTGGGGGTAAAGTTGTATGTGAAATTGCCAGTTGGAAGTTAGGCATAATACGCAGGCGCTGTTTACGGAATGAAATTTGTCACTAGATACTATACCAAACCATTCAAATTTCAATAGAAAAATTAAATTTATTGTTCTATTGTTACATTAGACGTATCTGTATAAAATAAGACATACATACATGTATACGCTCAAAAATATACTTCAATGAAATACATTATTTAAAATGTTCTCCTTTTTTATCAAAATAAAACTTCAAACACAACATTATCAATATTTTTTTATAGTTATCTGCAATTCGTTTATCTTATAATTCTCAGAACTTATGAACAAAAAAATCATATTTTAAAATTTTAATCACATAATTTGATTTATACATAAATTTATAATGTATAAAAACTTATTATAATTCAAATTTCTAGTTATTTTATGTTATATTTATGGTAAAAGTTGGTTATAACAAATACAATTTATTGTACATGTATATTGTAAAAAAAAGAAACAAATCTAATAAATCATATTGAATGGACACCTTTAATAAATGCTGCAACAGATGCGATTGGTGTATCTGGTAGTATACCGTGTCCTAAATTTGCAATATACCGAGTTTTACCAAACTTTGTTACTATATCTCGAGCTCGATTCATTATTTCATCCTGTTCAAAATAACATAAATTAAAATTTTACAAAAATTATGGGCTATATCTAATAAATATGGTAAACATATGAACCTCAGAAGCATATAATGCACATGGATCCAAATTTCCTTGCAAAGTAATATCAGAACCTAATCGTTTCCTTGCTTCTATGGGATCCACAGTCCAATCTACACCCAACACTTCATAAGTTTTTGATTTTGCTAAAATTTCCAAAGAATTCATTGTTGCACCTTTAGGAAAAGCAATCTGAAATTTTTTTTATATTTTTATTTGTAAAATATATTTATTAAATAACTAAAAATTCTATTTTATTTACCATTGGTACTTCATGAATATTTTGTTCCTTCAGTTTTTGTCTAACTTTCTCACTAATCTCTTTCAAATATTTAAATGAATAATTTACAAATAATTCATCATTCAAAAAGTCACTATGACTTTCAAACACTTGCAACAACTGTAAACAGAAGATGTTAATTTTACCTGTTCTTTAAGATATGTTTCTTAATGTAAAAAGAATGTTATACCTGTGCTCCAGCTTTAACTTGCATCACAAGATAGTCCACTATAACATTAGTAATCATTTGTAAAAGTTTGTGAGAATCTTCTGGATATTTATACAGCCACTTCCTAGCTTTTATCATCGTTGAACTACCTCCACCTTGGATCATGTAGCTCATTAATGTCCACTAATAATTCATAAATATGAATACTACCAAACATATTTTATAAAATATTTGTTTCATGATGCAAGAGTGACTTGTAAAATCATGTGTATAACTCAAAAAATATTTTACTCACTGGTGCACCAGTGAAACCAATTAATGGTACTTTTCCCTGTAACTTATGTCGTGTTAAAGTTATAGCATCTCCAACATACTTTAAATCTTTTTCCACATCTGGTTGAATGAGTCTGCTTAAATCTTTTGGCTCATTTAGAGGATCAGGTAAAACAGGTCCCTATAATATAAATGAATTTGTTTACTTTAATGAAATAAAATGATGAAAAGATGTTCATATTTATAAAATTATATAAATTGATAAGCATACCGTTCCAGCAACCATTTCAACAGTTAAACCCATTGCTTGTGGAATAACAAGAATATCAGAAAAAATAATGCTGGAATCTAAATCAAACCGTTGTATAGGTTGTAAGGTAACTTCACAAGACAAAGCTGGTGTTTTACAAACAGAAAAGAAATCATGTTTTGATCTAACTTCCTGAAATTCTGGAAGATATCTTCCAGCTTGACGCATTATCCATACTGGAATACGTTCTACTGGTTCTCCATATGCAGCCTTCAATATCAAATCATTTTTCAATGGTGGAAATTCTTGCTGAGCCATTATTAATATCTAAAGAGAAATAGTATATCAAATTTAATAAAAATTTGTATGAGGTACAAAATAAATTATCATCAAATTATGTAATGATACAATAATTTAAAAAATAAACAGTTTATAAAGTTACATAATTCTTGAAAGAAAAATATAAAATCATTTTACGCTTTGAAATTTTTATCATTGTATACTTACGATATAACAATTATAAAAATCTTGTAACACTAAAACTGTTTGTAATTTTGCTAGTTACACTTTTTATGCTTTTTCTTATCAGATAGCTCCCTTGAGTTTACTATTTCTAATACATAAGAACATGTAACAAAATTCGAATTCAAGTTTCGTATTTACTAATATTTATCTTATCATTCAAGTATGAATTGCATTTTTAATACATACTGTATTTTAACGAAAAATGTATTTGTCTATGATTTTACTTTCTATGACTAAGTTAACCAATCAAATTTCTTCATATAATGCATAATTCTCTAGATTATGGGGGAAAACCTAAGGGGATTAACTGGCGCGTTGAGTTGAGCCTCAATTGAATATCATTCTTTGTTGTTCCAAAGTAGAAAAAGCGGCTAACGACAAACGTTCAAGTACGAGGTAGTACGAGGTTATGCGTCTAACTCGTGGATAACAAATAAGCAAAGTATTTTCGAATATATTTAAAGATGGATTTTTTAGAATATACCGATGTGCTTGCAGAAGTAAAAGGAGCTATGGTAAATAATATGTTATAATTTTTAATAATTATTATAAGTATTTTCATATCTACTGCTAAATTTGTTTTAGAAATGTTTATGCGTCATTTTTAAATTAAATTACAGGTTAAATTATTATGTAAACTAATTATTTTATTATTTTTTATAATTGTTTTGCATATTTTCTGAAATTTACATTGGAAAATTCTGATAATTTTAATATGATATAATTAAGATTTATTAAAATTTTTTAAAATGTAATATTGTACTTCTTTCATGTAGACTCCTGGAAGATTAAAATTAACAGACCAACATTTGATTTTTAAAAATCAAAAAACAGGCAAAGTAGAACAAATTTCTGCCTCTGATATGGAAATGGTAAATTACCAAAAATTCATTGGTACTTGGGGTCTGAGAATATTTCTTAAAAATGGAACTTTGCACAGATTTCGTGGCTTCAAAGAAGGGGTAAGTATATAAGTTTTAAGTAAAATTTACTTTTATTGTAATGTGATAATTCTTTAGGACCAAGAAAAAATTGCAAAATTCTTCACACAAAATTATAAAAAAGACATGCTCGAAAAAGAACTTAGCTTAAAAGGTTGGAATTGGGGTACTGCTAGATTTAATGGATCAGTATTAAGTTTTGATGTTGGTCATCATACTGCCTTTGAAATTCCGCTTTATGATGTTTCTCAATGCAATACTGGAAAAAATGAAGTTACACTGGAATTTCATCAGGTGAATTATCCAAAAATTATAAAGTTATTTAGAAGTTTCATATATTTCAATTTATTATATTAGTATTTTAATGTTGAATTTTGCAGAATGATGATGCTCCTGTAAGTTTGATGGAAATGAGGTTCCACATTCCAGTTAGTGACAGTGTAGATCAGGATCCTGTTGAAGCATTTCATCAACAGGTTATGGAGAAAGCATCTGTTATTAGTGTTAGTGGAGATGCTATTGCTATCTTTAGAGAAATTCAATGCCTTACACCACGGTATGTATGCTATTTACATTTATTTTAACAATTTATTAAACTGTTGATTTACTAATCATGCACAAAAATAAATAGGAACATTAATTTAGTAATTAATTTGTCAACTTTCTTTTTACAGTGGACGTTATGATATAAAGATATTTCAGTCCTTTTTCCAATTACATGGTAAAACTTTTGATTATAAGATTCCAATGTCAACAGTTTTAAGGTTGTTCCTCTTACCTCATAAAGATAACAGGCAGATGTACTTTGTAGTAAGTTTTTGTATAAAACATAATATAATTGTTATATTTTAATCATTGTTTTATCTTATTAATACTTTTTCAGGTCAGTTTAGATCCACCCATTAAACAAGGTCAAACTCGTTATCATTATTTAGTATTACTGTTTAATCAAGAAGAAGAAACCTCAATTGAATTGCCTTTTTCTGAGTATGTAAAGTTCAATCATTATATGTCTTTACGAAAATAATATCATTTTTTTTACTACTAAAATGTTTGACTACTTTTGTAGAAAGGAACTTAAAGAAAAATATGAAGATAAACTACCAAAAGAGTTATCAGGACCAACATATGAAGTTATGGGTAAAGTTATGAAGGTTATAATTAATCGAAAACTTACTGGACCTGGAAATTTCATTAGGTAAATTCATATATTAAATACTAAATTATACTTCAGTATATCAAACATTTATATACCATAGAACTTTAAATTTATTTACATCTGTTTTATTACAATTTTCAGTCATTCTGGCACTCTTGCAATCAGCTGTTCCTTTAAAGCAGCTGCAGGTTACTTATATCCTCTAGAAAGAGGTTTCATTTATGTTCATAAGCCGCCGATTCATATACGGTTTGAAGAAATAGCATCTGTTAATTTCGCTCGTGGTGGAGGTTCTACCAGATCTTTCGATTTCGAAATTGAATTAACCAGTGGAGTTGTTCACACATTTAGTAGTATTGAAAAGGAAGAATATGGAAAACTATTTGATTTTATTACTTCTAAAAAACTACGCGTCAAGAACAGAGGCAAGAGTGTAAGTACTATATCCGCTTATAAATTAAATTCCTCTACAATATTGATTAAATACTTTTATATTATAATAATGTCTGCTTCTTTATAACAGGATAAACTGAATTATGACAATGATTTCGGAGACAGTGATCAAGAAGATGAACCAGATGCTTACTTAGCAAGAGTTAAAGCAGAGGCACAAGAAAGAGATGCAGAAGACAACCAAGATTCTGAAGAGGAATCTACCGATGAAGATTTTAATCCTAATCAAGTACAGTTATATCATAATTTAAAATTTTGTGAAAAGAACAAATTGATAAATGAACATATTTCGTACAATTGAACTACTATCGAATATTTATATATTTTTTGTGTAGGATGAAAGTGATGTAGCAGAAGAATATGATAGCAATCCTAACAGTTCAGAAAGTGAAAATGATTCAGATGCTTCTGGAAAGAGTGAGAAGAAGGAAAAGAAAGAAAAGAAAGAGAAGAAACCAAAGTCTGCCAAAACAGTAGTAAGTATCATAAGCATTAATTACTTCAGAATAGTAACTCTTTGTTATCTAACATTTTAAAACGTGTATGATCCTTTCAGTCCGAGAAACCTAGGAAACCTAGAAAGCAAAAGAAAGAAAGGGATGCAAACAAACCTAAGAGACCGCCAACTGCGTTTATGATATGGTTAAACAGCAACCGAGAGAAGATTAAGGCAGACAATCCTGGAATTGCAGTTACAGAAATTGCAAAGAAAGGAGGAGAAATGTGGAGAGAACTTAAAGATAAATCTGTAAGCATTTTTTTATTAGTATACTAGATATTTACGTTATTAGATTTATTTTATTTAAATGTTAATTTGTAAATATTTAGGAATGGGAACAAAAAGCAGCTAAAGCAAAGAAAGAATATGCTGCATCAATGAAAGAATATGAAGCTAGCGGAGGTGGACAGAAAGATAAAAAAGAAAAGGCGGACAAAAGCGAAAAAACAGATAAAGCAGAAAAAAGCGAAAAGAAGAAAGTTGATACTAAGAAAGAAGTCAAGCCAGCGACTGGATCGTTTAAGAGCAAAGAGTATATTAGTGAGGATGAAAGCAGTAGTGATGAAGATACTAAGGTAAAATAATAAATAATACTTATTATTAAACATGAATATTTAAATAAATGTTTAGATACATTATTTTTGTCAAATTTGTGTGCAGAAATCTGAGAAGAAACATTCAGATGAAGACACTGAACCTGATAAAGGAAAGAAGAGAGGAGATAAACGCAGTGCGGTAATTATTTTATTAATCATATTATTTTAACATAGAAAAATAGATCTCAGTGATTCAATCCAATTTTATTAATTATTTTATAGGAGGACGATGATAAAAAGGCCAAAAAAGAAAAGAAAAGTGACTCTGACGAAGGTAGTGATGAAGAACCTGTTGAAAGCACTCCACCTTCAAGTGATGCAGAATCTAAAGACAGCGATTAGTTAATGGTTTAACATTTATAAACTACAGTATAATTTTGTATATATACGTGTATTAACATTTTTGAAACTATCGAAACTTACTCTAAATTTAGTATTTTTAAGTTATAAGATACGAATATTTAATAGTTTAATTCTTTAAACTCTTTTTATACTTGTAAACTAAGCAACTGCAATTTTCAGTAAAAGTTGATTCAATGTTTATTTAAATGAATCACAATTGAAGTTCAAAAAGAAAAACAGTTACGTCTTATATTTATAAACTAAAAATATGTTATTAATTATCTGTATGATTATTTAATAAAATATTTTTTTTTCATCGTGTTTCAAATTATGTTACAAATAGTCTTCAAAAGATACCGTCGTAAAGATGAATGCGTGTTGCTCTTGGCAACAGATTTTATTAGAACCAATCAGAACTGATATGCGCAAGAAGAACGAAAACTCGTCATTTGAGAGGTTACACTGGTTAGTGAAATGTGTTATTGTTAATAACCTAAAAAATGTTTGAACAAGTTGATTATAACAAGAATTTAATGTAATTATAAGAATAGATTAGTTTCAATTCATTTTAATTTCCAAATATACATAAGATATGTTTATTTTACTTAAATACATGTTTAGTATTTCTTAAAAATGGATATTAGACAAAGTACGGGATTTTATGATCTGTGTGTAAATGTACAAGGAAATGATATCAAAAATTTATGTTGTATATTGTCAAAATTATATGAATATGGATACAGAACGGTAGCACTAAATACTGATATAGATGAAAGTGTTCTTGCAACGGATAAGAAAAAAAAGAAGAAAAATGATGAAGAAGCATCCCAAAACATTATTCCTGAAACACTTGACATAGAAAGCATAAGAAAAGAATTTGATAAAAAGTTGAAAATTTTTAGTCGTATTACATTTTTTTGTTCAGATTCTGCAAAAACACATATACTGAATCATTGCACAGCTTTAAAGAAATATGACTTATATGCCTTTGCTCCAAAAACACAAACTGCATTACAATATGCATGCACTCAGTTAAATACAGATATAATTACATTAAGATCATCTTCTATAACTTTTAAATTAAATAAAAAGTTGTATGAACAAGCTATTGAAAGAGGAATACATTTTGAAATTCAATATGCAGATTTGTTAAATGTGCAATCCAGGAAGCTTACTATTCATTATTCTCATCTTTTTCATACATATGGAAAGAGTAAGGTATAAAAATAGACTTTTTTTTAATATCAAATATTATTTAATGTCTTAAAACAATAAATATCTGTGCTATAACATACAACTTAGCAGTAAACAAGATTGTTAAATTAAATATTATTTTTATTTAGCATGTAATATTATCCAGTGGTGCAAGTAATGTTAAAACAATCAGAAATCCATATGATCTAATAAATTTATCATGTTTACTTGGTTTGAATGAGGTCAAAGCTAAAGCTTCCATATTATATCAGTGCAAAAAGCTTCTTTTAAGAGCAGGTATATATATAAATTTCCATGTAAATAAATCAGTAAGCAATTATAAATTTTTTCTTTTTTTGCTTTTCATAGAAAGAAGACGTAGAGGAAAGGCTGTTTTTGTTATTGAAGAACAGACAAAAACAACTAATGACACTGATAAAGATAGTACAGTGTTTCCAAAACGATTAAAATTATAATATTTCAAAAGTATCTATTTTTCATCATTTTTTATATTGTATCACTTGTATTACACATTTAAGCTTTTATAAAGATTGTATGTTCGTGATAAATTAATAGTTTTAACAATTATTTTCATATTAAAAATACATTAGAAAGGAATAAATATTTGTTAAACATACAAAATTTTAGGCATATTTCTTTTTTAGTAATGCAATAATTTCTAATTTTTTAAACATTTTGATATCATTTCTTTTAATGAAAAAGAATAATCATTTTGTAAAGAAAATATTCCCTCTCCATATCAGTCATTTATAAATTGTAATTAGTATAATTTTATCTTATATACAATTGTAATCTACAAATCTTTATCAATTAAAAATGCTGTTTTAATATCTTATACTAAAAGTATAGGACATAGGAGATATATTCTTTATACTGTGATCAATTTCCCAGAGCACCAAGGGCACGGATGGAAATTCGGTTCGAACATACTACAGTCCTTACAATCTTTGATATCAGTTAAAACATCCAGAAGTTCCGAAACATTTTTATTATCCGTTTGCAAATCCGTCGTTCCTTTCGTTTTTTCTGCACTTCCATCATTGTTAGAATTTGTCTCTGAAAAATATGTTGTAAAATCTGTTATCAATTACTGAATACAAGTTTGAATAGAGCGATTTGTGTTTAAAAAAAATGTTATACCTGCTTCAATTAGACGTTCTGTTCCATTGGAATGTATATACTCTTTCCTAAGAAAATCACTGACTAAGACTTTTAATTTATGTAGTTGTTCTTGTTGTTGATTTCTTTGATCAAGTAACTCTCGAAATACTTGCTCTCGTTCCCTTGCCCTACTCTGAAGAACTGCTCTCTGTTTTTGATATAATGTTATATACTCTCCTAAAAAGTTGTATAAATATTCAATTAGAACTCGATTATTAAAAAGAGAATTAAAATGGTTCATGTGACTATACCTATTGTTTCCGTTTCGCTTTGAAGTTGTAGAACAAGATGTTCAAGTTTTTGTTTCTCTTCTGTAAGCTCTGCAACACGTTCCATTGTTTCTTTAAATCTTTGTTCTAATTGTTTAACAGGTTCCATCACTGTAACATTATTTTCTTGCTGTTTCTCCAAATTGACTTCTGTTTCTTGAATCGACGTATTACTTGTGTTTGTAGGATTCGAACTGGTTTGGGAAATAGTACCATCTTGATTCTTTTCTTGTAATTTCTGTATAAGATCTTGTTTTTCTTTTTGTAAACTTTCTATAGTAATCTAAAAACCAAAGAATTATTAACCAAATTAATGTTTTTTATTAAAGTGATTACACAAGAACAAAAAATTACCAAAGCATTTTGAAGTTCTTGCTGAAAAGTATTGACATGATGTGACTGTGCTTGATAATGTTGCATTTGATCTGCTATTTGAGCACTCTGAAGTCTTTCTTTTTCGAGTTCTTCAAGTAAAGCTTCCTTTTCCTTCAGTTTGTCTTTTAATTCTTCTAGTTCATTTTCTACCTTATTTAATTGAGCATTTAATTTTCTTCCTATAGAACGCTCTCCTTGAAGTTGCTCAGTCAAATCTAGCTTTGCATTGCTCTGGAAAATTATATTGAAATCTGATGTAATTCATAATTTGTTTATTACATCATTTGTATATTGTATTGACTATCAAATATGAATACCAGAGAAACAAACGCATTTTCCATGTCAGTCAATTGTTCCTTCAATTGACGATTTTGATGAACTGCTCTCGACGCTCCTAATTGTTCACTCTGAAGAGCATTGGCTAATTTTGTTACTTCTGCTTCTTGATTGTTTGACTCACGTAAATCGTTAATTTCTTTTGTTAACATTTCTATATGTGAATCCTAAATATATAAAAAGGGTTATCATTGTTGTACTAGTTAAGTTAGTTATAAAGTTCACTCACCTTTTCTGATAGTGTAATATGAAGTCGTTCTTGTTCCAATGTAAGTTCATCTATATTTTTTAACAGGGTATCGATTTGATCTTTGTTTGCTTGCAAAGGTGCTAATTTTTCTACTTTTTCTCTTTCTTGTTGTATTTGTGATTCAAGTTCTGACAGTCTCTGTATGTAACTCTGTTCCCTTGATTGTAAATCTTCTATGGTTTTATTTTGGCCTTTTATCTATGAATAAAATAAAAGTTTTACATAAATTTGAAATAACAAATTTTTTTTTAAACTTTTCTGTCTTAGTGCAAGGAATATAGTATACCTGGTCTAACAACTTAGCATGCTGCACATCTAATTGTTTGACATAATTTTGATACTGTTTATTGACTTCATCCTTTTCAGTGTTAACAATTTTTAGAGATTCTTTAGCTTGTGCTAATTCTTGTTCCAAAAGAATAACTGTATGTTTATCTTCTTCCGTTGATGTAGTACCTTTCAGCTGTAAAAAGAAACTAGAAATTATATATCTTTACATAAATAATGCACGGGTATATGCATTACCTGTTGTATCCTAAGTTCACTTAATGAAAGTAGTGCTGTTTTTTCTTGCAATTCTTGTTGGACAGCAATTAATTCTGTTTTCTTCAAATTTAATTTTTGTTTTAACTCTGATACCTCTAAATCTAAATCTTCTTTTTCTTTCTTCAGTTCAAAATATTTTTTATCGAGTGAATCGTAATCGGTTTGCAATTGATGACAATTTTTCTTTAATTCTTCATTATTACCTTTTAAAAATGTTACCTCTTTTTCCAATTCAATTACACGAACTTGTGAATTTTTGAATTTTCCCGTAATTTCTTCTACCTTTTCTACAAAAAATATTTATTTTTCATCTGTTAACAACGTTTAATTTATGTCTTGTCTTTATATATTAAAGAAACTAACCCGAATTTTGTCGTGCAGTTTGTTGAGCCTGATTAAGGGCAGCAGAGAGTTCTGCTTTCTCTGCTATTAAGATTCCAGTTGTTTGAGTATGAACTTGGAGTTGCTCTTTTAAAGGATTTAATTCACGTGCCAAATGTGTTTGAAATTCTGTTTCTCTTGTTTCTAATTTGGCTTCTAACTCTGAAATTCTGCTACGCTAATCAATTTATTAAAATGTTTAAAACAATTTTATTTTAAAATTCAATATTAAACTATAAGCATATAATACATATAAAAGTAATATATCATAATTCTAGCACAATGGTAAATATGGTATGGTACACTTACAGCATTACTAAGTTCTATATGCAATTCAGTAGCAATCTTTTTTTGTTCTTCTAAATAGGAACTTAAGAACTGGTTACGGCACACTAAGTCACAGTCCAGAGTTGTTGCTGTAGATTCAGAATCATTGGTTAAAATATTTTCAACTGCAGAAGCCATCTCCAAAAGATGCTCTTTCTGTACTTTTGGAAAATCATTTAGATCTATTTTCTTTTCAATTTCTGGTTTTAAATTAATTTCTTGTGTTTCTTGTGTAGTGTTTTCAACAGAATTAAGTAATTCTTTATGATTTATTGCATTTTCTGCATTAGTTGTTGAAGCTGGAGGTGTTAATTCATTTCCTTGAAAATCCTGATCAATCACTTGTGCATTGCTTTTAGGATTTTCTGCTGTTGGTATATTATTTACAATTTCCAAATCAGATTTATTGATTTCTGCATTTTGGCACTACAAATTAATCAAATTAATTTAAACAAATTCTATTACAGTATATAAATTACAGCGTATAAATTTTTTTACCTGTGAGGGTGGTAAGTTCACCGAATGATGTTTTTGCTTGGTAGAACCACTTTGTATTTTGCTCAATTGATATTCTCTAAGCTAATAAAACAGAATAAGATTGTATAAAGTATAAGCTATCACAAAATTTTATATTAAGGCTATATTTCAAAAGTAAAATTTATGTAATAGACAAGTAAAAAATCAATATTACTTTATTGACATATTTATCATGTCAAATACTTGACAACTCATAAAAAAAAAATATTTGACAACTCATATAACCTAACAATAACATTTAATGACATGAAATCAAAAAATAGTAATAATCAAAAGAATAATAATTTGTTTATAGTTCATATATATAAAGTAATATTTTAATAAATGTAAATGCTTTAATGGTAAATTGATAATGTAATAATATATTACGTAGCTGTCAATAGTATTAAAAAATTGTACCCTTTTCTTGGCAGCCAACAGTTTCTCACTTTTACTTAAATTCATTTTTTAATATGACACAGAAAGTAACAAATAAAATTCGTGATGAGGTGCTGGTGCTTATATTTACATTATCATTATTAAAAATATTGTATTGTATTAGTATCGAGGTTATCTCATGTCTACTGATCACCTTCTTTATCATTGATTAAGTTACTTATTCAGATAGGCAAATGCAGTTAAAAATTATAAATGACTTCATCTAGTGGTGGGCGCAATGAGCCATTCAGATGATGAGTTGTTCAGTTCAGTTCTTTATTTCTACAAAAGATGGCTTATTCAATTTACATATGTCACTCGTTTTGTTTCTGTATAATGGGTAATCTATGGCAATGCGCTCTCATGACGTTTGTGACGCCAAAAGTATACACTGAACTATTGGGAGGTTGTACAATTTCTAGCTCTTATTGATTGTAGGATTTTCCGTTTGCTAGTACTTGATATAGATCGTTATATTTGATAAATACATTGCAAAAGGTCATCGGCTCTTATTGTTTGTTCATTTTTTTCCACCACGTATATGACCATAAAAGCAAAAGCAGTCTGTAGAAAGGTAGACTTATTAGTAAAAAGGTACTCCTAGATTATCGAATTACACAGTTAATTTTATACATTTTACACAGAAAATGGGATTGGAATAATTTTATTAGCTGTTTTGAAAGTTTCAATAATTCTGTAATAAATGAAATACTTTATTTTATAAATTGCAAAACCAAAAAAACCCTATCAATACATACGATATTGCATTAGCTTTCCTTACTTATTACTATTCAGTTATGCATAACTGTGAATTGGTGCGATGAAAAGGTAGAATTGCACTTGTCCACCAAACTTTCAGTTTTTGTACAAAAGTATAAAACAAAGGTAAATATAATGTATTATTACTAGCTTTAATTATTATTATTATTCTTGATAAACTACAAAACTTATGTTAAGTATATTAAGGTGATAAAATTTTATTGAAAGACTACAACCTCTAATTAACAGTGAAAAAGTTTACAAGCTGATATAATTGATTATTTAATTTTTGATTCAATTTTACATTATTTTTAATAGGTGGTAAGTAATTTGTAACATTATTTTGTTAGAGAGTACAATGTAATGGTTTGAATAATTTATTTATAAATATTCTTCACAAAGCAAATGACAAATAACATTCACATTTTGTCTTTCCTTGAAGATTTTCGTTGAATAATACCTTGATCAGAATGGTTAATTTTGTTGTATCTTTATTTAAATAATTATTTGAATATTTTGTTTATAGAAACTTCCTTTGTTTAGTGCTACAAAAATGGGTGTACCTTCAGCAAGAAATCCTGAAGCTATGGATGTTGAAATAATTTCTCCTGAAAGTCAAAATGGAGATGGAGACATTTCTGATAAAAAGGATACTGATCTTCAATCAATTCATGACATTCGTGAACATACTCGTCAAATAGAGAAAGCCATACAAAGCAAAGAACCACGATTCATTTTAAGAGCTCTACGTACATTACCTAATACACGTAGAAGATTAAACTCTAATGTTTTACGTGGAGTAATTTTAAGCTTTTATTCTAAACCTTGTGCTGAACGTGATGCATTATTGTCATGGTTAGAAGAACCTACTGAATCTGAAGAAACACAAAAGCTTAGAATCTCTACCATAAACCCTTTACCAGAAATTGATGCTTATATTCATTTGTTAGTTCTTGTGCATTTAATTGATAGTAACAAGCATGAAGAAGCTGTTCAATGTTCTGAGACATTGTTACAGAAGATTATTGCTCAAAATAGACGTACTATTGATTTAATTGCTGCAAAATGTTATTTTTACTATTCAAGAGCATATGAATTAGTTGGGAGATTGAATAAAATTCGTGGATTATTGCATCTGAGACTGAGAACAGCAACATTAAGAAATGATTTTGAAGGGCAAGCAGTATTGATTAACTGTTTACTACGAAATTATTTACATTATAATTTATATGATCAGGCAGATAAACTAGTACTGAAATCAACTTTCCCAGAATCTGCCAGCAATAATGAATGGGCCAGATTTTTGTATTATCTGGGACGTATTAAAGCAGCTAGATTAGAGTATTCAGATGCACGTAAATATTTGGTACAAGTAAGTAGGAATCTTTAGTATTTTAGTTTTTTTAAGGCATACTTTATAATGATTTGTTTTATTAGAAAGATATTCTATATTAATTATGTTTTTTTCTTAAAGGCTCTTAGAAAAGCTCCACAAAGCACTGCAGTAGGCTTTCGTCAGACAGTTCAAAAATTAGCTGTAACTGTGGAACTCCTGCTTGGAGATATCCCTGAGCGTCAAACGTTCAGACAAGCTGCTATGCGTCGTGCTTTAGCACCATATTTTCAATTAACTCAAGCTGTACGTCTAGGAAATCTTCAACGTTTTGGTGAAGTTTTAGAAAATTTCGGGCCGCAATTTAGAGCAGACCATACGTTTACTTTGATTCTCCGATTAAGACATAATGTTATTAAAACTGCAATTCGATCAATTGGATTGTCCTATTCTAGAATTTCTCCTGCAGACATTGCAAAGAAATTAGGTTTAGATTCCAGCGTCGATGCAGAGTTTATTGTCGCTAAAGCTATTAGAGATGGTGTAATTGAAGCTACTTTGGAGCCAGAAAATGGGTACATGCGTAGTAAAGAAACTACCGATATTTATTGTACTAAGGAGCCGTTACTGGCGTTCCACCAGAGAATTACTTTCTGTTTAGATTTACATAATCAAAGTGTTAAAGCTATGAGATATCCGCCAAAATCTTATGGAAAAGATCTTGAATCGGCCGAAGAACGAAGAGAAAGAGAACAGCAAGATTTGGAACTTGCTAAAGAAATGGCAGAAGAAGATGATGATGGATTTCCTTAGATTGTTAATATTTTCAATACGTTTAATTAATAAAATGAGTTATCATGAAATATTCTTCCTCGTTTCTTATGTTTCATATTAAATGCACAGTAAGAAACTTTGTTTTAATATTAAAAAAATTTGAAAGATTGAATGTGAAACGAATTTTATGAAAATGTCTTCTATAAAAATAATCAAGAAATGAAAATGTAAATTTCGACATTTTGTAAATATATTCTTTAACTTGCCCAAAGTGAATTATGGATTTGCTTGAAAAAATATTATGATTATTGATACTATTAAAACTGAATACATCTGTAATTTAAAACATTGTAATACACAAAATTTTGCAACAAAAGTAGTACATGTGCTATATTTTATTTTTATTTACACAATAAACAATGATATAAAATATTTAGATTAACTACGCATTCAACTATTCATAAATATTATAAAGATTTAAATATCATATTAAAAAGCCTTGAAATCTCTTATTCTTTAAGAGTGTTATTTTTTCCAAAGGAAAATAGTTTTTGAATAAATTAGTGTTTTCATTTTCCTTTAAAAACATATTTCAAGTAAATTTTGTCAAGTTCTTCTATGAAGAATGTTTTATCTGAAACAAATTAACAATTTTTTCGAAATAATACTTTTCTACGGGAGAAAAATTGTCGGTAATATACATTTGCAAAAAAGAGGAAAAGGAAAAAAATTATCTTTTGGTGTATAGATATTAACATGATTATACCTTCATAAATAAAATTTATTTATAACTAAATACCTATAACGAATTACTCAGTTACATTTGCTATAATACACTGTACAATATTTTGACTGTACAATAGTCTTCTCCTATCTTCTAATTTTCCGTTTGTACAAATTTATTAAACACGAAAAATTCAATAGAAAATGCATCTCTTCGGTACGATAGTGAAGCTTCTGAACTATTTATAAAATACAAGTAGTCCATTATTATCGGTATAAAATTGTTCAAATTGATGATTAAGAAAATTGATAAAGATCTTTGGCAATTAGTTTCATGGAATACTGTTATCTTTTTGGAGATTTTTCTGCTCTTTTTATCATCAGTCTGAAACAATATAATATTTAATTAATTAAATTTTACATAGAAGATTAAATAACAGTAATGATATAATTTAAAGTACTTACCTTGTCTTATTTTAAATATGTAATAAATTATAAAAATCAGTAAAAATAACCGTCTGTCAATTAATATTTGAACACCGTTTCCTCTAAGACTCATATTTGGTCTTATAAATTCATTCCTTTTATCATCATCGACGTTCACATCACGATATCCGTGATGTATTTTTCCAAAGCAAAGGAGATTCATATTTCGGTGAATTCCCTTACAGTCATACTCCTCGAAACCATCACACTGACATGTATTTAATTTTGCCGCTTTCTCTTGTCTCGTTAAAATATTTATCGAATTTCTACAACTAAAAGTGTAAAATTCATAACACGTTCGCCATTAATTTGTACTAGCATTTAAAAAATTATTCAAATATTATTTACCGTCTGGTACATTTACGTCCTTGAAACATGCTTTTGCAATACCTATTATAATATGCCAAAGCAGTTTGACAAAGAGCGTCTGCATTACAAATCCACGTTGCTATCCTGCAGGACACTTTCGTCCTGTTCATTGCCATGGTTACAGATGATCTGCATATTTCTACCCTCTGTTTCGATTGCAGACACAAGTCGTCTTCGCATTCACACTAGCAATAATAACGAAATGTTATTGGCTAAAAAATGTTAATTTATGTAGACTAAAAATAATTTTACGCAACCGTATCAGTTGTCAATAATCAGTTTTATAATATGAATGTAATGAAAAAAGCCGTGGCGTAGATGTGCATGTTGGTATTTGATTATTAGTACAACAAAATGTCATTAAGGTAATTAAAGAATTATGTTTGTATAATGTACGCTCAAGTGCAACGTAGGCCTCCTAAAGATAGCTTACATCTATGTCAAATCGTACTTTCTTGAAATTCTATTTTCTCTATTAATACGCCTGCTAGAAATTCGTGGGACGAATCAGATAAGTAAAAATAATATTAATGTATAAATTCTCCCAAAGCCGAAAGTAAACCGAGAAGCGCTTCCCCCTCCACTCTCGAACAAAACCTACGTTGACATGGGCGTTTGAATTATGGCGGTCGACGTGTTAAACAAAGAAAGAATGACAAAACAGAAATGTGATACGTACTGTCATAAGTTCCTTGCCCTCATCGGTGCTTGTGAGAGCAATAAGGGCATGTTGGCAGGTCTCGGAACAATCATTGCCTTGGAGAACGGGTGCACAGCCTGTGAGATAGTGCTGTAGGGCATTACCACAGCCTATTCTGTAAGCACATTTTAGTTTCGCTTCCTCGCATCTCATGATCGAACTTTTAGCTGTATTCCACACTATCGAACTGATCAACACCATACCCATTAGGAGCATGCTCGATAGATCGAACCAACGTGACATTTTTCTAGAACATAATTAAAATATAATATCTTATTACTAACGTATACGCAACTTGTATTCACCTCATAAAAAATTCTTATAAATTTTTAAGTAAAAAATGTACAACATTTCTTCATCCGATCAACTGTTTACACATTCTAACTGATGCGCATAATTTTCGTTCAAGGAACTCTGTGTACACAACTCTGTTTTCTCAGTAATTCGATAGTGGCATGTTTATCAAACGCTTCAAATGAATGTTTCATATGGTGTTACGTGATATCTGATCTTACACAATGTAAACACTATAAAAAAGAAGAGAGCATAAGTATCGTTGATGGGCATCTTGTCATATAGGAAGTATACAGCATCCCATACAATTAGAGACGTATTGATAATATAAAAATTATTTAAAGTAGTATATGTTATTATACGTGAGAGTAAAAAATATTTATTTCACCCATATTTTTATTTCTTGCATAGTTATAAAATTTTATTTCAATATAAATTCTAATCCGACCATTATAGTCCACCGCGAAGTGCTTGTGGATTCTTGTAACAGATGTGTACCGTAAAGAGACATTCCCTGATATTCTTAAAATAAATCAGACCTGTTTGTCATTCGAGGTAATGGGATGATTTTATGATTCACGCTTAAAAACCACAAATATTTGCAGAAAACATACATGTTATTTGCATGTTTAAAATTTTATATATCTTACTTTTATTTATATCATGATCTATTGGATGTTTCGAAATTGATGATAAAAAAGGAAAGGCATAGACTAAAAGTCAAAAGAAGACAAAATTGTGTAGTCTTGTCTGAAACCTTTCTGAGCAGCATCCCTTCAGAGTTTTGTAAACAAATTGTATTTAATGACAATACATTTACATATCCTTTCCAGGTATGGTTTAAATGTGGTACTACAATTTCTGGTAAGTTCAATTGAAGAGGAGTTAGGAGTTTCGTAGCCTATCAACAGGAAAAGTGTAGGCATCACCGTTAGAATTTCTATCAGAACAACACGGTTGAACGTTCTCCCGCTCTACTACTGTCTCTCTACTGCTTTCAACTGATACCAGTAAAAAAGAAGCGAGTACAAGGGAGGGGGTGAAAGAGAGCACGTGCGTCAGCGTGCACACGATAGTGAGAGAAAGAGAGGAGTGGGGCGAGGAGGAGGAGGGCAGATTCTACCTGAGAGCGCTTCATTGCCAGCGCTAGTGCCGATGCTGTTGCGCACCAGCCCCAAAATGGACCACCAAGACGTCGCAGACGTGGCAACGAGGGACAGATGGCCAGCCCTATAGACCCTCAGTGATGATCAACTTCACTTTGCACTCGAGTTTAAATCTCATTTCGAACAAACACGCGGGGAAACATTAAAAGGAGTCGGCGACAATGCTAATTTAAACTGCTTGTCGGGAGGATGTTCAATCAATGCTTGTGGCCCTGGTAATCTCATTCAATTAAGATGTTAAGTAGATATTGACACTGAAGAGGGTTTGTTTGCCACGAGAAAATAATGACTAAATAAACACGCGTTACGAAGTACAAACACTCACAGGGGACATGGGTTAATACTCCGGTGGTGCGCTACTTAATTAAACACGTGTTTGAAAAGAACTTTTTCGCGCCTGCGCACTGAATAGGTACTTACGATACAGGATTGTTATAAACAATTATAACTATTATTATTACATTGTGTTTAAATAGTTTCAACATTATGTTCACAGGTCATTGTAATTGTGCAATGTAAAATATAATAATAATATCAATGTTAATTATAAATAAACAAGTCTGAAAATTCGGTACTTTTTAAACTATCAAATATTGAATTTATTTTATCGTATTTTTAAAATAATACGCAATAAAGTATAACACTTTTATTTTATAAAACAAATTAAAACAAAACATACAACTAACATTTTTATAATTAAATTAATTGAATAATTTTCAGATCACTTTCAAATTTAAATACCTTTCTTTATCAACTGCATTTGTATAATGTAACATATGTAAAATGCAACTGTTTCTACTACTTCGGTATTATTTGACAGTCTGGAAAACAGTATTCCATATACATAAACTGTAAAATAAATTGATATTTAATTTTAAACTGTTTTTTTGTAGCATTATATGATTATCATACAAATAGTAAAATTATGTTTATTACCAATACAACTCATTTTAAATCAAGCAAATAAATTATAAGTATATGAGATAGGTCAAAAAATTATTCAAAATATGACATTTATAAGTTTGCCAGTGTATTAATACACTATTAATAATTTAATTGAAGGTACTAACCTTGTGAACAATCACATTGTTCCAACAGCAAAGAGAGATGAAACTTAGGATTCTAAGTGCAAGCTAATCCTCCAATGAAAACTGCGATTCCGTGTCAAGAATTATAACACTATGTAGAAAGAGTGAAAAGAAAAACCCTCCTTCCACGTACACGGTCACCGAGACACTAGATTGAGTTGTGACGGCTTGCCCCGCTGTGTAGAGAAGTTGCGCGCGCCGCTCCTTTTCCCTCACCATTGGCCACTGGCCCGGGACCGAAAGGACTACTGACAGATTCAAGTTCCAATCAGATCTAGAACTTAAATAATTTTATTTCTTTTCAACCTTTACAGTACTATATTATCCACATTGTTACACATTACATAGTTCAAATTATCCATATGAAATAATTGCTAAGAGAATTCTTCAGAATACTAGTCATACTTCCCAGCAAAAAGCTGTTTCAAAATAGAATTCATAAAAATAATGATAGGATAAAATTTAAATGCTTTATACCTTAAGTATATTATATTATATTTCAAGTTAAAATAGGATAAATATTAGAAAGATATGAAGCACTTATATCAAACAATAAATACTGATACAACTACAAATTATTTAAAAATATCCTTTCAGTTTTTCCAAAATATTATGTTAATATACTTAAACGTTACTTGAATTAAGTAATGAACGTGTAAATAAATTCATAAAGGTTTACTATTCTGGAGAACTTGTTCTGATCACAAGATCGTTTACTGCCATTACTAGCTCTATCCTCCACCCACAGTGGTCCATGGTGCCCCAACCTGCTTGGCTGATTGAGACACCAGCCTGGTTCCAACACTACCCTCTTTCCCCCGTCCTCACTCGTACCTTTCTCAGAGCGACGTCGAACAGTCCAGCATTTAGATGCGTTCCGTTCTTTCTTACGTTTCTCCTTCTTCCTGTGCCGACCTTCCATCGGGCTCCCTTTCAGGCCCCCTTACTACTTCTATTCCCTACCACCAGTGTTCAGCGGGCTCCTGTGACTCTCAACTCAACTTCACTCCTTTAAACGAGATGCAGAGGACAGCGCAAAGAAGATTAGCTGTTTGAGTACAAATTGAACCGGTTAATCGATTCTGCAGGTAGAATAAGAACTCTGAAACGGGCTAAATTGTAAACGCATATCGTTCTTTCTTCTCTATTTATTTATCGCATAGCCTGAAATAGTCAAACATTTTTTATTAATTATTGTTAAACTTCTACTGTTATTAAACATAACGTACTCAGATTTTTGGATACGTACCGTTTTTTCTGATATCTTAGTTGAATGAATTAGAAGATTAAGAGGGCTATTTGTTCCGAATTAACGAGTTGACGAGAACGCGTGCCTTAGTTTGCTTAGAACATCCTAGACAAATGTTTTCGGCTTCGCCTTCTGAAACGAAATAAAAGAAGGTTCTCAACAGGTTTCTGCTTACTGATTTTTTGTATAGAATACAAGTAGATACCAATTTATGCTCAACGCGAATTATGAAGACTGAAATTTTAAACAGATTGTAATGAGATAAGAATCAAACACTTCCTGCAATACAGGAAACGTGATGGGAGATTTAGATTAGTGAATTTTGATGAAGCACGAAAGATCTAAAGAATACTTAGATCGTCAGATACCACAGCAGAGATACTTGAGCGATAACTCACGCTACACGAAGATCAAAATTAATCTTGATACCCAATCTTTGAACATGATTCTACTTATGCAAATCTATGATTGATCGATAAAACGATGCAATTAAAAATTATTAATTCAATGCTGTTAGAATCGTGTACTGTTTTACTACTTAAATATATTAACCTTTACGTAAATTTACATTTTATACGCTTCAGAAGATGACTAATGTTTTATAAACCTTATATAATCTTATGACAATTATATTAATATATACTTTGAAATACAATGAAGATTGTGTACAATTAATTTGTTACAAGTAGCTACAGATTTTATGAAGCTTCTTTAACATTTTCATTCAGGCCTCTTTTTCCAAAACTTGTTTCTCTTAGTTTCTCAAAAGCTAATGTTAACATTTTCTTAACAACTGAGACTGATAAGTGTAATTGGAGACACCGTTATGTAGCCAAAAGAAATTCGATATGTACCGAATATGTTACTAAAATTTTACAGAGATTAAATTCTGACCAGTATCTCAACTTTGTGAGCAGCGCACGAAGGGTCAGCATAGTGGTTTTTGTTCTCTTTCCATCTCCCTCTTGCCGGCGCTCTTTCTTGCTGTCAGTTTCTCTCGATGGTCTTTTTGATCTTTTCGAAGCAATTGTCCCAAGCGAGAACCCGGTTGAGGCAATAACGACCACAGGCCCGGCCTATCCTGTACCTCCTGACGTCTTAATAAAGCAATCGTCCGATTTCTTGAAACCCTTCTTCTTTCGCTCCAAGCCACGCTCCGAAGCCTTTCGAAATAAGACTTCATTTCGTTCCATTCTACATTTTATATTTATTTCGTTCCGTTCTATATATATTTCTGATATTTTATTTGTTGTAAACCTGTCATTAAAGAAATAAACTTATCAATGTCATTCCAATTAATTCGCGTAGCTTCCTTTTTACAAATAAATTTTCAATTAATAAAAGTACCTGGATATATTAAAAATTTTACCATTCAAGTTTACACTAAGTTCCGATTTTCTCCGAACTATTTTTCATTCGTGTATAGTCATTCAAAAGATAATTGCATGTACCCGTTTTATCTGGACCAAACTGAAACATAATTCAACAATACAGTTAAAATTGATGCAATATTTGTGTATACATATTTATATTTTAATTCATTTTTTGAAATCAAAAATATATTATTAAATTCTTAAATCTCTGTATATATATCTTAATTATAAACAATTATCAACGCTGAAAGTCGCTAGTATTTGTCTATTACAACACAAAGGGACCGATCCACTTCTATGGTCCGACAAAGCCCTACGGAATCCTTGTCATGCTTCGGTGATTTTTCGGAAAAACAATGAACCTCGGTTTGATGTCGATTTAACGCCTACCTCTACTTCTTAAGCTTCCCCTTAATAATTGTCCTTGAGAAATGGAAACTTGTAAAAAAGTTGATAGAAACGAATTAAACAAAAGAAATAAAATATTATGTTTGTATTTTTATTTTGTTAGGTCCGGAAAAAATGTTTCTAGAAACTTCGAACTTGTAGCTGATTTATCTATTCCTTCAAAATAAATAAATTGTCTGCAACACAAATAAATGATTGTCAAATATTTTATTTTACACATAATTTACAATAATTTTTTTGTAAAAGAATATTTTATTTCAACCTTACTTTATTTATCGATAACTGTCTTACCGTAAGCGTAATATTACGTCATGTTAATGCAAACAAAATGATGGAAAAAGTGTCAATTGACACTCAAAAGAATTGTTTAAAATCCTCGTTGACTAAATTCTTTGAAATATTTCTTAATTATATTTTCATCGTGTTCATGTGACAAAATAATGTTAAATAATAACACGCAACACTTGACAGGAAAATGCAGTTCGAACTTTTAATTATAACCATGTAAATGATATAACTTTTGCGCGCCAAAAATCGAAACAAAATGAACGTCGAAATTGTTCGCGAATAAATCGAAAATGTATCACTTGTTTCTACTGCTTGTAGGATCAAAATAGAATGAAGAAATTAATCAACTTAGTAATTTTTATTGTAATCGTTACAAACGTTAAATGCGAATCGCTATTTTCATTTCTTATGCACTAACACGCTTGGAACGGAAGCGAATGCCCCAATAAATAATAAACGAAACGAAAGGAAAATAAAAGAAGTACCATCGATAACATGTCAGAAGATAAATGGAAATTACATTTTGATTTGTTTCCTTTTTTTTTGAAAAATGTTATTAACAGTACTGGGATAATGCAAAATTCAAATAAAATTAGCGTGGTTAAAAGAAAGTGTCACTTACTGTACTAGGTTATATGCGTACTCTAAGACTTCTAAGGTTACAACGGAACGAAACGATCAATTTGAGAGAAACTGAGTTAACTTTAATCAAATATGGCGAGTATGTTCAATGTATTAAAAAAGGATTTTAATTTGGTGTTTTATTATCGAAAATTTTTCATAAAGTATTAGACTATTGTACAGTTTCATTGGAAAATAGAAGTGATTATCAGTTTCTCCTTAAGCTTTTAAATGTATGATGGTAAAAAAGTAATAGAAGCCAACCTTTCTTTCTCTTCTTACTCGCACATAGGAATCATGCTCTCTTCATACACTCATACAAATATGTTTTTGTCTCGTATAATATAACGTAACTGTACATAAAATCACTTATACGACTACTATATACACTAAGTTCTGTTTCTTGATCCTTTGATTTCGAAATTTCCCGCGGTACATTCAATCGAATCGATATTAATATAATACCGAAATAATTGGTAATAATAAAAATAATAATGTAAATATAATAATTATTATAATAAGAATAGAGCGTCAACATAGATATGTATAACAGTATAACAAATACATCATTAGATTCCTGAAACGTATAAACTCCGTTTCACGCAAGACCATATTCATTCGATGACAAGTTTTCATCCGGTCTGCGCATGTCATCTTTGATTGATTTGAAATGTTTCGTGATCGAAGACAATTTATAACATTTGTGACACTAAATGTACCTACGATTTATTCTGTATACTTGCATCACCTCTTCTTTCTATCCACATATTTTTGTTCACCGTGTATATGACCAACAGAACGAAAGTCGTGTGGTAATGTAGAGCTTACTGAAGTTAGCCGAGTTGCGCGAATTGAGTATGGTTTTCCGTGGAACGAAGAGATATAAAAAGATACGCTTAGAATATAATTTGAAAGTTTTTTGTAATTTTATAATGTTAATTATTTATCTAATATTATGATAAATTCTGCATATTGCTATCTTTGTACTATTTCTTGTTGGAGAAAATTTATAGAAAAAAAGATTTTGAAAGTGAAATATCGATACCGATCGAATTACCTCAAATTAATTTGAGGTGTTCTCGGATTTGCGCCCACGAAGTCAAAATTAATAAAAATTTAAATAAATTGCTTAAGAGTTCAGGGATCGTTCTTTTATTATATCATATTGGTTTTTTGGTCATCTTCAATCCATTTTAAATCTTGCTCTTTGTTATCCATTGCTTGATTTTAAATTTACTGTCAAAGTAAATATTCATTAGGGACGTGCGAATATCTACAATTATGGAATCGGGTAGAATCGGGTCGCATCGCAAAAGGTCGGAAATTTCAAATTTATAAATCAATAGTGTATCGTGAGAGTTTATTCGAGCCTATCATTTTTCTTAAACTTGTCTGTCTTGTTATATCCATTCTACCCAATATATCGGGCTACCCGCACTTCTCTAATTCTTGTTTGTTTCATACTTTTATGTTTCTCACTTCATTTACCAAATATAATGAAAAGACGGTCCCTATCGTAAACTTTGCGAAAGCTAATTTTAGCACTTAACTTAATATATTTACAAATTACCGCGTAGTCTGTACGAATTTTCATTAATTCCAAGGTACATATCACGTAATAATTCTGTATCTTAAATACAGAATAAAACGATACAAACTTCGATTATTTTCAATATATTTTTTTTAGGAATACGTGGACATGTTTCGAGTTACTTTAATTAACTTAAATAATTTGGTAATTAAACATTTGGTTTTAAAGATATCCAAATATTTAGTACTTCATACTAGTTACTATCATAAAATATCTTACCTCGCGTAATTTATAATCAATTTTATAACTAGTGTTTAGTATTATTTATGTTTTCTTAACTTTTTACATTCGGTTCCCAGCAATTTCAATTTTCATTGACTTCATTTCCACGTATTCTTAATTATCGAAACAATGTCTAATAACTCTGTCTCACCTTACATTTCTTCAAATAATAATCTCAATTTGGCACTCATTTCCTTGCATCGTCACTATCTTCTTCTGTACTATACCTAAGCGTAGAATAAACATATTCTTGTTTCGAGTTTTCATTTTCATCTTCCAGTATGTCTTGTTGAATCAGTATTTGATCTCCTTCAGTCACCATCAAAACAGCACCCTCTAAATCATCCAGCTGCACATTATCGTCCCTTTCTTCGTTCTCTTCATCGTCGTCATGTTCTTCAATTTCTTCGTTTCCTTCTTCGTTATCTTCATTTTCTTCGCTTCCCTCGCTTTCTTCTTCATTGCAATCATTCTCTTCATTTTCGTACATTTCTTCGTTTCCATCGTACTCCTCATTTTCTTCATATTCTTCATTTTCCCTGCTATCTTCAATTTCATCGTTTTCTTCGTTCTCCTCATTTTCTTCGTTTTCATCATGTTCGTCATTTTCTTCATTTTCTTCGTGTTCGTCGTTATCCTCGTCATTTTCTTCGTGTTCATCATTCTCTTCGTCATTTTCTTCAACAGAATTCTCATCAAATTCAACTTTCGCATTTTGAAAATCTTCATCACTTCGATTCATAAATGTTTTAGACACAAAGTCTAAAGTTGAATTATTAGGTAAGTCTTTTTCGTACAAATTTAGTGACTTCGGAGATCGATTTCGAATTTCTGACAAATCACATGCTTTTATTTCCTTCTCTGTTAGAGGTATTACAGAACCAAATTTGTGGCCCATTGATTGATCTTCGGAGATATTTTCTCGAAGCAAAGGCATCATGGGACTAAGAACAGGAGGTCCATCATCATCTGACAAATCTACGTTCTTCCGTGTTTCTAGAATAATTTTAAAATATTAACTTTACGTTTTACATTAATTACAACAATAGTGTATTTAAATTAAATAGCTACCTGTATTCTCGTTTTCCTGAAGACGTTCCAAAGTATAACGTTGCATATTCTTTTCCTCGATGTCTAAATTATCTAGTTCTTCAGAATCTTCGCTTTCTGAGTTATAAGTAATTTCTCCAGTGACTCTCGATTCACCCTCTGATTCATTTTCTTCTTCAACTTCGGTACTACTACCACTGTCTGATTCTTCCGTATCCACTTCTTCGGCTTCAGATTCATAATCCCCTTCTTCTACCTCAATCATAGCATCATCTGCTATTAGGCTTCCCTTTTAACAGAAAATAATTTTTATACATCCATTCAATTTAAATGTCATTAAGTATTTATTATTTTAAAACATACTTCCGCCTTTTCATCATTCTTTAATTGCTGTTGTTCTTCTTCTTCTACCTTTCCTGAACAGATATTTGAATGAGCAGCTTCGTCCGTTACATTCTTCCTACATTTTGAACACCAAGTACTGTTGCTCGAATGTCCAAGATGAATGCTTGTGTGCAATAACAATTTACTACGAGCGTTGTGATACCTATCACGTACAGAACATTGATTAATAGACTGATAACCGTGCAGAATTTATATAGATAATCAAGTGTAGAGTAAACAAAATGAATAATAAGTAAACTTCTGTACCTGCCACAAGTTTTACACGTGAAGTTATTTCCTTCACATGATAGAATTGCTTCGTGTGTAGCTTTTAAATGATTTGTTAAATCATCATAATCTTTACAGAGCTTCAAACACACTCCGCAAGTAACAGCAGCTTCTGCTCGATGGAAACGAATTAAGTGTTGCCATAAATGTTTCTTTGCTGGCCACTGTTTTCCACAAACTTCACAAGTACATTCTGTATTCGTTGATTCGTCATAAACCTTTCTGGAATCCTTTCTTGAACATTTCATTGTGGTTTTTGTTCTAACATTACAATTAATATTAAATTATGATGTTAACTAATAACACAAGATAATTACATTTTATTGTATTTTATATTTACCTCTGAGGCAGTGGCATTAGATTTGGAAGAGGTCTTTGGCCCGATAACTGAAGATTTATATCCTCAAAAAGATTGAAGTCAGGTATATTTAAATTCGTTGTAGGCTCTTCTTTTTTAATTTGATGATTATTCTTCAAAATCTCTTCCCCGCTTCCAAGTATGTTTTCTCGAACATTTAACATATTATTACGCAAGGGTAATAATTCCTCCTGTAAGGCAGATATGATTAATTGAAGCTCCTGATAAAAAATTATATTATAATAATTGAAGAGTCAATTACTTCTTTTCGTAAAGCACTTCTTCTACAATTTGCAACGTGACTCCAATACAATGTTTTTGTGCAAAATTGTCTCTTGCAATTTTTACAAGAGAAATTCATTCTTCCGCGCATTCTTCGCTGTTCGTCTTGTTTTAATCTTTTAAACATTCTTTCTGGATCTGTATTGTGCATATTACGATAATGTTTTGAAAGAGCATCGCTGCTCACGAACATCTCAGGACACATTTCACAATCGAATGTGTCTGTTAAAGATCTTCTTCTTTTTGAGTCATTAGAATCCTCATCACAAAGATCTACATCATACTCCAAATCATCTGGCTCATCTTTAACTACTACATCGGCAGATTCTAACTCAAATTCATTTTTCGAACCGATATCCAACCTATATTCAAATGCAGCAAATTGGTCTTTCGAAATGTTATGCACTCTTTCATAATGATCTCTGATCGCGGAATCTTCAGTGAAAACAGCTAAACACTGCTTACAAGTCCTAAACACTTTTCCATGACACTTTTTAGTATGATCAAAAGCCTTCCACTTTGACGCATACTGCTTTCCACAGACTTGACAGGTATTGGGTCTCGAAAGAACACTGGAATGAACTTCTTCTACATGACTCTTAAGCTCCTTTGGATCCTTCATTGGAATTAAACAAACTCCGCAGGACACACCAATTTCATTGCGATGAAGTGACAGTACATGCATTTTTAACTTGAGTTTATTCTCTACTGTGTCACCGCAGAAATCACACACATTCGGCGTTGTATGATACCTTAAAAAGAAATAATCATACAGTCCATAATATCAAACATAACTTACTTATTAATATCATTAATTATATTATAATAAAATTTATAGTTTGCTTAGTAATTTGTATTGTAGATAGATACCTATGATCTTTCTTATGAGCTTCTAAATCTTCTTTAGTTCTAAATAATTTCCTGCAGGAACCAAAATTACAAGTTAAATCTGGATGATCCATATGTTTCACTCTATTATGCGTCATAATTCCTAATTTTGAAGTGATCGTCTCGTTGCAAAGATGACAAGTGTATGTACTATGATGATTCTCAATATGCTTTTGTAGACTAGCACGATCCTTAAATATTCGTTCGCAAGCTCTGCATCTTGTTAAAAGTGCCCCAGGATCTTTTCTGTAATTCTGACACCCTTTCATATGTCTGCGCAGCAGATACCGTTTATGAAATCTTTTATTACATTTCTCACAATAATGTAAACTAACTTCTTCAGTTTTAAATTGTCTACTGTCTTTTCTGTCTTTTCTAGAGTCAGGTTCGTATCTATGAATTTTGGATATATGTGCAGCCAAATGATCTTTGGAAGCACTGGTTTTCAAACAATAAGGACAGGTTACGTCTTCGTGACCTTTGTGAACTCTATTCACATGTTTCCATAAGTGGGAAGTTCTTCCATAACATTTGTTGCAGAGATCACAAGGGAAAAGTCCATGAACAATTCGCCTATGATTACACAATTTTTCTAAATTAGAGAATTTTAAGTCTGCACAAAGTTCACAACTTAATTCACTTTCCCTGATTTGTCCATCTATTTTATTTTCATTATTCTCGGCTACATTATCACAAATCTCTTCAAATCCGTGAATTTTTCTGTGCCTGGACATTTTGGATTTATTCGAATATGGCCTTCCACAAATGTCACAACTAAAGTCGCCGTTTGTTAATGGCCAATGTTTCGATTTCACATGAGTACTCAGTTGTAAAACATTTGGGAACACTTTTAAACAGACTCCACAAATTAATGGAACGGTATCCGAGTGAACGCCCATAACATGTTTCCAGTAATCAACTCTACTGCCCCAAAGTTTACCACAAATTTCACACGTGTTGGGAGAAGAACCTTGAATCACATGATGTTGGATGTGATCGTTTCTTAGAGATTTCGTCGCGAAGATTTTACCACAATCTTCACGATCACATTTTATAGCTGATTCATTACTATGAGAAGAACTGACGTGCAACCAACGTTCCCATTTGCTAGGATGTGAACTACCACAAAGTTCACAAACAAAGAAGAGATGGTACTGAGCTCTATTTCCACCCCCATTTAAACTCGACGAATTTAAAGTATCTCCTGTTGGCACTAGCTGTTCAGACTAAAAAATGATAAAATTTATTCTAAACAAAAAATCAAAATATTTTTTCCAAATACTTTTAAAAATTACTTTTTAATTTAATTTTTTTAGCTTTTTAAATATCTTACCCTATGTGCGTTTCTTTGATGTCGTATTAAATGATCTTCACTAGGAAACGATTTATAACAAATATAACAGTCCACTTTGTCTCCGTCTTCTTCATAATCAAGCATTTGTTCTGTTGTTTCGTTGCCATTAATATTTTCTCCATAGTAATTGCTATTTAACTGTACAAAATTTGCAGGATCGAAGTTTGGATCAACATTATGTATAGATACATGTGCAATTAATTTTTTCCTGGAATCATGCTGCCTGCCACAGATAGTACAACTGTATCTATTAATGAGAAATAAAATAACTATATAATTACAAATAAAAATGTTTTGAAAATTTGCCATCGATATTTCTATGCTCATTACAAATATTGAAAATAAATTATAATACCTTCTTTGTTCAGATAATAATAACTTCGAACCGCCATGATACATATTTACATGATTTAGAAGTTGTGTATTGTCTGCACAAATTTTTAGACAAACACCGCACGCAAATGCTGCGAATTCTTTATGAGTAGCTCGGATATGAAGCCAAAGAGATGCGCGATCATTAAAATCTCGAGTACAGATTTCACAAACAAATACGGTTTCAATTTCGATTAGGTTCTCCTGTCCACTTTCCCGATCTTCTTCCTCATTTTCTATATTTGCCTAAAAATTTTGAAATATAATAGAAAAATTGAATTATAATTCTTTATTTTCAAAAAGAAATTATGAAATATAAACATACCTCTGATGACAAAGGAAATTCGGAAGCTTTACCCTCGTATATATCAAGATCTATAGACTCGTTCCAATTCTGGGAAACCACCTTTTTTAAACACTTATCACTTTCAATTATAGGACATGGATCAACACCATGTAACATCTGAATGTGCTTGCTTAAGGAAGACTTAAGAACAAAATCTTTGTTACAAAGAATACAGATAAAAGGCTTATTAGCATCATGAATTGCTTCATGCTCTTTGAAATCCTCAACTGAAGCGAAAGACTGAGGACAAAATTCACAATACCATTTTTTATTATTTTGCGTATCTGTGTTATCTGTAAATCAAACATGAAAAGTTCATTTTTAGATTAAAGAATTTTTTGTACCACAGTGTTTCGAAGTATAAAGATCAGTTTATATCTGCTTCTTTTTTTACTTTATAATACGTGATGATATAACACAAAATAGTAAAATTAGAAACGTATCATTGAATGTTTAAGTTACCTGTCTTCGGTAATTTTTTCGGTTTACAATTTGTTGTGAACTTGTCTTCAAAGTCTCGTTTAAGACTATCTCCTTTCGTTAATGCCTGTTTTAAAATTGTTAACTGAGGATTGTTAGCTAACTTAGCTTCTGCAGTTCTATAATCTTTGCTATCATCATCACTAGCAACACTCGATGTTTCAGAACTATCAACAATTTTATTCTCACTACTTTCATTTCTTGCCGGCAAGTTTTGTACTTCAGTGCAAATTCTACCATGGAGATTCAATTCCATGGCATCTGTACATACTTTCCCGCAAACATTGCACTGACATCTATTTTCTGGACGATAGGAATTGCTGACTGGAACCCCCGTGGGTGCTAGAAGACCAGCGTGACGTGATTTTATATGTTCTTCTAAATTTGTTCGAGTTGAGTAGATCCGTGAACAATAACCACATGTCACTGCTGGGTGACCTCTAATATAAGATTATTATATTATCAATTTTGTTATTACCTTAATTTTACGGTAGTTTAAAAAATATATATATTTGTAAAACAACAAACCTATGAGTTGTAGAAACATGACCCCAACGATGTTTAGCAGTTGAATATGATTTATGACAAAGATCACACTGGTAGGGTCTTTTATACGATGTATGATCATCTGTAAGCACTTTTTCGCCAATAACATCGCCGGCGCCTACATGAATGCGTGCATGTAACGATAAATGACCTTTCGAACTAAATGCCTTGTTACATAAGGAACAAACGTAAACTTCATGTTGCTGAGACGTGTGCTGTAATAATATGAATAAGCAATTATCATTAATTATAAACACGTTTCCTTTAATACAAAGTTAATGATGCATGACACCAATTTCGGAGCTATCCGAAGATTACCTCTGGTAAATTATTAGGAAGTTCCTGATATCTTATAACAGATTCTTCAGGTTCTTCTGTAACCATTGAAGTCATTTCTAAAAAATCGCTCGGATTTGTTTCCATATCCATTTCATATTCCTCTGAACGATGATCCTCAAACTCATCATCTACCATTGTTGCTTAAAACAAAATTCATACATACATACATACATATTTGTTCTATATATTAAGTTTAATTTTAACCTAATATTGTTTATATTTTTAACAAAATAAAAATTTTCTGCAAATTAAAATAAAATAGATACCTTCATCTGTGGCACTATTATCAACAATTTCTTCTGTCTCATGATCAGCCTCTCCATCAGAATTTAATCTAGGTGGTGTGCCTAAGGCAGCATTTGGATTTACAATAGGAGCTTCTGGAATCAAAATTGGTAAACTTTCTTTTCCTTTGTACACCTGTAAATCGTTACATGTTAAGGTGGTTGTAATATTTCCATTCTGAAAAAAGAAGAAAGAAACTGTCAATGCCCTCACCACTTTCATATTACTAAAATTACAGAGTTATTTTATATTATTATTTGAAATTTAATCATATGAAAGATTTTTAATTTAACATATAAAAATTATTTTTACCGATTCCGAAGGTGGTAAACATCTTTCCAAGAGAGCAACTGCATTGACACACGCTGTTCTGAAGTCGTAGAAATTTTCCAAATTGTACATACACCGGTAACACAGGCATTTTGGCAATCGATCATTTTCAGCAATCTATATTTGAATATGTAAGTGTTAATATTGTAATAACCATCAAAGTGAAATAATAATATTAGCAGAACCTATTAAGTGCAACTGATGTTATTCATATCACAGCAATGATGTAATTGATGCAACTAATGATTATATAACTTTATATAAATTTTTAATACTTGTGCAAGAAACAATAAAATATACAAGTAATATATTTATATCACATTGATTATATTTAAGTATTATTTCTTATTTTTATATGTTAAAGCAATATAATAATTATAATGAAATATATATACATTATCTTTTAATTCAATTTCAGTTATTAAAACTAACAAAAAAAGTAAAATGTTTATTTACATAATAAAAAGATATAATACAGATTTATTAGCAGAGTACAAAACATCTGTTAATGTATGTGCTACCTATTCATAACTTTGTTTTAAAATATGAAACTGTAATATAGTTTTATGTATGCTAAGTTCAATATTCAACAGGAATATTTTTGCATCATAACACTAGAACTTGTACTACAATAATTACCCAACAATTAACTTAAAAGTTTAATTGCAGAATATTACACAATTCCCATATTCTTCTGACATTGTTCCAACAGATTTTCATTCATTTAGGTCATTATAAAAGTTTTTAAATGACCAAACACTTATGAATAAGAAAATATGGAGTAAACTATTGACAAATATGTAAATTTTAAGGATCAACAATTTTGAACAAATTTAAATAGATCACAAAATAAATAAAAATACTAAACCTATTATATCTTACGTTTTTACAGAACAAAAAGTTCTGAAAGAATAAAAATGTTTACTGAACAGTATACAACTTTAAAAATGATTGTGAAATAAAAGTAAGAATGAATTATTGTCAAAGAAAATTACTGAAAGAATTTTATACAGAACTGATGGACAGAATGTAATATAAATATTTCTTCAAATGTGATATATTGGAAGAAGCTAATACGATCTGAAATAAATGTTTATAATTGAAGAACTTAATGAGAAGGGGAAACATTCCACATTTGCATTGACTTTTAGATTTTTGTGCTATCAACAAATTTTAACAATGTAGCAAAAAATAATAATTTTCATTTAAATTTATAGTACTATAACATTTATAATTTTATCACTGAGCCCTTCAATTTTACAGACAAAACAAATCATGCAAGAATTTTAATGAGAAATAAAATAATTTAATTTTCTTTATAAAATAAAGACAAACATAACACTGCAAACTGTAAAACTTCTAATGTTGATCAAAATATTAACAACAAAATATGTTGGAAAAACAACAAGATGGATGACAAAATACCAAATTGTGAACATAATAAAACAAAGTAATGTAATGCATAATAATTACATAAAAATAAAAGTTCTTCAAAATAGATCAGCAAAATAAAAACATTCAAGAAAGATAAAGGAAAAAAGGAGTATTACTCCAAAATTTTTGTAATCGAAAATGTCCCCATCTATACTCGAAAAAATATATAAAATACAAAACAATTGCACAGAAAATATTGATGATAACGATAAATCACATACTAAATAGAATCAGAAGTTTTTCATCGAAAGATAAATATTCTGGGAACAACAAGTTGACAGGAAGTAAGGAAAACACGATACAGAAGAATCGTGTATCTCGTACACAAATGAAGGCAAACCTTAAACGGTAGACAAGCTTGTATCTTGTCAACTAGCTGTCTGTTCTTGCCCTCTTGACCGAAGATGTCCATCTTGACGGCGTCGTAGGATGCGCAAAGTCTGCAAAGCTCTTGGTAGCGTTCCCTGGGCTCCATCGTCGGCGTAACCACGAAGAGGATCACGATACTGGCCCGAGGAAGCTGGGTAATCCGAAATTCCTCGTGGCAGTGTAGAAAGAGTCTCCTCTGGCCTGGACTCGGCCTTCTTCTTCTTCTTCCTCGGATCACATCCTTCGGAGCGGGGATCCGCGGCTCGCTGCGACACCGCGCGGCTTCCGTTTACGGGCTACTTCCTGGCGATTTTCACAACAGTTAAGGCCCCGGGCGCCGCCATATTGTACACAGACACTTGTTCCGTCGCTCCTGTCGAACACGACCTTCTCCATGTCTCTAACTATCTTGCGCCACGACAGAAATATCCGCTAATTTTTCGACACTTTAGAAACCACGAATTGTATTTTGGCTTTATATAAGGTCCAGTTCATATTGACCAGATTCTCATAACTTTAATGCCAGTTTTCAATGCAACGCAATAATTATCTGATAGACAATCTATACTCTGTTCAACGAGGGATCATACTCATCATACAACAAATTTTCATTTGTTCTGCGCACACCGAGCTTGATTGGTTAGAGCACACTTTGTAACCAAGTATAATGCGCATGCTTCTTTGTGAATTTTATGAGACCTAATATATATACCTAGTGATTTTTGATTTTGTGTATTTTCTGTAGCATTATCTTTTCATTTTATTCGCACATTTTTGTCCACCGTGTACATGGCTGTTGAGTGAAAAGAGTGACATAGGGGCGGGAAACATCGGATGGTGAGAAATCTACTAAAGTTAGGGGCGTTGCGTGAATTTAGTATAACCTCTTCATTGAAGTATATACTTTATTTCTATGTAATCTATGGTAACGCGCATGCGCTTTTATGATTATTGCGATGCTAGTTATATACTTAGTAGACAAAAAATTCCATAATCTTTAATACTTGTTCATTGTTATAAACAAATGACAAGCAAAGTACTTTTTTCTATATTCATATATGTTATAAATTTATGGAAACAATATAATATTTCTTTCTGCTTATATGTATAATTACTACCCCTTCATCGGTTCGTCATTAGTTTATTTTTCTCCACCATGTATATGACCATAAAGACAGTAGTAGATTATAGAAAGGCATCATATTTGTGGTTCCCCTTTCGTGACTAGTCCTAAGTCCTAACTAGTACTTTGTATACTTCATAACTAAGGGTTATCCACAAACGCAGTATAGCGTACACGAAACTGTGTTATATACAGTGATCTTTTATTTTGTACTCTTTGTACACTGTCTTCATCTCAATTATTCGTATAATTCATCCACCGTATACATGATCAATGTGGTTAAAAGCGAGTATAGTGAAACAGCACAAGTAGAAAGAGGGATGTTTCGCGCTCAGTTGAGATGCGCAAAATAACATCATTCTCTCGTGAAATTTACCGTTTACGGGCTACTTCCTGGCGATTTTCACAACAGTTAAGGCCCCGGGCGCCGCCATATTGTACACAGACACTTGTTCCGTCGCTCCTGTCGAACACGACCTTCTCCATGTCTCTAACTATCTTGCGCCACGACAGAAATATCCGCTAATTTTTCGACACTTTAGAAACCACGAATTGTATTTTGGCTTTATATAAGGTCCAGTTCATATTGACCAGATTCTCATAACTTTAATGCCAGTTTTCAATGCAACGCAATAATTATCTGATAGACAATCTATACTCTGTTCAACGAGGGATCATACTCATCATACAACAAATTTTCATTTGTTCTGCGCACACCGAGCTTGATTGGTTAGAGCACACTTTGTAACCAAGTATAATGCGCATGCTTCTTTGTGAATTTTATGAGACCTAATATATATACCTAGTGATTTTTGATTTTGTGTATTTTCTGTAGCATTATCTTTTCATTTTATTCGCACATTTTTGTCCACCGTGTACATGGCTGTTGAGTGAAAAGAGTGACATAGGGGCGGGAAACATCGGATGGTGAGAAATCTACTAAAGTTAGGGGCGTTGCGTGAATTTAGTATAACCTCTTCATTGAAGTATATACTTTATTTCTATGTAATCTATGGTAACGCGCATGCGCTTTTATGATTATTGCGATGCTAGTTATATACTTAGTAGACAAAAAATTCCATAATCTTTAATACTTGTTCATTGTTATAAACAAATGACAAGCAAAGTACTTTTTTCTATATTCATATATGTTATAAATTTATGGAAACAATATAATATTTCTTTCTGCTTATATGTATAATTACTACCCCTTCATCGGTTCGTCATTAGTTTATTTTTCTCCACCATGTATATGACCATAAAGACAGTAGTAGATTATAGAAAGGCATCATATTTGTGGTTCCCCTTTCGTGACTAGTCCTAAGTCCTAACTAGTACTTTGTATACTTCATAACTAAGGGTTATCCACAAACGCAGTATAGCGTACACGAAACTGTGTTATATACAGTGATCTTTTATTTTGTACTCTTTGTACACTGTCTTCATCTCAATTATTCGTATAATTCATCCACCGTATACATGATCAATGTGGTTAAAAGCGAGTATAGTGAAACAGCACAAGTAGAAAGAGGGATGTTTCGCGCTCAGTTGAGATGCGCAAAATAACATCATTCTCTCGTGAAATTTACTTATAATTGTAACTTAACCTTTTTATACTCTTCATTTCTATGGTATGAATGATGTATATGTATGTACTGATATTTCTGTTAAATCAATAACTTACAATAAATGATTTATTACGCTTAAACAGAATTAAAAACATTCAAACATTCACTGAAAAACTTATTGCTTATATATGTAAAGTATGTGTTTCATCAATCTGCATTTAATAACCGTATATAGCATCGTTATTATTTTATTAAATTTGGTCACTTAATCAATTATAATATAAGATTTTTATTTTCTGACTATATTTTTATATGTAAACTTTATACATCTTGTAGTTACTAACATGTCTAAACACTACTACTATAAATATTTTATAATAACAAATAATACAAATTTTTTATAAATTCCAGAATACCATTTATTGTCTAACAAACAATTGTACCAAGAAACAAAGGAATTGTCATAAAATTTAGGGGAAGGATGTAATAAATAATATAATTAAAGTGCAAATAAAATACTGAAATTGAAATATTATATGATAATTTAATTATCAAATTTCAATCAGCAGATTTAAGAAACACAAAATTGGTGATTTGACTTGTTTATTTTTAATATTACTTGACACAATGGATAGTTATTATGATTCCTTTAGTTTCAATAAACAAACAGCCACCCTATTACGTGGTCTGGGTATACCTGAATTAATACCAGAATTTAGGAAAAGAAATATATCAACTGATATATTGCACGAGCTTAGTACTCAAGAACTGATATTATTAGGTATATTGATAACGTTTTGAGTGTTATTTTTTCCAAATACTATTATCTATATATTTTATTAACAGCATAAATCAATGTTCATGTCATGTGTCTAATCTAAAGGATCTTAATACAGGTGTTGATTCTCAAAAGGCTGAAGAAATAAGAAAAGCTTTAAATGTGAAAAAAAGAAGGTCTAGAATTACGCAAACAAATGTTGAAGACAGGTAGAAATAGAAAATTGTTTTATTAGCATATTTATAAACAGTCTCAATTAGTGCAAGTATTTTAATTTGTTTCTATATTTCACACACAAATTTATTATTTCAAGAAATTAAAGAGTAAAATAAAAATTCATATTCCTTGTAATTAATTTGAAAATAAATTATTAAAATATGCTACATTATGTTCTAGGCTTCAGCATTTTCTTGAAATAATTAAACATGGAGAACATCAATTATCTTTGATACAGGCATTTGTGGCATATTGTAGATTAAGGCTCACGAAAGAAAGAATTAACATTTTTATTGATCCTAATAAGTGTTTGAGTGCTTCTGAAGCACTGCCTATATCTGTTAGTGCAACATTGGCAGAAGTAGAAGAAGCACAAAACAATCTTTCTAATCTTGAAAAATTAATTCTATTGGTATGTTTTCATAAATAAGTATTGTAATATATATCATAATTCAGTATATTTTATTTATGCACTCAAAAATCTAATTATTTAGTTTATACTGTTTACAGTAAAATATAAATTTTGTATTGCATATAATAACATTCAAATTTGAATTATTTTTAGCAGTCACAAGTAAAATCAAATCGCGGTAATAGTCGCCGGATTTGTGTTTTGATTAGTGGATTAGGAGTGGTAACACTTGTATTATTGAAGATATATTTGAGTCGTGTACCTTGATGTAAGCAGAATACAAACACTATGAATAAGTAAATCATCTTCTGTTATTTACAAAACTAATATCAAATCGGAAAATTGTAGCTTTTTTATATTTGTTTTATTTATGTTGTGTAAATAATTAGCACACCAAATAGTATTAAAAACATTTGCTACTAATTAACATTAGTTTTTCTAATCTTAGCTAAATAAGTTGTAAATGAAATAACAATAAATTTTCCTTTTTTTTAATAATGTTTGGTTCTTCATTCAAGCTCTTTATTCATATGATCTTTACAATTGTAACTTGTAGAAATGATTTTTAATAAATAAATGATGTAGAAATCGAGTCACGTGAAACATCTTCGACCTGATCGAGTGAACGTCGTTACCTCCAGCTGAAGCGCCTCTGTAGAAGGATCCACCCCAAAAAGCGAAGTGGTGGGAGTGAAAAAAGTATCTCGTAGCGCGTGCGCGCTTACATCAGCTACGAGCTTTCAAATTTCAGCTCAGTCGCAATAAGATGGACGGTGGAGCGTACGGTGGAGGAAAGGCTGGAGCCCCTTTCGATCCTATTGCCTTCATACAAAGGCCTCAAGTCATTCTAAGAGCAGTATGCCTGGTAAGTTCTTTCCTCGGAAGTTTTATATGTTACTTTAATTCTCGATGACGTCTTTAGAAATTAAAGGATACGTCGATTTTACGTGACAAGCATTGATTTTAAAGGGTGAACCGCCCCCACCAACCCGACATGATGGGGTTCTATTGATTTTTCGCAAATTCCTGTAATACATCCCATGATATGAGATCCTGTAAAATTTCCTATTGATCTTTTTAACACTTTCTATCTCATCTTTCGAACGATCCTAAACTATAAACTAATTCCGTGAGTTCTTTTAGACAGACCTTCTGATCGTCATCGGACAAACTTTGTTACATTTTAGATCGTTACACGGCTTTCAACGTAATCGTAGAAATTCAAATTAAAGGGAATGAATTGCAAGGGAACGTTGAAATTCATTTTGGAACAGTCGAATTCAAAAAATTAATTGCAATTTAAATCAAATCTTAATTAAAGTAAACTCTACCATTATTAGCACCTTAAGCTGAAATCATTTTAAAGGGTCACATTTATCTAATAAATCTGTATTTTATATTTAAAAAACGTAGAAATTGAGTTATAAAGATAATAAAATAAGATACAAATTATTTTAGTTATAAAATTTTAATTAACAATAAATGATAGTAGTATAATCATTGGCATGCTTGGTACAGTGATTAAAACTGTATATACCAAAAACTGACCCAAATAATTTTGTATTAATTTGACAAAGTAGGTGATGATAGATCTTTAACAAATGTCAAGAAATATGACCCTGTGCTTTTCTGTCAACTTTTCCAGTGAAATAAATCAATCAGGCACATGAATTTTTGAGCATACTATGTTAAGATAAATACATAAATATGTATTAACATATCATTTTCATGAATCCTTACTAAGATCAATTATGTCAATAATTAATAGCCTACTCTATTAATAATTTAATATTTTATGGCAGGAACAATTCATGATCACACAATTATTATCATTAATAAACATTATATAAAACACATATTGTTTCATTTCTATAGATAAAATAAACAAAAAATTATTTAACATTATAGCTGTTCGCGATAATTGTGTTCGGATGCATAAGCAACAAGGGATATATAACAAGAACAGACGGAAAAGAGGTGTGTCTCTACAACGAGGACCACAATGCTTGCAATTATGGAATAGGAATTGGAGTTCTTGCATTTCTTGCAAGCATCGGATTCCTTGCCGGGGAATATCTCTTTGAGCAGATGTCCTCTGTGAAAACCAGAAAACATTTTGTTCTTCTTGATTTAGGGTACATCTATTATTTTACTATAACATCTATTATTTTACTATAACATCTATCACTATTTTCAATATGGTGACAGAAATACAAATAATTTATAACAATGATAATTTAATTATTTTTCAAAACTTTCAAAATTAAAAGATGTTTTTTCAAATGTGTAGAATAATATTATTTTTAATTTAAATTTTGAAGATATAGTGTAAATTATTAGAAACAGTTAAAATATCGAAATTTTATTTTTAGATTTTCAGGCTTTTGGGCATTCCTCTACTTTGTTGGATTTTGTTATTTAACTAATGCCTGGAATAATTCGAAAACACCGGAGGGTAATTATGGAGTAAAAAATGTCCAAAGTGCCATCGCTTTCTCCTTCTTCTCCATTTTTACTTGGGTACAGTAAATAAACATTATTATTCCACGAATCTTTCAAGTTAACTAAATTTATATTTTATGGAATATTTATGACAAATAAAAGTTAGAAATTTTTTTTGAAAAATTAAACAAAATATTTCACTTTCATCAATTTAGGAAGAATAACTTGTCCCTTCACATCATAGCAAATGAAAACACGTTGTTTTCAATGTTTAACAGGCTGGCTGCGCCTGGTTCGCCTTCCAAAGATTCAAACAAGGAACTGACGCCGCTTTTGCGCCAAGTTATGAAGCAGATCCAGTAGGTGGAACAGGATATACAAGCTATCCTGATGCAACTGATACAGGCTATCAGGAGCCACCTTTTGGGCAACAACAGCAACAGCAACAACAGCAGCGGATGCCTGATTTCCGAGCCCCGACTTACTAACCCTCTCACACATAATCTAACGCTATCGGTAAAATAAAATCTATCTCGAATGTAGCGCATAAAAACCATCATTGATTTGCACATTACAATAAAACTTGAATTAGGATCCTAGAGTTATAAGAATATAAGATTATATATAGGATTCTAGAAATCTGCGGGTTTCTCATGGATATTATTAGATTCAGAAAGTTGTAACAAAAACAAACGTTCTAAAGTAAATGTTTTCCTTAAATTTACATTCTGAGTAGGTGAATCACATAAAGTTAATAGTGCAAATAACAAATATAATTAACAGCATGTAGAATATAATATCTTGTGTCACCTTTGCTTTCAGACACAACGCAAGAAAATTAATAGGAAAACAAGACAGAAGCTCTACGAGGTAATCTTCGATCATCGAGCAATGTCGATAGAGTAAATTTTCATAGTATGGTAACTAGTGATTGAAAAGGGACAAGAAGGCGAGCAAACGAGGGAAACAAAGAAGCAGGCGAGCAGAAGATAAGGAGGAGAGAAAGGGAGAATGTCCATGTGTATCTGTGTGCGTGTGTGTGCGTGTGTACACGTATGAAAGAGAACAGAAAACAATGAATGAATGTGTACAAGCAAAAACAACAAAACGTTACTTGTTAAAACTGTGCTTCTTATTGTTGACCACTTGTAAGTCTTACGCCTAAGGTCAAGTGGCGTAAGCGACGAAGAAAAAAGAAAAAGAAAAAAAAATGGGTTAATCACCCTTGAATACACATATAAAGCGAGATCAAGAAGATAAAAAAGTGTAAGAAAACGGTAGACAGATTAATGGGCACTCTACAAAATTATATATGAAATATAAATATATATATATATATTCAGGTGTGCCGAAAATAGTGCTGTACAAGCGAGAAATGTAAGATTTTGCGCCAGCGAAAGCAATGTAATCTAGACAAAAAGGGTAATTCTCTCTGAGATGTAAGTTTCAGTTTTCCCGGATAAGTTACGATCCAAATTGAAAGCAAACGCAGCTTCGCCATCCTATCATGCATTAACATTCAATCCGTTAACTGAGATAAGCGAGTTACATTACTTCGCCAGAAATCTCTGGTTTTCAGTTTTATCCCCACGCCTATACCAGAAGAACAGGGATTGTTAATACAGGTTCAGAGGGGATAAGTGATTCTTTACTCGCCAAAATGTTAACTAGTTAACAGGTTAACGTCTCACGAACGCACAGCTGCAATTGGCATTTAGTAGAAAGATAACCGAGTGTGAAAAATTATTCTTTCCGTAGTTTGTTCCATGTCAAGCAAGGAATTCTATATTTTTCATTTGTATCGCCGTTTTCAGAACACTGTGTGTATGTACACATATATATGTATACATATTACATATATACATATATGTAATTGTAAACAGATAAAAGATAGCGGCTCTGTAATAATTCTTAAGTAGTTACATGCACATATATTTTACCGTGTTGATATAAACGTGTTCATAGAGAATCGCGGATGCGACTGTACTAACGCTGTAACAAGATCTATCGAAAATTTGAGATTTCGTTGGCGATTGTCGAGTACATTACATCATCTCCATTCTAACTTATTGTATAGAGGCTCTTTAATTTGCGATATGTTGTTATTCGTTAACGCGTTGACTACTAAGCTTAGTTTAATAATTGACGTACTAAAAGAACAAATTTTTAATATTAATTCAATATTGTAAAAAACTTTAATATCTTTGCAGAAAAACGTAAAAATCATTATTATAAAAATATTGATTATAGTCTATGAATTGTAAGAAATTTCATTTTTATATATTTTATATTAGTTATATGTATAAGTTTAAAATAGAAAAATTCTCCATTTTAACAATGGTAGTCGATGCGTTAACGCACCAACGAATTGCAACTATGCTTTTTGAAATGTAAGATTTTGCGCCAGCGAAAGCAATGTAATCTAGACAAAAAGGGTAATTCTCTCTGAGATGTAAGTTTCAGTTTTCCCGGATAAGTTACGATCCAAATTGAAAGCAAACGCAGCTTCGCCATCCTATCATGCATTAACATTCAATCCGTTAACTGAGATAAGCGAGTTACATTACTTCGCCAGAAATCTCTGGTTTTCAGTTTTATCCCCACGCCTATACCAGAAGAACAGGGATTGTTAATACAGGTTCAGAGGGGATAAGTGATTCTTTACTCGCCAAAATGTTAACTAGTTAACAGGTTAACGTCTCACGAACGCACAGCTGCAATTGGCATTTAGTAGAAAGATAACCGAGTGTGAAAAATTATTCTTTCCGTAGTTTGTTCCATGTCAAGCAAGGAATTCTATATTTTTCATTTGTATCGCCGTTTTCAGAACACTGTGTGTATGTACACATATATATGTATACATATTACATATATACATATATGTAATTGTAAACAGATAAAAGATAGCGGCTCTGTAATAATTCTTAAGTAGTTACATGCACATATATTTTACCGTGTTGATATAAACGTGTTCATAGAGAATCGCGGATGCGACTGTACTAACGCTGTAACAAGATCTATCGAAAATTTGAGATTTCGTTGGCGATTGTCGAGTACATTACATCATCTCCATTCTAACTTATTGTATAGAGGCTCTTTAATTTGCGATATGTTGTTATTCGTTAACGCGTTGACTACTAAGCTTAGTTTAATAATTGACGTACTAAAAGAACAAATTTTTAATATTAATTCAATATTGTAAAAAACTTTAATATCTTTGCAGAAAAACGTAAAAATCATTATTATAAAAATATTGATTATAGTCTATGAATTGTAAGAAATTTCATTTTTATATATTTTATATTAGTTATATGTATAAGTTTAAAATAGAAAAATTCTCCATTTTAACAATGGTAGTCGATGCGTTAACGCACCAACGAATTGCAACTATGCTTTTTTATAAAACAACCGATAGTCACGTGTATTTCAATCGGTGATAATTTTGTGCGATCTCAGAAGAAAAGAACGTAATAGTCGTAGTTTATTTATTAAAATTCATTGATGAGATTATTACGTTGTAAACGATGTGATTATTTCATTGTACCAATACAATTAAGGATATAATTGAGAAATTGGGAAAGCAATGGTTCAAGCAATTTTAAGAATGTACAATTGGTAAACTTAATTAAATATTACAAGGGACGAAACAAAGAAGTATATATACTCGGTAAACAACAGATATAACATTTTCTTTTGCAACCTTTCCTTTTCAAATATTATTTTATATGTACATAAGGAACCAGATAAGATATTGAACCATCTTCTTTTCCACCCACTTTCTCAGTGTACTTGATACTATTGTGTTTCTGAAGCAGTTGTAGAACAAAACGCGTAAGATGATTGAATAAGTATTTATAAAGTCTTTTTTTTTCGTTTCATTGTATCAATTTTTTATTGCTCCAGCATAAAATACCATCTAATAGAGATGTGCGGATGTACCCGTACGTCTTTATTGTTTAGTTATTGTACAAATAATTCTATACCGATCGTGTACTTCTTAATGATAGATGATTTGTACAATCCATTTTTATTCAACTTAAACTGTTGAGTTTTTGTATCAGAAATATTCACGACCAATCGAATAATATTGGAGCGACGTTGAAGAAGAACTTCTACAAATTTTGCGATTAATTGCATGAATATTCTTTGTCTCGTGCTAAGCATACTGCCTCATTGTGATGGCGAATTTAATTAGCTATTTAGAGCAACAAATAAAAATTTGTTTTTATGATCATTTCCACTTTTTGTTCTTTCAAAGCATTAATGTTTTCTTGAGTAATTACTCGAATTGGTGATTCTTAATGTCCATGTTCCATTCAGATGACAAAACTATGACAAACATAATTAAAAAAAAATTAGTAAATAATTTGAAAAAATTTCTAGTATATTTTATAATCATTTTTGTTCATTTTCATTATGAAATGAATGACATAGTGTTGTCATTGTTTTGGATAATCTCCCCTAAAGAGGGGAAAAGATATTCCTGTACAAAGAATATTTTTGTCAAAAAAGTTCAAAATTTTCTTCACACTGAATTTTTACCTAAACTTTACTTTTTCTAACGACAATTATTTACTACTTCACAATGTGAACACTATTCTTGCTGCGGGGGAAGAAAGTACAATGGAATCTTGCTAATTGGTCCTGAAGAAATTTTGAAATTGCCATATAAACGATATTCCTTCTATGCAGATTACCAAAGCTTCGTCTCATTCTGTAGCCTACAAATTCTGTATCTCGTCATTTTGAAATTTTCTAAAATAATAACTTTTAAAATTTGAACACTTTTATATTTCTAAATTTGTCACTAGCATACGTGAAGTCCTTGTGAAGGAAAATCGTTCGACGTTCCACTGAGGGCCATATAGCGAGATTACAGTGTACATATTTATTAAAAATGATATCGATAATTAAATAGTTGTTGTATCGTTGTGATTATACCAGGTGTCTCATTATATCAAAGATAAAAAAATTTTTGTAAACTATTCCTTCTGTTTTTACAAATTAATTGAAGAAAAATTTCTTTATCTTTATGTAATTAATATTGGTCTTAAATACTAATAATTTTAAAAACTTGTGAGACATCTCGTATATATCGTAGCTATATTTGCATTTGAAGCAGTAAAGATCTGAGTGTTTAGACAGAAGTATAATCATGTAATTAACTATAGATGAAGATGTATGTAATTATTTTTATTCGAGTCGAACGATCGAATGATAGTCAGAAATTAATAATATGATAGCTTCGATTCATTCACTCTGTAACTATGGTCAAATTGCCACGTTCTTGAACCAAAATGAAACTGCGTTTACGCTTAAGGCAAAAAAAAAAAGAATTCCTGAACGAAGCATAAATTACATCATTTTGTCCTTACCCTTTTATTTCAATCATTTGTAGTTCAACAAATACCGTGAAAATCAACGAGAAGACTTAAAATATTATTGCTTGATTTAATTACAATTTTTATATTATTTACAAATATTACTTTTTTAAAGTAGAAGTCACTTCTCGCTGTTTTTCCTTGCATTTAAAAATAATATTTTTTGCGCTATTTTCTAAATTCGTTGTAATATTAGAATTTGTATCATTGACAAGAATAATTTTATTTAATAAATTTTTAGCGCCTAATTAGCCATAGGTAATCGTTGAATTCCCATATTGAAAATTTAAATAGAGCCCAGGACAAAACACTACTATACAATCCTGTTATATTGGTAAGTATATAAAAATTGTAGAAATTGACAATATAAAAAGTTCTAAATGTCTATAATAATGTCTATAAAAGTTCTAAATGTCTAAATTTATTATAGCATCAATTATTTTTAAACTAAAGTTGCAATAATTATACAGTTTTCTAAATTTTAAATAAATTCTACATTCTTCAACCCCCTACTATAGGTTGACAGAGGAATTATTTTGCGTTGAAATTAAAATGTTCACGGTGAAGGAAAATGTGTGAGTAAATCGAAGAATACGAAGCCAGAATGTGATTCTGGGGCTTCATTTGGTCGACAGATCGATCGTTCGTCCAAAGGCAACGTAGAATTACAAAGATTCCATCGGCTCATCCGGTATCAGCAACACCCGCTATGATAAGCCGTGTTACGAAGCCGCCCACATTTCAAATCGGTATCGTGTCTTCATTTTTCATCATTCTTTGGTGCATTAGCGTTGGGTGTGTTTTGTGCTCAATACACTTCCGCATAAAATTAAATTTTTCTTGTGACAGACATCCTTCGTGATGACAACGATTATCTTAACCGTGAACAGTGAACTATAACTGACATGAAGATATTGTTTATATAAGAATTCTTTTTATTTTTAATTACAGAAAGAAATTATGTTTTTTAGAATACGCAAATTGCGCGATAGTGTTTGAAAACGTATGGTGTTCGTTTGCATTCAATTGATTTTACATTGTAATAATAAACGTTTCAAGAATATAAATAATAATTGTGAATTAATATAATTTCTTTCGTAGTTGGCATAAATATTTATCGTTTTATAGTTAATTGCAACAATTACGATCGTTGATTTTATTAATTAAAAAGCAAAGAGAATTGAAAGTAATAAAATGAAAATATTCGATAAATTACTTCGTAATGGCAAGAAGAAAAAAAAGAGACACGATTTGAAGAAGAATTCATCGAGAAGAAAACATTATGTGCCTCAAGACAGTTTTCTTCTGGCCGGAAATCAACCTAGAAGTCATAAAAGAAAACACAGGGTAAGTAATGCATTTCTTTATGGGACCTTGATATAATACAAGGTTATACGTCATATGCAAGGTTATATATATAGCACATAATAATATAACATGTGGCTACTTGGTGATATAACGCGAAGCAGTACAATGTGTAATAATACAATACCTTGTATATCTACATTATTTTGGAATTTATCATGTTATAAAAATAAATTTGATTATACCTAATTAATCAAAATGCCGCCCCTTTGATTAGCTACGCTCGTACGGTGAACACTTTGCGGTGACTCTTTTCAGAAACAATCTAAAATCAATTAATTATTTAAACAACTTTGTAATGAATAATCGTACAAAATTTTCAATAAGGTACCAATAATAAACATTATTTAATATGATTGTTAAACTGGGACTACAGTTACAAATACTTAACCAAGTAGTTGTCAAATAAATAACGTGAACACATTTTACTTACAATCGTGATTTTTTAGAATAGATATTGAAAGTATACAAATTATCTGTAGAAAAGGTGTAAATAAATCAGTTTTGATTTACTCAATGCGTTGTCATTTTGAAGCAGGGGTATTATGATCGTTCTTGGCGCACATTTTATTTTCGTCTAATAACTCTACGAGTGTTATACTATCCTGATACTGGAGTAACAGCTTCGAGCACATTCCACTAGATGGCGTTGTTCCGTATTTCGAAACAAGAGATTCAAAAGATCAAGATTGATTATTTATTACTTATTGATATCGATAATAACCCAAATTTATACAAATTCAAATATTTTGTAAAAGTTCATAACAAAACAAAAGTATACTTCAAATAGTAATAAAATAAAAATTTTATTTTAAATACAATTGTTTAACGCATATTTATTTAAAATACAATGATTATCAGACATGATTATAATTGTAAATAAAAGTTTTGAAAAAATATTGTTTTAAATCGGTTCGTAACTTAAAGCTATCGCTGAAAACCCATACAAAGAAAAGCGTCAATTTAACTGGAATATGACACACCTTGCGAGCAGCTGGAATGTGTCGCTTTGGCTCAGGTATCAGTCTTTTGTGTTCCCTATTCTAATTTACCATGGGATTCACAGGTAGCATAAAATATTTGACGCAATATAAACAAAGACAGTAGAATTGAAAATTAAAAATACTTTTCCTTGTATCATTATAATTTATTAATTTATCAATACAATTATACAAAATTTGGTCGAATAACTTAATCTAGCATCACGCTCTCAAGGTTATAATATGAGCAATAAGAGAGCACATATAAACAAACAAATAAAATAAAACTGATTAAAATCAGGTTTTACTGGTCATACTATTTATTCTATATATATACGCCTGTTTTGCTACTTTCAGCATCTCGTACTAGACTAGTGATAATACGTGCATTCTGTGATTTACGAACACGTGTGTCGAATTCAGATGCAACTTCGATGTAATTATTTTATACGACAAAAAATTAATAATTTATTTCTATACATTTCATGAATATCATAAGAGTTCATTATCTATATTCAAAGTGATTTTATGTTAGTAATAAATCTAGTAAAAAATTCAGACAAAATAAATCCGCAAGAATAAATTAAATGTACCTGTTACGTTTTCATGTCAAGCGATTACAATCGCTCACAGTAGTGAACGGTTTAAAGGGCTACCGGGCACAAATGAAACATACCGTTATTTTTATCATTCATCCATTAGTATACCTGTATAGGTCCTGGGATGTGCCTATCTCTTCCCCCAACTTACTAAAATAAATACGAATCCTCCCTATGTAGTTTGAGGTAAGACATAAGATTCTTCACACATTTTCGACACTTTCGAAGCTACAAATTCCCAAGGTTATTTTCAAAGGTTATTTGATTATGCGTAAAAAAGGGATCGCACTATTGGTAAGGCTAGGTACCAGGACCGCCCCATAAAATAATCCTAGTATCACATGGTATGGAGTTACAAAAATTGATTGATTGAAATCGACGAGTAACTGTTGGTGTTCCGTGCATTACTGAATATGAAAAGTATGGAATAAATAGCAAATACATACTATACATATACCATGACGATCTTCATCCCTGGAGATCGGGCCCATCACTAGGGAAGCCAAAAACCGGTGTGCAGGCACGCGCATGTTTTACGCTCCCCCACCATTCCCCGGTCCCCTGGCGCAGGTCCTGATTCCCCACCACTTCCAACTTCTTCACGACGCGTTCACTCGAGCAAGCTCTGTACTCTTCCTCGTAGCCGCCAAGCCCGTTTCTCATCCGATTTGCGTCGACCTGCCGCTTGCTGTAGCCAAGCCACGCTCGAATCCTACGAACAAGAATTTTCCGACGCGTACAGTCTGCCTTTTATTCGCACGACTTTCCCAGTGTCTCTTGTCGTGATCTCTCAATTATGTGAAACAAACTGTACACGCAAAGTTTTTCAGTGAGGATTATACGTGGAATATTGGTGGATGTTAAAAAGTTATGCTAGTGCTGTTTGGAATGCCGATACGTGGATTAAGAATTTTCTACTGTAAACACTGTACGTCTTACGGGCACAGATGAAAATCCGATCCACCATAATCGTGAGGAATTTTTTACATATTTTACAACGCTAAACGTCATAATTTATTTTTCTTCGAAGAAGGATATTCAAGTTTGATACATTTTTACGTCGTGGATAATTTCTTTCTTTTTCATTTGAATTTTTTTGTTTCCCCATACTTAGGAAACTAAATATAAAGTTCCATTTTTGGCTCGATTTGTGAAACGTTAGCTAAGGAATTTCGAACAATAGGTCGTGCTAGTATTTATAATGGAATTTTTCAACGTGAACGATCGCAGAATATTTTAATTCCTATTGAAATAAGTTTTCATACCTGTGTGAAACTATTGGCCGAGGGGAATCTATGGTAAAAGCATTCCGTTGAAGGATGCGGAAGTTACAATACTTTGCTTTTTTAAAAGTTCTCATAGTCCTTCTTTCCATTGGTCGAGGGTGACTCGGATGATTGGAATTCGTTCTCTGCTGACAACATGATAGTGATTTTTCGTGTGCAGCCAGATCTCTTTCTTCCCCCCATAATTTCCCACTTGTTGAGAATGCACAAGTGTATGTATATGTATGTACAATGATTCAACTTGTCCCTTTGTAGATCTGTATATAGATCTGTATGTGTAGATCCAGATCAGGTTTGGAAAATGGAAGATCGAATATAAAAGCATGGAAACATGCAACCTGACTGTTTTCCAAGCAACAAGTAGCACGCCGAGTATCCTTAAATTGAAAACAACTTTTAAAATTTGATGAAGTCAATCAAATTAAAATTCTCATCTTTGTATAGTTGAGATAATGGAAAGAAGGATAAAAATTATGATAATTTTTTTAAATTAGAGGTCAACATCTATTCAAATTTTTTTCCCGTTTATCCGAAATAACCCTAGAAAGACCAGGAGTGGGGGAGAGGAATTTATAAAGGTAGGATTCAAATCCACCCCTTAGGTTAAGGTTAACTTGCAGTAGGCTCATATTGGATTAGATCAATCAACATTGAGTTAAGATAGTAGGTTAGATTATTCATATTAAATTAAGATAGGCCAGATTAGGTTAGATTAATTGCATTTATTTAATTGATATATTGGGTTACATAGACGATGAGATGGATTAAGTACATTTGTATTAGATTAGAGTAGATTTACTGATATTACAGGTTGAGTTAGACCTATTCAGGTTAGGTTGGATTAAATCAGGTGAGGTTAGAGTATCTATATTAAACTAGCTAAGTTATAAAGTATATTGTGTTAGGTCGAATTTATTCAGTGAGATCTGCTGGACTTTATTATACGTAATTACCAAAATTAGTATGCGTGTTACAAGTTTCCTTCCGGGGTTAATGTTTCCGAAGATCGAGTTGGAAACGAGAATCAGTATAAATTTAAAAATGACTTGTTCAAATATATTGTATAAACTTCTTCTTAGTACACATTCTAAAATAATTTTTCGAAACGTGTCCTCTCGTTTTACGTACGATTTTATAAATTTTCAGTTGTTTATGATAGAAGATAATGGACACCGGTGATAGACTCAGAATTGGTGCAGTCAGCAAGGTGCAAAAAGGCTAAATAAGTAGTTCAGGAAAGAAGTTTTCAATTTCGTAATAAAAATTCTACTCAACAATACAAACTTTGTTTCTTGTTTTTTTCATTGAAAAATGAAACATTCGTTTGGAAATGTAAGTAGTAACGTTTATTAAATACGCACAATTCCATAGAAGGAAGTCAGTCGCTGAACTGTAATAAAAGATTGAAGCGAATGAAGGAAAGAGAAAGGAAATCGAAATTAATGCAATAGTAATTAGATGAAACGTTCAAGATCAATGAAGAAACTCCGTGCGTAAAATATGGAATTAGAACGATGAAGAAAGTGAAGGTCTGAGCACTCGAAAGGAAAATGAAATTCCATAACTGTGCGTTGCTTTGAATTGTCCGCATGTTGAACGCCAGCTCATCGCGCGGAACGCAACGCGATTGGGAAAACTCTTTCGTTAGAAATGAGGTCGTGCGATCCCCCGGAATAAAATATCGTAGTACCGCTTACCATTAGAGTACAAAGTATCGTAGGATTGAACAAAAAAAAAAAGAAAATAATTGTTGGATGTATCTAGGATGCATGTGGGATTGCTAGCTCCTACGCCGATGCTTGCTACGCCTATGCGCCGGAAAACTTCGCCAGAACGTTTGCCTATTTTATTTTTCTAATAGATTCGCAATTGCAGTACATTTTCCCTTTTCAATTGGTAAGACAAATACTTGAGAAAGAAAATGAGAATTTATTGTTACAAAATTTGCCAAAAATGGGTATTTTGTGAACAAGAAAAATATAGATGAAAAGAAGAAAAGATATCGATAGAAAATGCTTCATCAGACGTGTTAAAAAGGAAAACGTCGGATTTTCGAAACGAAGTTTTCCGAAATGGATAGAAACGATAACAATGTGAGTGTCGGGAATTCGGGAAATCCCCCGAATTCGTCTTCGACGACTCACGGTATTCTTCACAATACTTCCGGCGGAACTGATATACAGGTGCGAATTATACATTTTGCAGAAATAAATGATTCATTGAAATGTTATCCTTATCTTATATTACTGGCATTATTGCTTTTAAAAGATAAATACTGAGTTTTGTCTTAATTTATACTTCCTAGTATTTTAGCATTATATAGTTATAACTTTATATTAAAATTTTAAACATTTATTTCTATGAAAGCAACAAATTTTGGGAGAAGTTCCATGCTCTATACTTTAAATGATAAACTGATAAAGCAAATTTTATAATAAAAACTGATGTCTAATACAATCGTTATTTACTAGATTTAATATTTAACAGTCAATCTGCAATAAAATGTGGTTCACGATTAAAGTAAAGTTAAGTATTTGTTAAGTAGAATAAGAATCCTGTTAAAGAGAACCCTTAGAATTTTCATCCAATTAGTGTTTCGCTTGTTTTCTCACATTCTTATCTATTGGCAAAGGAATGAGTTCATTGGTACTTTATAAGAAACAAAGTTCTTCATCAATGTATAAGTCATACTATCATAAGGTGAATATTAGTGTGATTGCCAATTAAATTTTGATTAGTATACGTATGCATTTATTTAATATTAACCTTGCTGTCTAGAAATGGGATTTCGTTTACAATACAAGACCAAAATGCAAAACTAAATTGAATATATACACAAATTGTAACCAAGTTTAAAAACTTATTTTTATGTAACAATTCTTTAGAATGGGGACAGAGGATGGGAGGTCCATCATGTTACTGTTACCCGAGTTCCTGGTTATGGATTTGGGATTGCTGTTTCTGGAGGTCGTGATAATCCCCATTTTACCAATGGTGATCCTGCCATTGCAATTTCTGATGTTCTAAAGGCTGGTCCAGCTGAAGGAAAATTGCAGTAAGAAAATTTAATAGAATAATTATAGACATAAAACAATGATTTTATAAACCAGAGAATAATTTATTCAATTACTAAACACAATTATTAAATTTATTTTAGAGTAAATGATCGTATAATATCTGCAAATGGAATATCATTGGAAGGTGCTGATTATGGGGCAGCAATTCGTGTTCTTAGAGATTCAGGATCAACAGTCTTATTGGTTGTGAAACGTAGAGCTTTGTCAAATTCTTCTAATACTCTGGGAAACTCTACTCTTCAGAGTCATCGATTGACACTTACAAGAAACAATAAGAAGGATGGTGAGCTATATTTTTTTCTGTTCTCTTTGAGTTACTTCCATTTACTAGATACAATTCTTATAACGTTTTTTATTCCGGTTCTAGATTTTGGAATTGTTCTTGGTTGCCGTCTGTATGTGAAAGAAGTAACTCGCGAGAATACAGGAGTAAAGCCTGGGGATGTTTTAACTCGAATTGGCAGTGTAGCTACAGATAACATGAGTTTGAAAGAAGCTAAGAAATTAATGGATCAGTGTAAAGATAGACTGTCAATTGTAGTAACTCGAGATAATTCCTGCTGTCACGTTCAACAGCAAGCTAAAAGTGAGACTGGGGAGTATCTTTCTGGGACAACCAGTTACAGTAGTCAAAATTTGTATGTTCCACCGCCAACAAGGCAACCCATAGAAGACAAGAGTAATCTTGTTCCTAGGGGTCGAGCTAGAGGACCATTAATGGATGTTTCTCTTAGTCAGTTGGATCTTCCTGCTACTCCTACTGTGGATCCTCCAAGACCACCACCTCCTAGACCAGAGGGTATGATCATACATAACAAATATCTTAAAGTTTATTATGGTGTTGTATCTATAAAAGTACCAATTTTTACAGATTATTATAGCACAAGAAGGCAACTGTATGATGATGATTTATCTAGGAATAAACTTCCAATGTAAGTTATACTTTATAATATAATTTCTGTTCTCACTGAAGGTAATGGAAAAAATGAAAAAAGCTTGTTAATTATTCTAGGCCAGATCCTCGGTTTATTACCTTCCAAAAAGAAGGCTCAGTAGGTGTTCGTTTAAGTGGCGGAAATGAAACCGGTGTTTTTGTAACAGCTGTTCAAGCAGGAAGTCCAGCCTCTCTTCAGGGTTTACAACCTGGAGATAAAATTTTGAAGGTAACGATTATTGTATTCTCTTTAAAATAAATGAACACTCCGATTTTGATGCATATCATGTACACGTATCAAACAATTGCAGATCAATGATATGGATATGAAAGGAGTAACAAGGGAAGAAGCTGTCCTTTTCTTGCTCAGCCTACAAGAACAAATAGACTTGATCGTTCAACATCGACGACAAGAGTACGATCAAGTAGTAGCGTCTGGGAAGGGTGATTCTTTTCACGTAAAGTAAGTGGATCATAAAGTAAATATAAATGTTATGCGACTCCTGTTTTTAACTTGTGTCCGTTCAATATTACAGAACACACTTTCATTATGAGCAACCTCAAAAAGGTGAAATGAGTTTCCGTAGCGGAGACGTTTTTCATGTAGTGGATACGCTGCACAATGGAGTTGTTGGTTCGTGGCAAGTCTTCCGTATTGGTAGGAACAATCAGGAAGTACAGAAAGGGATTATACCGAATAAAGCTCGAGCTGAAGAACTAGCTACAGCACAATTCAATGCTACGAAGAAGGAAATGAGTGCCAGTGAAAGCAGGGGTAGCTTCTTTAGGAGAAGAAGAAGCAGTCACAGGCGTTCGAAATCTCTCGGCAGAGTAAGTTTCTTCTTTCATTAGCCTAATTAAATTGGAACCAGGATTAGGCCTCAATTCTCCAGTTTCCGATTTCCCAAGATTATATTATAGACAATTATTACTATTCTTGTTTTCTAGGATCACTGGGACGATGTAGTGTTTTCAGATAGTGTTAGCAAATTTCCAGCCTACGAAAGAGTAATTCTTCGACATCCAGGTTTTGTTAGACCCGTCGTGCTGTTTGGACCTGTTGCGGATCTAGCCAGGGAAAAACTTTTAAAAGACTTTCCTGATAAATTTACATCTCCGCGTGAGTAAATAAGCCTTTAGCAGATATTTAATATTTAAACTTAAAAATAATTTTTGTTTTCACAGAAATGGAGAACCAACTGGACGATAACGTTGGAAAAAACACGAAATCGTCAGGTATCATTCGACTGAGCGCAATCAGGGAAGTAATGGATCGTGGAAAACACGCTTTATTAGATATTACTCCAAACGCGGTGGATCGATTGAATTACGCGCAATTCTACCCTATAGTTATTTTTCTAAAAGCTGAAACGAAACAAATTATTAAAGAAATGCGTGCTGGAATTCCTAAGTGAGTAAACTCATCGAATACAATGCACAATGAACAATTCAGTAAATAAAAAGGATTATAAATTTTCCTCCAGATCGGCACATAAAAGTAGTAAAAAACTTCTGGAACAATGTCAGAAACTAGATAAAATTTGGGGCCATATCTTCAGCGCAGTGATTACACTGACAACACCGGAAGCTTGGTATCGAAAACTAAGAGAGCTGATCGATCGACAACAGCAGGGATTACTTTGGATGAGTCAAACCAAGGTAAACATATTCTTTAGGTCTATAAATATTGGCGTAACTAGAATTTTTGTCCGAAGTGGGTCAAATCCAATAATTAAAATAATCGAGTTTGATGGAGTTATTTTTCTTTTCTTCAAATTGAACAAGACTTGATTTAAAAACTAGGGGAAACTGAAGTATCGCAAAGATAATGGAAGGATTGAGATTGCATCGCTGAAATTATTTTATAATAATTTATTATAGCCATATGGTCGACAAATGACGTGGGAGCCATGCCATTCTTCCGGCGAACCTCGTGATTTACCTCCTCCTCCTCTACCCCCGCCGATTTCAAAGGATATCGTGTATCATGACGTGAACGAAAATGACACGTATCACACGGACAAATTGTTTTCATTACCTTCTTATCCGTCTTTAGCTTCTGACGTTGTCCGTGAGCAATTTTTCGGCTACATATAAATCCCCGCTTCTCCTAACAGGTGTCTTGATTATCAAATAATTACATTTATTGCTAAACCAGTTTGCATCAGTTTGTAAAATGAAAATACTCTTCTTTTTTCAATTCTTTATTTTACTTTAATTCTTGTATACTTTCTGATAATTTTTGTTAAAACAAATATTAGTCAATGTTAATTTACTGTTTTAGTATGATGAACTAAATATGTTAAACTTTTGTTACAGTAGTGTCTTCAGATATTCAAGGCACCTTATACTTTACTGATTAATTTAATTTGCATGGCTACATTATTTCATAGCTTTATATTATTGTACATTATAAGGCAAATAATCGCATAATATGTTTAATGTCCTTAAGTATTTAAATACTAGTCAGTATGGCCAAGAAGAAAATTTTATAATTTTATATGTATGAAAAAGATGACTTTAAAATAAAGTTTTAAAGCGTTCTTTTTAGCAATAGATTAATGGGGAAATCACGAGGAATGTATGATTCTAATTTATGGTTTCGTTAAACAATAAAATTAATCACATTTTTATTTCTCACTTCATCTGTTGACAGAATTTAATGTATTATTCTCCCAAAATAATACAGTTTTTCTAGAAAGTTAAAAGCAACGTCATACAAAATTTCTTTTGATAAGAAATTTTTATGAAATGTCCAAAAACAGAGTGGAGAATGCGTTAACTTTTAAGCGAATAAATTCAAAATATGTCATTGAATAAATAATGCGCTAAACTTGACGACAATTTTCAATCAAATTAATCTCATAAAGATTCTGTTCATCATTCATCCTTCATTTTATTTTTGCAAAACTAACAGAATGTTTGCTGGTATTGTATGTTTTCGCTGTCATATCCGGGTTTTCCTAAGCTGAGTAATCATTTATTTTTTAATTTTCCCAAATTAAAAAATGAACAAGGTACATAAAAATATCCTCAATTGGGAACATTAGAAGCATTTTGTAAATCAGTTCAATTTATATCTGCCCTGTAATCTTGAAAGTACCTTAACTTTAAGAATTAAGCTTAACCAAATGGCAAGTATTTGTTCTTCGTTTACATTTTAACCCTTTCAGATACAATTATTTATTTATAAAATATTTGCAAGTACTTTATAAAATTATTGATGATAATGTATTTTGTATTTCTTCAATATCTTATTATGAGTGAAAGTAAGGAAAATCTGAAAGAGTTAAATAGAACATAAACCTCTGTAATGTGTTGTCCTCTGTGTCCTGCGATGATAGCCGGAAGAAGCACTCTCGGATGACTTCCTATTCCCGATGACATCTCGCCTCTCCTATGCTTCCTCCCCGGAGAGTGACTTGGAACTCAGTCCGGCACCAGCTTTACCAGGTGCTCTGGGTGCACCTTCTAGATTGAAAAGCAGCTCAGATCCAAGTATTGCAACACAAGATGATATCGCTGCACCACCACCATACTCAACCACTTATCAGGTAATTTTACCACATTATTGCAGAGAACAGTGTCTGTCTATCTACATAGACGTTTTCACGATTCTGAAAGTCTGAAATATTTATATATTTTTTCAGCAATCGTTTGAACAACCAAAAAGGAGATCACAGGGAGGAATGGGAGATGGAAAGTATGGATTCTCGTTATCAGGTCAAGTTAGCAATCAGTCAGGATCACCCGAGTATCTAGGTGGTTCGTTCGAACCAAGATCATCTCATCATAGTCCTCCTGATTTACCTCCACGAGTGGATCGAAACGCAAAACCCACTAATCAGCAACAACAGCAACAACAAAGAAACACGATTGGAAGATCTGCTCAGGAACGATTGCTTAATAAAACAGATTCGGTTCTGGATGTTGCAAATTACATAAATGCGACACCACATAAAGCTAATGCCACGTCATCGCTCGAAAGAGCTCAGCCAAAAGCCGTAAGGATTACATACCTTAAAATCTTTTTATTGATAGTGAATGCTACGCTGGTTTCATTTTTGTAGGGAAGCTATGATAGCATGTCTTCGTATGATTCCTATAATAACACAAACGGGAATGCTAGTTATGGAGCACCAGGTTTAAATACATCGACTGGTCGATTGGGTCCAAATGTACCTGACGATTTAAAAAGTAGCGGTGCACCAGCCAGGTCGCATGATCCTTACAGATTCACTAGATCGACAGCACAACCGATCCCTAGCCACGATTCGCAACCACGTACTGATTATGCCAAATACAGGTGTGCATTTGCTGTAGTATTTTTATATGGGAAACTAGTTTCTAATTATACAAATACAGTGCACTCTAGCTATATGACTAAGCTTGATTTTAAAGATGACTAAATTTGAAATAACTCGCTGCATGCCATATAGCAAGAGTCCACAGTATAGCATATGTCTTTAGAAAACGTAAAATTGAATATTTAGAAGGTACGTTGACTGTGAAACTATTTTTTGAAGACTTCTATGCAAAATCATTTTTGTAATTGAAGAAAGATATTTTCTAAATTAGACTTCATGAATATTTTACAAATTTTTTAAATAACTTAAGCATTTTATTCTTTTCCTTTTTTATTTTTCTTTTAGACTGACAACACGAAAACCTCGACCGTTGAGGAGAACTTGTAGAATTTATATTTCTAGCCGTGATACATTAGTTTGAATTTTTTGTTGCATTGTAAATTTTTCTTTGTCTGCAAAATTATCCTTAGAAGAATTTTATTTAGTAATTGAATTCATTTTCTCTATGTATTATATTTTTTTCCATTATTTATTTACATCATTAAGTATTATTTTACAGGTAGCTTGTACCTATTTAAAGCAACAATGTTAACAAGTTTTATGTTTTCTTTTTAATATTATTTGATACCCTTATGATCCTGTAAGCTAGAATATTTTGCTTTATATATTGTAGCCGCACAACCGATTACAAATCAATCACACTTCCACAAAATAAACCTGGAGGATCATACAAACCCATACCGCCTCCAAAACCAAAAAACTATAGACCACCCCAAGCAAACTTAGCACAATCAGAGAATAATGGAAATGAAGGGAATAATACTCATCAACATTCGAAAAGTTATTCTATTGCTACATCTCATGTAAGTAACAACTAATAACTGAAGAATGTGAAAATAATTGTAAGTTTAAATACCTAGGTACTGGAATAAACAAAATTAGTACAAGAATTTTGCAAATTCTTTTTAGGTAGAAGGCAGTAATAACGCGCAACGCAACAGTGGACAGTATTATTATAATATTCCACCTCCAAATAGACATGATTCAAATCTTGGAAATTCTCACCATAATTTGAGCCATCTTTCAACACCTGCTCATAATCATAGTCTGAGTCATACACATGCACATTGTAGCCCACCGATGTCAACTCATAGTCATAGTAATAGTGCCAGTCAGTTGAGCCTTGGTCTCTCGCATAATAGAAACAACGTCAATCATAATGGATTTGTTGTAAACAATGGTCACAGTGGACCTACACAAAGTTTTCCAACTAGTCCAGGGCATAATCGAGAACCGAGTGGGCTAGATCTCGCTGGAAGTAGGGAACAAAGAGGAAGTGCCTTTGAACTTTATCGCAAACCTGTACATCATTACAGTGCAAGGTAACATTCAAATTTTTGTAATTGTCAAAGTAATTAATTAAGTTGATTAATAATGGCTTATTAATAGAAAATGTACTCGTTATTACAGTTAACATGCGCAAGGGATTTGTAATTAAATAATGAGAAAGAAAATCAACGGAAGATTTTAATTTTATTAACTTGAAATGGACATTCGACATTGTAGAAATCTAAATATCGTAATAGAAATGATTAGTGATAAACAATAAGAATTTCAGAAAGGATGTCAATTCTCAAGAAAGAGTTAGTTAAGAACTATAACATTGAATTTGTTTCGTTTTTCCACTCTGATTTTGTATATACAATTTTAATAAAAAAAAATATATAACAAAGTTTTGCAGAAATAATTGTTGAATAAATGAACGCATTAATAAAATAAACCAACCTCCTTATTTCTTTTAATATAATAGTAGGATATATTACTTAAAATAAATCGAGTATTAAATCTATACAGTTTCTAATATTGCAAATATATGTTATAAGCTAATTCATAAAATTTTAGAAAAATACTTTTTGATTTTTTTTTTTTAACAAAAAAAGATTTAATAATTCGTTGTACATAAAAAATTAATTTTCTAAGAAACATATCTAAAGAATAAGTCAGGATTTTTACAGGGCAACTTTACTTTTGTACAATGTCAATGTACATTGATAACATTAAGATTTCTATTACATTTCTAGTGAACCGTTCCCAAAATTGACATGAACTTCCTTTCGAGAAACTTCCATAGAATTTCCCTGCAAAATTGCCCAGGAAGAACAAAGGAAGGGGAACAGTTTAACTCTTAATTGCTATGATATCTTCAAAAATTTTATAAACATCTTAATTATAAAAAAAAAGAATATAAAAAATGTTTTTCTACTGAACTGATACTAACAGTTTAGATATGTTTTTAATATTTCTGTAATTATTTTAATAAAACTTACAGTAATATAAAATGTAAAATTAACATGGAATGAATTTATACGATTGAAGTTTATTCTTAATCACATCAATTAAGAGTTACCCTGTTGTATCATTTGATTCTTATAATTATTGTAACAATTCTTGTTAACTAAATTAACTAAAACTAATAGTTCGCAAATATAGGCTCCTGTTATCATAATATACTACCAGTGTTTCCATAACGCTTTTAATGTACAATAGTACGTATCAATATATTTATAAAAAATTTAAAATGATAATAATCATCACTCCACTAATAATCTCTTATTGTTTATACACAATTACTACTTTTCATGTATATTTAGATATGTAATATACCATATTTGTAGCAATTACATTTTACTATTATGCAAAATTAAAATAAATATACATTGTTGAGTTTTTCAACTTATTCATTCAAAATTTGGAATTTCGATGAATTCGTATTTTTTTTAACTTAATAAAATTAAAATAATAAAACGAAATAAATAAAAATTTGGAAACACTGGTTTAAGGAGACATGATTTCTACAGGAGTCAATTAAATCGGAACAACAAAATCTACATTGACTAGTTCGTTAATGATGAAAATAAGTGACCTTGGTCGTAAATCGTGGGTTTGATTCTCATTCAACTATAATACTAGGTCGGCATCAAAATCGCTATTATTAACGTTGAATTAATCCCGGTATGGCATAGTAGAACCTCGATTATTAGAAGGTACATAACTCATAACTGCATTGAAGTAAAATATTTAAACTTTTCTTTTATTTCAATTAAACAGTTAATTCAAATTTAAAAAAGCGTTATTTAAATTCCTCACACTTAATTAAATTTAAGATCTTTTTTAATGTTTCGTTGTAAATAATTGTATTACGCTATTAAACTTTAAGAGATTAAAACAAGAACGAGAAAAGGAAAAATGTATTTTTCTCCCTATACATTCTTTACCCATCCAATAATCAAGATTCTAAAACAATTCAGAAGAGAAATCACTCATTCTGAAACTAACGAACAATATTAAGCGAAAATACATCTATAATGCGCCAGTTATTGTCAGTTTAATCCCAGAGTATTCAGACGGCAGAGAAAAATAGAGGGCGACATTCATTTAAGTCTTAAAAGCCACTCTGCAACGCCGAGGTAGTAAACGGTTTGTGCAATCCCAAATAGAGGCGCTATCACAATCATCCTACATGCGCCACCTTTGAAAAACGCTGTCGGACCCTCATTTTTCAATGTTTTACTGCAAAACCACAGTTTGTAAGATATTAATTTATGTATCAATAAGTATTATAACATAATATAGAAATAAATACGCCGGGGTTTTGTTATGTATCTCCCTTTTATATGACCCGTTAAGCCGAATTCCTGTCAGATACCTTATGCGTACGGTATAATTAAATATCTTTACAATTGCATTTGAAACAGTACAGAAACAAATAAATATAGTAATACATTTCTATGATATTGAACTTACCTTATACAATCCAATACTCCATTATACGTGGGTTCACCAGGTGCCTTTTTTATTACTTGCAGTCTAGTTTTCACCACATCAAATGGATTGACCGATAACGCGGCTGTAGAACCAGCAGCACAACCAGCCAAAAATGAACACCAAAATACAGCTAGAAATTAAAAAGTTAATGAAAATATTAAAATAGACAATGTTAATTTTTTTCAAACAATGTAGAAAGACTTACAGGAGCCATCTTCTCTCTTTGGACCAATATCATTCAGTCTAGCAAATAATGGAAAGTAAATAACAGAAAATGTAACATCTCTAAGAGCTGTTGCACCAGTGCCCTGATAAAGTCCCAAAATACCCCTTTTTCGAAGTAGATCCTTTGTTAGAGAAACAGCTGACACTTTTGGTACACTTTGTCCCGCTGTATTAATATAATTTATTGTTCATTTTATTGCAATAGTTTTCTTGTAGAAATTTTATAAAAATTAAGTACCCTTTTTAGCTGCCATCGCTACTCGTCCAGCATCCTGCATTTGGATTTTGAGTAACTCCATGGGGGTTGTAACAATTATTTGACAAGCTCCAGCTAGGCCACCGGCAAGCATTTCGCGTTCTAATGGCAGTTTTTGTCTGTACAGAAAATAAAAATTGTTGCTATCATCAGCATTAAATTTGATGACTACTTTCATAATATATTTGAGAGCTTCCTGCGATACAGCCAATAAATACTATCCATTTTTGAATTACATGTTAATATGGAAAACGATTATTTGGACTGATAGTTACTCACTGCACTAATTAACATTGGTGTTAGTACTAATATAATAGTAGTAGAATTAGAATCAACATCGTTATCGCTATCTTTATCAGTACTATTACCTTCCGCAAGCTAGTGTAATAAAAAATCAATAATACCCGGGTCCAGTAGATAAGTAGTGACGGAAAGTATCGTTGGCAGTGAGTTTAATTGCTTTCTCTGGTGTGATTAAGAGAATATTTACACCAGACCCTTTATACATGCCGAAATAACCTTCAGCTTTATAAGTTTTTTTAAAACAGTCGAACCTGAAACATTAAAATTTTAATAAATTTTGGTTTTTAATATATTTGATTCATTATCGATATTTTTATAGCTTTTAGAGTGGGGACTCCTCTGGTTCCACCACTGCACAAAAATATGTAATCACTCACATAGATTTATACATTCGCTCGCCGTTTGGACCAACAACCTGATTCTGTAATCGTGTTTTAACCAGGTCCAATGGAAATACCACGGAGACGCCAATAATACCCGCGATTCCGCCATTGATAATTTTTGGTAGAAGCCTGAAACGAATAAATGTTTTAGAAACTGCGCATATTTCATAGTGGAATTTATTTAAAAAATAAATTTACTTACTTAAATTGTTCAGTTTTTTTCTCGCCGCTTTTTTCCATTGAAACTCGAATTTAGAACTTCCTCCCTGTTACAATAATTACATTGCATTAATATATAAAAATTATAAATTATGTGTAAAATAATTATGTAAAATGGTGTATAGTTCGATGTGGGCGATATAAAATGTGGCAATATATAAAGAGCAATACATGGAGATATAGAGCATATCAATATATAACATAGCAGTATGTAACGTGATGATATAGGGCGAGGAAATATAGAACATATCATAGCACGTAACAACACGGTACATGACGATATAATTGCACTATAATATCGATTTAATATTGCCGACTCTGAATACAATTGTATACATGCATTATACATAGTAAAGATGCTTTCGTGCATATCTTTGAAACTTGAGCCGAATAACGGTTATGGGCACAATAAAATTATTCAGGTCATTGACCTGTCTTATATAAGTAATGGATATTGACCCAGGCGGAATGTATTCCATTTTGTATAATTATCTGAATTCCAATGTTACAATCAGTAGCACGAAAGGTACGGATATTGTATTATTGTTACTTCTGCAAATATTTCAGAGGGAAGCGATTCTATTCTCAGACGTGTGCCTTAATCATTTGCCTGGCGTTATTTTCTATTCTAGTATTTATTACTTCTTCCATATCAAAAAATAGAAATAAAACATTTCATCGAACTACGACAATCCTTTTGTCCAACAATTCTGAAAATTAAGATAAAAAATTATTTTTCCTTGATATCAAATTTCCGTGAATAAATAAACGTAAACAAATGACGTATTTATTTAATCATTTGAAGTTTCTTATCTTTTTGATAAATAAACATAACAGTGTTAAAATACGTTTTGCATAGAAGCTATTTATTATGCGGTCATGTATTATTATGAAGGATTATTTATCGATAATACATAATAGATATAATATGCATATAATCGTGTTTATAACTATTTAAATATATCATGTTTACGTATACGAGTGCACAAGTATTTTTTCTATTCTAGCTGCGTTAGCAATTCTTTATTGAGAAACGGCCTGAACACATCATTGATTTCTTACGAAAGCTAGGGAGCTTCCAGCAAACCTTGAGAGCATTATTTTGGTTAACAACGAACGTTCCACATTCAAACTACTTGACTGGTCATTTGTTAAATAGAAAGAAAAAAAATAGTTGTATGCTAAACGAAAAAATATGTCAGGTAGACAATTTAAATGTAAATTTAATAATGCTTCCGATTATTGCTATTGATAATTATTATAATGTATGTACATACGATACACATGGTAGACAAAGTATAGCTATTTAATATTCAATTAGTACTGTAATTAAAAAACAGTAATAAATCATTTATAATACCATTTTCGGACGCATAGCAAATAGAATCATTTGCTTAATATGTTTTTAATCAGGAACAATTAGTGATAGCAAATCCCGAAGCAGTTGTCATTAAATTGTTCCCAATACGATCCGCGACTTCCAGTCTGTTTCGATTCGAATAGTTTCGATATATGCGACGATCGATATTTCCTAGTCAACAGCTTTTTAACTTGGAAAATTCCATCGAAAGCATTTTTAATTCGTAGTCGCATTTTTTTAAGAGCAAATTCCATCAATTAGTTTTGATAACATTTCAAACTGTCGCAATTTTAAACCTTGACGTTTACTATTGTGTTTAAAAATATTGCGAAAATATTACATAAGATCTTAGTTGCAACTTATAACAAGATTGGTGTGCATGATGCATCGACCTTTGCAAATTTATCATAAATTTCACGAAATATTTGTAAGAAATATTTAAATGAAATAGTATGTTATAAAACTGTTTTTACAATTTCATGTTAACATGAAACAAAGTTAATACAATGATTTAACATAATATCATAAATAAAAATGTAAATTAACATTTAAATATTGGCAAATATATAGCTGAACATTTCAAATTATTTATAATTAAGCAGTATAACTACGGAAGTCAATATTTTTAACAATTATATATATAAACACAAATGGCTAAAAAAAGAAACAGTAAACAATCGAAATTAAATAATATGTACAGACAGGCAAAGTGTTAAATACTAAATAAAGTAGGTTAGGCAAACTGTACCAATCATATAGTATCGCATGCTGCAAAGGTTAGGTTTCAACTAATGGAAAATTTTCAAAAATCTATTCCTATAACTTACAATTATTTTCAACCACTGACGATCCATAGAAAATATCTTCTCAATTACAGAAATCATTAAGGTTAAAAAAAATCATTTGATATACACAAGAAAATTTATCACAGAAAATTACTTGATAACTGTCTAAAATAAATTGAAATAAACATTACAGACGTCAGACAATTTTCGATATGAACAGAATTGTTGGCACACAAACGAATTGTTTCTAAAACAATTAGAATAAAATTTCGGAATGACAGTCGACCGGAAATTCAGCAGAAGACATACTCACCGATTAAAAGTGGAGAATGGTCGCTTGCGATATCTTGTTGGAACACAATTCTTATCATCGAAAACCTAGGTAAAAATGACGTAGGGAACTCAATCTTATACGTATACTGTAACTGGCATGATACTCAGCAAATTTTGTATTCACCGGGGATCTTCAAAGATAAAAGGGGACTTGATACGGTCCACGGGTGGAACCGTTGCCGACTTACGTCATAGACTACGCGCCAATCGCATGGCCTACAAGGGGAGCAAAGCAACCATCAAAGAGAAAGAGAGGAACAGCAAAGTCAGTGGTTCTCAAACTTTCATGGTTCACAGAGTCAAAAATCAGAATATTAATCTAACTGACGATGCAAATCCACTGAGTGGAATGAACCCGAACGATCAAGAACGAAGTGTATTTATACTCATTAACAATGGACGAAAATTTCACGATCTTCGACGAATCTTGACGAATACCAACGAGCACCGACGAGTATCTTCATTCGTGCTCGTTCAATTCGACGCAATCGCGTCGTAACAATTATCTCAAATTTTGACAACCACTGTCTAAAGGATAAAATAATCTTTTTTTCGTTGTTTCAATGGCACAAATTAAAGTACATTGCTGGCAACACATTTATTACAATTAATTGTAAGATCCGCTTACACTATATAATTCAATTGTAAATTGACTGCTTCTCTAAATTTCAATTAAATTCAATTAGCATTTAATATTTGACAGTATAACAGCTTAACATGGAATTTGAAAAGTGAATAGGTAGATATTTCAAATTTGTTTATTTCTACAATAACGTTTATATCTGAATAAAATTCTAATGAATCATTAAAATGAGTATGTAATTAAAGACACAGATGATTGAAAGACGAGGGAAATACATTAAAAAATATAATTATTTGCAAAAAGTCAAAAAAATATATGTATATATATATATATATTGCATTTAACTTATTTATATACATATATGATTTCATATACATTCTATGTATATACATATATATGTATTTCAAAAAATTTGGAATTTGGAGTTAAGTCATATTACACTCTGAAGGTGGCAGGACGGTTATAATTCAAATTGTAGTCTGTAGAAATTAAATAAATTTGTAATGTTCAAATTCAAACAAAATGTTTTATTTATTGTTAAATTAATATTTATTTGTGTTCTTTGATATATATGAATGTTATTTACATCGTGTTATCTTGCTACTATAATTGTCGTATTGTGTTACTGAAGAAGTACTGAATTTAACCTTAGTTTTTCAGCAGTGAAAACACTTGTTTTATTTATTTTTTCTAATTGTTATTTAATATTGTAAAATCGTATATTATTGAGAAGAGTATACATTAAGTAATGGAAACAATGGAATTAGATAGTTCGTCCGAAGATGATGATGTATATTTAAACTGTGTAGCAAAATTGAAGGGTATGTATAAAAAATCTAATGAATCAAATTCTTCCTGAATATGCCATTAAATCTCTTTATGAAATTTAATTTTAAGTAATATAGCTTATATAGAGATGATATTCTTATGTTTAAGAATTTGATATTAAAGAATATATAAAGTTTTACATTTCTTTAATGACAAATTAAAAATTTATTTGCAGCTTTGAAGAAGCAGCAAACTTTACATATACCAAATAGGAAAGATGAAGAGGAAGCAGAAAAAGAAAAAGAAGTCTTGAAGCACGTCTGATACATATAAAATAAAGTTCATAAAAAATTAGTTACTATAGGTTTTTGTATTAGGCAATTGCAAAAGTTTTTATATGCTCTTTGGTAGCAATTTAATTGTTTGTTTGTTGTATGTCAGAGGATGAATGAATTATTGACCTTGAGCTATGATGGTTAATAATAACATTATAACAAAACTTTAGCAATTACCCAATAATTTGCAATTTAGTGTCAATGATGTTATTGATATATTTCATATAAAAATAGCATGACATAAATATCTCTTTTCTGTAAATATCATATAAAATATCAATTTTTAGGATTCAAGTACCAGAAGAAAATGTAGTGGTACAAAGTACGGACAGAAGATTAAGGAGTAGAAGAAGAGGTCGTAATAGTGGCAAAGCACAGCACCGAAAAGTAAATTAATTTATGACTATAATATGCAATTTTAGATTATTAATTTAATTCTTGAAAAGTACTCATAATTTAGGTGAAATTGAAGTATCTTATATTATACATGATTCCATGTAGAAACATTTTCAGTTATTATATTTATCATTTTTTTAATAAGGAAATTCCATCAAATCAAGATGAAGATTCAGATTTAGAAATTGTTTCTGTTGAAGAAAAACCAAATTCGTCAGTAAATGACATATTATTAGATGACAATTGTGTAGATGAAATTTTATATGTTGATGGTGATGATGAGGAGGACTATGATTTGACTATAAAAATTCTATGGCGGTCGAAAGATATGCATCGCTTAACCATTCGTAACGTATGTATCTAAAAATAAGTGGAATATGAACAAATAATTGATCAAATTTCTCAGATTGAGAACTATTGTTTCAGAACGAAAATTTTCGAAAAATTTTTGAGTATTTTGCTGATCTAGAAAAGGTACCAATAGATGAGATTTTAATAACAAAAAAGGAAAAAACTATTAAAAAAAATGATACTCCAACTTCCATAAACTTATCTGTGATAGACATACTCGGTAAGTTAACATTTATAAATTTTGTATACAACTTTAAACATAAATTATATAAATACAAATCTTTACAGAAGGAGGTATTATTAAGAAAGACGGGACTATGCTTCAAGACAATGAAGAAGACGAAAATGATGGAAACACCTGTATTATAAAAGTACAGACAACAAACAAGAAGACCATAACTGCATCTGTTAAACGAGATGAAAACTTTAAAGTTGTTTTGGCGAAATGTGCTCAGGATCTGAATGTCGAAGAGTCAAAAATTAAATTGTATTTTGATGGTGAATTAGTTACATTAACAGATACTCCCGACTCATTAGATATAGAAGATGAAGCTTGTTTCGATCTTCGATTATCGTCCTAGGCAATTATTCTTATTTTTATTAAAAAAGACTTATTAAAAAATTAATCTGTTTGGTAAATAGTTTTTCCTAAGTTATTATAATTATATGAAAAATGTATTATTATAGTCAAAGTAAGTGATAAAATACTTGTATGTTTAATACTTAAGCTGTGAAAGAAAATATATATGACATAATATATCTACCAAAAAACATTTATTTTTAATTTTATTAAAATTTTTTATCAAGTAATTGCAATTGTACTATGTTAAAATTAACGGTGGTCCTTCAGAAGGCGGTAATTCCATAGTTTCCTGTGCCTCTACAACTCTGCTTCTAATTATATTGCCTTCTGCATCGGTTTCATCGATCGATATTAAAATGTTTGAAATTACGGGCAATGATTCGTTTTCGTTCACTTCCTCTCCTGACATTTCTTCAATTTCTTTTTCTACATTTTCTTCTTCATCTTCACCTAAATCTTCAAAAATCTAAAAAGTAAAGTCTCTCTTATATTTCGATTAATTATAATACAAATTTCATTATGAATAATGAAGCTACCTCGACTTTGGGCATACTAGAATCTTTATTTAATTTAATCTTGAACTTTTTGTTTTGATTTTTTAAGTTTCCAATTGAAGAATCATTTTCTTCTTCAATAGCTTCATATCTAACTTTTTGCAATCTGTAACAACCATCTTCCTCATGGGTATACTGAAATCTTGTATGACCACTAGGTAATTGCAATCGATGTGCTTCAATTAAATGTTTTGTTAATCTATAGCTTTTTCTATATTTTATTGGACACTCATGGCAACAATACCATCGTACTTGCATACCATGAACTCGTTCTATGTGCCTTAAAATACAATTTCTTGTAATAACAATTCTTTTCATTGATTAAATAAATGTAGATGACACAAACATAATTTATACCTACCTATCAAGAGTATAGGCACCTTTGCATTTATATAAACATCCCTCAAAATGACAAGAAAAGTTGGGGCCACTTGTATGAACTGTCATATGGGAATCTAGATCCTGTTGTGATTTGGCAGCATGATTACAAAGCTGACATGGAAAACACCTAGTAGAAACATGCCGATATCTAACATGTTTAGCCAAACTAGCTGGTGATTCACAGCTCATATCACAAAGAGTACATTTATAGTTAAAAACATGCATTCGCATATGATCCCTTAAAATTCCTTCTGTAGGATAAAACTTGTTGCAGTGGGAACACTGAAATCCTTGAACTGATAAAGATTAATCCAAATCATTTCATATACAATGTAATTAATAAATTTAATAAATTTAATTAATACTGAGTTAAATGTATTAAAAATCAGATAGATCATACCATCAATTGGTATTTGTCGTTTACAGTGAATGTGAAATTTTGTGTTTGATGCGAAAGTAGCACCACAATCAGGACAAGCAACAATTTTTTCTTTTGTATGTCGTCGTACATGATCTCTCAATTTGTACAAATTAGGACACGTGCTATTACAACCTGTCCATTTACACTCTAAACCTCCTTCAACCTTATTACCCCGGGGTCCTTCTTCAACATGAGCAGCTACATGATATAAATATAATTGATAATTTCTGAAACGTTTCAAACATTCTTCCCAACGACAAAGAAGAGGTGCTGGTAGTTCCACAACATTTTTCCAGTCAGAATCTCTACGACATTTCTGAAATAAAGCATCAAATTTCAAAATAAAAATCAAAATCATAAAAGTAATTAAATTTCAGAAAAAAAAATTTGTAAGTCAATAAAAAGAAAAATAGTAAAGTATTTCTTACAGGTAATTTAACTCTGGCGCGAATATTTGAACCAATACATTTTAATTTCGTATGATATGCATGGTAATTTACATGTCGCGTTATTTCATCAGGATCATTACTTTCATAGAAACAGCCATTCCATTGACACACATAAACAGTGATATCTTTCTCATTGGTCCGCGTACTTAAATCCGACACGTGCGCGGCCACGTGGTCTATGAATCTTTTTACGTGATTGCTTTCGAACTCACAGCCAGTCCATTCGCAAGAAAGATGATAAACTTCGCATTTTAATGGCACACCAACCCTTCTTCTTTTTGTGCCACACTCTGACACAGAATCGAACTCTGAATCAGTATTATAACTGTCATCGTCATCTATTGATTTTCTCTTGTGCTGTGTTTCATCTGTATATGTACAATCTTTCTGAGATTCTACCCAACTGTTGCACCGTTGTTGCACGTCTTTACTGGTTATTAATTTCTTTTCGAATTCTGTCATTTTTTAATTTTGTAAAAAGTTTGTTTCTTGCTTTAGTAAATAACTTTACTCTTGTCGTTGTAATAAAATCTATTGAAATGGAATAAAGATACACAAGATTAGCAAATTCAAATAAACATTGATAAGTTTTATCGACAGTCCGATATATCGATAGTATTATTAACGCGCACAGGTAATTGATTATTCAAAACTGATTATTCTTATTCGAAATTAAATTAAATTACACTGAAAGCTCAAATAAAAAACAGTAGTTTTAAATGATATAAATAATGTATTATGTTAGATTACATTTAAACAAAAATAAATAAATTTGGATGATAAAATTACGCATTACATTTTACTTCGATCACTCCCGTTAACAATATTATTAGTATTTTGGTAAATATTAATACCCTATCGATAATGCGCCGATAATCGACAGTAGTGCCTTTATCCATGTCTTCGTTAATACTAACACTGTCATAATGTTTGTATACCTAACCTGAGTTCAATTTATCGTGAAACAAATTCCTAAATAAAGTGTTGTATTTCACGTAACAACCATTATCGTTCAACATTTAACAATCAAATGTTTCAAAAGTTTATGAACGAAAAATTATGGAAATCTGCGACTACTTTAAAAAAAATAAAGTGTTTTGGTTCATCGATTTCACTACGAAGACACTTTAATGAACATAGTAGATGTTCCACAATATATGCACTCTCTTCTGGTTATTATACTATTGTTTACATTTTTTTAATGTTTAAATCAACGTAAAGTTACATGTCGCGTACAATTCTATCTACTATATTACGACAATACAATTTTCTGTGACAATACACTTGTATTCCGCCAATTTTAAGTGCGCATGCGCAGTATAATAATAAATTTAAAAATGTTTGAAACATTTATTTATAAATTTATAGAATTTCAATTGAATTACGCTTTGTTACAACAATTAATTTTCAACATTACAATATCAAAAACTTGTTTAGAATTTTTAAAAACAAAAGCAATGTGTTTAAAAATACTTGTGCCTTGTAATTAAGAATTACTTTATTGAATTAAAAACCTTATGTTGTCAAACATTTTACTACATACTACTTCATTTTGCAGCTTTTATTTCATTCATAATAAATAAATTATAAATTTTGATCAAGCAAACTATGGCACAACCATCTAATAGATTATTTTATTTTTTATATAATTTGCAATAGGGTATGGCAAATGTGGAGTAGCTGTGATTCGGATAACTGGTTCAAAAGCATCAATAGCTTTAAAAGAAATGACTAAAATGACAGCACTAAAACCACGAGTAGCTTTGCTAAGAAATATTCATGATCCAGAAACAAAAGAAGTTTTAGATAAAGGTCTTTGTCTTTGGTTTCCAGGTATTCTAAAAAAATTTAGTTCAAAGAAATATATTTTTATGTATAAAACAATATAACATAAAATAATTGCACTTAGGTCCTAAATCATTTACTGGAGAAGATTCTGTAGAATTCCATGTTCATGGAGGTCCTGCAGTAGTAACATCAATACTTAATGCACTTACAAAATTACATTTTGAATTAGCATCTCCTGGAGAATTTACTAAGAGAGCTTTCTTAAATGGAAAATTGGATTTGACAGAAGCTGAAGGTATAGGTGATTTAATTGATGCAGAAACAGAGAAACAACGTAAACAGGTAGAATGGAGACTAATATAATATGTTCAATTTGTTAATATCATTTTCTTTTTAATGGATAAACACTTCTTGAATATTTTATGTTCTATTCTTTAACAGGCATCTAATCAAGCTAATGGCTCTCTTCATCATTTATATAATTCTTGGCGTATAACTTTATTAAACATACTTGCTAGCTTAGAGGCTTACATTGATTTTTCTGAAGAGCATGATTTAGAATCTAATGTTTTGGAAAATGCCAAAGCCACAATACAAAAGTTATCTATTGAAATTCAGCAGCATCTTTCTGATGGAAGAAAAGGAGAAATTTTGCGTACAGGAATACGTGTGGCAATTCTTGGACAACCAAATGTAGGAAAAAGTAGTCTTTTAAACCTTCTTTCCAAAAGAGATGCAGCTATTGTTTCAGCTTTTCCAGGAACAACAAGAGATGTTATAGAATTGACAGCAAATATATGTGGATATCCAATGATTCTTGCAGACACTGCAGGAATACGAAATGATCCAGAAAATGAAATAGAAGTAGAAGGCATTAGAAAAGCAAAAGAATGCTGTAAAAGTGCAGATTTTGTTATATGTGTAATCAGTGCAGAAAATAGTTTTGAAAGTTCTTTTGAAGAGTTTTTAGAAAATTATAAGAGTACTTTGGGTATAGAAAAAGAAAAAATTCTTATAGTATTAAATAAAGTAGATTTATTGGAAAAGAAAGAAAAAGTAAAGTATAAAAATCACAATGTTGTTTCTATTTCATGTAAAACACAAGAAGGCTTGAAAGAACTTATAGAAGCATTAGGAAAATGTTTTGAAGAAATGTAAGTTCATATCATGTTCCTAAGACTAGAGTTATAATATTAATTACTAATAAACATACAGCATTAAAATTATAGAATAATCATCTCACTAATCATTCAATAAGACCAAAGATCATTGCCAAAAAAAGCATTTTTATTTTATTAACTTAATTTAATCAAATAATTTCAGATGTGGTGATCCATCCATGGAAAATCCTGTGATTAGTCATACACGATATAGAAATCATTTATCACGTGTTATAGGACATCTGGACAAATATTTAGAAAGGACTAAAGTTTTAAATTATGATATGGCTATATCTTTGCAAGATATTAGAGGCGCAGCAAGAGAACTAGGAAAAATAACTGGTTCTATTAGCAATGAAGAAATTCTTGATGTCATTTTTAAAAACTTTTGTATTGGAAAATAAAAGTTACTTAAAACATATAAATATTGCTATCACATTATTAATAAAAAAGGAATTATAATCATAAATTACAATAACTATGATCATTTATTTACATGTATACATGTGCACAATTTGCAACAAAAATTAAAAAATAAAAATGTCATTAAAAACATAGTTATTGTCAAGTTTCAGTTTTGTTCTCTCGCTCTGTTCCCAAATGAGCAATATTAATTTCATCCAGATTTATATCTTGGTCTTTCATGGCTTGCTGAAAATAGAGATAAATACAATAAATTGTATATTTCATGTAAAATGAAAATTAATAATTTGTGTAACTATAATATGTATAGACGCATAATAGTTGAATTTTAGTATATTTATTCATTATTTTTGTACTCCTAATTTTTTTAGGTTATAAAGCAAATAAAAAATTCATAAAAAAATGTACAGTGTATATTTATTTTTAGACTAATATTCATAAAATGTTAGCAATTAAAAAGATAATAAAGTATTTTTAAATAATTTATCTTACCGAGACACATTTAGTATAAACTTTAAGTAACTCTGCACATTCACTGTCGTCATAAACACCACGCAAAAATTTGTCAGATAACCAAGTATTAAAACATCGATCATATTTTTCTTTTAATTCTTTACAAGCTTCCATAACTTATCAGTACATTTAATTTCATTCGAATATTTTAACCTTGTATTACTGTACTGTTCACACGTGTATTCGATAATTCAAAAATTGATTGAATCCAAATTGTTGATTATTCATCAATGGAATATTTTTTGTTCGTTAAATCATGTAAAGAAATAGCATAAAACTTGTATAATTTACAGGCTTTATGAACCAAACAGTTTATTAAGCTTAGCTGTTCGTGTTTGCAGTATGAACTGAGTACTTCATTATCGAAATATTTGCATGGTTTTATAAATTTTATCGTTTACGTAAAATTGAACAAGTTAAGAAATTTAATAAATTTTAATATACTTATAATTTATATTTTTTTATTTATGATATATGTTAAAATTTATAAACTTTTTATAAAATAGTAGTTTTGTGTCGAATATTTTTTATTTTTGTTTTAAATAATTTAACTGAAAAGAAATAATTTAATTACCTGAAGACACTGGACGTACGATTTAAAATAATTCGAGCACATTGAATCGTCAAAATCTCCTTTCATAAACTTTTCGGCAAACCAAAGTTTAAAACATCCATCGTACTCCTTTTTGAGTTGATTACAATTTTCTGCGATACTGTTCATTTAATTTTTATTTTCTGAAATATTCACCGAAATAATTGTCTTCGATCTTTAACAGGAACAAAAAATATTAAAAATTATGCTAATAACAAGAATTTAATTAAAAATTTATAATTTCTAAACGTGATTTGAAGTTACACTGAATTCTTAAATCGATTTACATAAAATTATCGATTTAAGAATATTTAATATCGATCGTATTCGATTAATCGAATTATGTTATGGAGGAGTATTCCGCAAAGGGGTGGTGACATAGCTATTTCTTTTAGACATATTTACGCATATTTATAAAATCATTTTTTAATACTTATTTTATTATTTTATGTGTAAATATGAAAATAACTTACGATTAGAATCTTCTTAAAATTTGAGTTGTCGAATTTTAGTAAACAAAAAATATAAATTACTTTGTGGTTAGTAACATATACGTCGTGTCAACCTCATCAATGATAGATGAAGGTTTTGTGTGGTTCTCAACTTGTTCCTTTTTGAAAGTGTTGTAAATATTATGGCGCATTCGGAAATTTGTGTTGCTTATAATAATTCATTTATTGTTCATTTTACTTTTATTTATTTTCAGTATTTTTGCAATACACTATTAATAGTTACAAATTTGAACACATACAAATATTTGTATAACTTTTTAAAATTTAATAATATTCACATTGTAAAAGTCAAACAGTTTTATTCGCGTGATTGTTGTGTATAAATTGAACTATAACAATAAATATACTTATTGAAATATTTTAACAAGATTAATTAGGGTTTAATATTTTATTAAACCCTAAGTAAAAAATTAAATTAAATTGTAATTACACAGAAATTGTTTGCTATGAGTTGAGTTGGAGTGCAATATAAATAAAAAAAAGTAAAAAATGTATATACATATATATAATTAAATTATTTTATACATTATAGTAATGATTGTAGAATGTTTATTGGAACTTGCATTGTTTGGTCATCGACCAAGACAATATCAAATTTTTCCATGAACGAAGACAAGCTACTTTCAATCTGAAACAATTTTAACCATTTCTATTTGATACATATACATGCAGTAATATTTTAATTTTAGAAGATACCAATCTTTCTTACAAAATAAGTTATCTTTTAAAATTCATTAATCATCATTTAGAGATTAATAAGAAACATTTTATAAATCTTTAATGTAAACATTTAAAAAGAAATAATTAAATAATGATTGGTAAGAAATATTTAATATGAATATGGTACTTACATTGTCATAGAGGAAACCAACTTTTAACACTGCACCTAAATCTTCAATGCCATCTACCATTGATGCATCTCCTGTAGTATCACCCATTAAAAAAACATTTCTTCTTCCTTCAAGAAATTTAAAGTATTCTTGTTCAACAGTATGTTCATTTTTATTGAAAACATGAATTAGTTTTTTGTTTTTAAAACCTGTCAATTTCCCATCTTTGTATTTGAGAAAATTGGAGATAACCTTGAGATGAAAATGATCATTATCATTACTATTCTTATTACGTGGTTAACTTTAATTTTAATAAGCTAATGATAAAACTGCATCCCACGAGAATTTAACAAAATTATAAACAAGAATATTTTGCTCTCATTATTATCAGAATTTTTAAATAGTATTACCTTTACATTATCAAATAAAACTCCTTGAGCTTTCAAAACAGCTTCAACAACATCCCCTAAGCCAGCACTAAAAACGAGCACTGGAATTCCAGCAGAATGGAATTTTTTAAAAAGTTCTTTAGTACCATCCCTCAAATCTGATCCATAAATTTTAACAACTTCTGATATTTCTTTTGGATCAAAGGGTATTCCTTGTAATATTTCTTCTGCTGCTATCATCCAATTTGTCATTGCTTCTGCTTTTTCTTCAAGTGGTAAATTTGGATCTATTTCAATTGGTCTATATTTTTTATATAGGCGACCAGACTCTTTCGCGTAAATCTCAGGAAGTTGCTTGGATTTACTAAATATGCCTGTACGTTTTAAGATTAAAAAATTCATTTTTTGCTTATTATCTTTTTGATTTTTTAAGATCAATAAAAGTTTACTTAAGGAGATAGATCAAATTTTAGGTTTCTTTTTTCTAATTGTAATAAATATTTAGGTAAATGTTTATGAACACATTTGTACATATTAATTAAGCCTGTTCAAGTAAAGGAAAGTGAATTCCACAAATCATCGCACTGTCTGTTTCAATGCTGCTTCTTTAGTTGCAACAATAAGAATTTCACTCTCCCCTCTATTTTCTTGCCTGAAAAGACATTGCATCATATGTTTTGGAATTCACTTTCCCTTAATTGAATAGATCAAATGTAGATAATTTAAAGAATTCTCAATTAAATAAAAGGTACCATTAATATAATTACATACCAAAACTACTGAGAGCTTTTTTGCCATTAACATGTTGTTTTGTTAGTGTCAAGTCAAAATCAGTAACAACCTGAAAATATTTTTAGAACAATTTTGATCTTAAGTTTATAAACATGTCCAACATCAGAGAATTATTTTTAAAAATTGAATAATTAATAGGATTAAATATAAATAGAATAATTTTAAATAAAAATAATGTTAAAGAAAATGTAACATCTTCCTTTAATTTATATGTTCACTATTCCAATTATTATAATACAGATATGAAAAAGATCTCAATCATACCTGCAAACAATTACGTCCATCTTTCAGAATTGTATTTATTGTGTTCAACAGAAGGTTTTTGTCTTTAATATGGACATGTTTTAACTTCAGCGTTGAAAACTGCATTGGAAGACAAAATTTAAGAAGTTATTTAAAAGTGTTTTTAATGAATATAAAGCAATTACTTATTACGTAAAGCGCATTTGTAGAAAGGGAAAGGAAACAAATTGTTTATATTAATATTTGTTAAATTTATTATCAAAATTAAATTGAAAAAATATTTAAATCTATCATTTATGTAATTTACTTTGTATGTAGAAACAATACAATAAAAGTTTACTTAGAATTAAATTATAATATTTATTATATTATTTAGAGATTTTTTTGTGTCTATTCAATTCTATGTTACCAAGTATTACTTTAATGTAATTAACATTTAAATTACAATATTCAATTATTATTATTATTATTATTGCATTACAATATTTGAATGTAAAAGTTGCATAATGTAAAAATAAAACACATTAAATATATAAAAAATAATGCCAAAAAGCATTATGTTATGTATTAATGTAATATTAATTGCTAGATATAGTCTTATAAAAATAAAGTATATGATAAACAGATTTAATATTTAAGGAATTAATTGATTGATACATGGTATATTATATGATTACTTTAACACTGCTATATATTAACCATTTATTAATTATATTACTATGCAGTACAAATTAATTCCTTGAAAGTCAAAGAACACATGTATATTAATTAAATTTTATTATATAACAGGTTAAATTTGACTGCTATATCACACATCTATTTCTTCAATGCACTGATTTTCCAATCATCGCATATAACAAGATGTTACTTATATAGTAATGTTTAAAGATCAGTTGATTAAATGATTGCATTCCTATTGTATACATTCATCAAAAGTTATATTTCATTAATTTCCAACAGCCAAACAAAGAACTGATAAGAAATATATGAAGTAATTAAAAACTTCATTAAAAACCTCAAGATACTAGTTTCTCTTATAAATATGTTAAAGGGTAATAAATTTGTTACTTACATATAATTTTATTCTAATTATTCTTACATAACTTTATATCGACATATGATTATTCATCCTTTAATAATTTCTAAAACACTCTTTTTTCATTTTAAACTCTGGTCTTATTGCATGAAAATTCATGTAAATAATTAGTTTTAAATTCTTTACTTATTAAAAAAATTATCCTTTTCAATATCTTAAGATAATATATGATTCACTAATGCGTGTTATCACATTAATAATAAACATGTTTTGCATAAACATGTAAATGTCATACCATTTGTGTTTTACATAGAAATGCGTAAAATTAATTGTTCTATTTAATTATAGTATTCCTTTCATTTCATTCTTTTATGAAACAATTCACCAACTCTTTTGATCACCAATTCAGTTGAAAACTTTTTTTAACAAATAATTGTAACTATAAAAGACGAATGAATTAGAAATAAAAAAAGTTCAATGAAATGAAGGTTATGTTTCAATAAATTGACCGCCAAAACACTGAACTAGAACAAGGTTAAACGCGATTGGCCAAGAAAGAAAACCGCGAGAAATTTAAATTACTCACATCATCCAGATCTAATTCGGGAGTCATGCTCTCTCTTTGCGTGACGGGAACAAAGTCTTCGTATTCAGAAGCCCGAACTGATTTTCTAGACGTCGAAGAGCCGCCGCAGATCCGATTAACCAATCAGCTACAGTCTAGAACACGTGACCCATCATTCAGTCACGTGATCTTACTTTCGCAAGGTCTCTCGTTTATACATACATATATGTATATGTAGGTTTCTCGATTCTTTATGCGAAAAATTTCAAACAATTTATCGAATGGTATTTATTATATCTCTTTTTATTTTAACAACTAATAAAAAGTAAATGAAAGAATGTAATTGTACATGAACATTCTGTTTCCACGATGGAATGTTTGATAATACATCTAAATAATAACATGATCAATTGAATAATATTCTAATCGTAGATTAGACACTTACATTTTTAGGTAGGATTTCTATCGTTATTACTAAAATTACACTAGACGAAATCTGTACTTGTACATTAAGAACTATGTATTTGCCGTAAACGTCAATACTATTGCTGTTACAGTTGTCATTAATATCATAGAATCTTATCGAACATTTATAAAATTAAGCCTGTTGTAATAAAGAAAATATGGCTACCATTGTATGGATTTGATAGCCGAATGATAACTGGGGCTATGCTGCGAATAAAATTGGGAATACCACCTGCGGTATGTAAGAATACTTTTTTCCTCTTTCACGAGCAACGGCTGTTTCTCGAATTTTTTTCGATTCCAAATAGCCACGTCCCTTTCGAACATCAAACACTCTGCCAAAAATAATATACTGGCGTATGGACTAATCAGCGGTGGAGAAAACAGCAAATGAGTTACCTGGCAACAACAACAATTTTTTAATTCATTTAATTTAATTTAAAAATGGTAAATATTTTTTACAAATATTATTTTAATTTCTTTTTATAAATAACTTAATTTCTAAAAATGATGTTTATTTCTTTTAGTAAGAAAAACTGCGTTAATGATGTAATATGAATTTTTCTTTGATAAGACAAATTGTGTATACACGTAATTATTCTTTTAATTAAAATTGATTTGATACTGGAGTCTTCGTCGTGTGCGCGCGCGATTCATTTTATTAATATTCATAAAGGTAATCGACAAACTATTAATCACGTCTATTTAGCAATAATTGAGATCACGTTTTATATACTCTTTTTCTTTCAGATTTATAATAGTAAAGAAAAACACGAGTATATTTAAACTGGGCATAACGCAATTTTATCCAGGGGTGTCGTAAGACGTCGCCGGGCCCGGGGAAAAAATTTCGATCAAAGTAAAAAAATTTTATCACTTATAAATTATTATTACAAAGGAAAGTTAACTGAAGTAATACCTTCTGTAGGAGCGGTTCCATAGGCGTCACTGTCTGAAAAATACACACGGTTCCTAGAACGCTTTCCATGAATAACTCGACGTATCCAGGACCAATTTGCTGAACGTTCACATCCAATTTCAAAACTTTAAATTTATCGAATAATATCAAATGATGTCTTAAAGTCATGTACGCTCTATGACTGGAATTTTCCGAATTTTGTTTGATCGATTCAGCTACTTCAGATTTCTTCGATTCCGAATAAGAACTGTGCGGCATCCAATTAATATTTGACCACGAATGGCGCACGAACGGAGCAATTAAAGAAAGTATATAAGTTATCTTCGAAAACACCGCAGGACCGTGCACTACTCTAAGGTGCGCTATGTCGGCTCCATTTTCTGCAATTTCCTGGAACAATCGGGATCTTATTTCTCTTTCTCTTCATTAAAATTTAATTATAAGCGTACATTTAATACAAAGTAAACTTCAGAATATTATTCTATGTTACCTTTGAATATTTCACGTGTTATTTTCAAATATTTATTCTAATTTATTTTAATTATTTCTATATTATATAGTGACCTGTATGTGACAATTGATGAGAAATTCGTTTCGACCGTGATAACGCCATGTTCGATTCAATATGTGATTGAGGGTCTGTGGTTGCCAGCTAGGTTCTACTCCTTCTGCGTGGTACCAAACAAAGATAATCTCATTAGCTTCGCAACTCTTCCAAGTCTTCGTTCTCGCAATGTGCGGCACTGAAATCAAGATGTTTGATGAAGACACAATTACACGTGTGATGCGTGTCAAGTGAATGTCGTAACTCGACCACTTCGAAGAAGTTCTAAGGAGCGGGTATATAATATTCAGAGCAGGCTAAAATAATTTCGTAAAATAAACTAATTGTTTACGAGATAGGCGACCTTGAATAAATATACATTTACTACAAAATTTAAAAGAGAAGAAAGTTTTTTAAAAGAAAGTATTAAGCTTTATTACTAAGTGTATTTACAAATAGGAAAACGTATTACACATTATAGTATTACGCGTTATACTACCATGCGCTGTACTACAAGATCATGTATGCTAATTTGCCTCATGTTTTCAGTAGAGTGAACACAAATTACAAATTTGAATTACCTTTGTCGGTATATGGAATGTGATCACATTGTCCATCAGAGCCACGGAATTGCCAGCCATGAAAAGGACATTCTAAGCAATCTCCCTTCACACGACCACCCTCCGCCATGTTTGCACCAAGATGAGGGCAGTAAGCGTCTAAAATTCTCACCGTCCCTTTATCTGTTCTTTAAACGAATTACTGTCATCATTAGTACGTAGAGACATTCACAAATTTGATTTATCTATTACAGATATTTTCGATGTAATATCCATTCAATATTGAAGATAAATACCTGAATACAGCAAAATTTTGTCCTAGAGCTGCCACATGCTTCACCTGACCTTTTCCCAGTTGAGAACTCTCCAAGAGAGCAAACCATCCATTTGGATAAACTGGAGGAAGTTTTCCCAGTTTGCGTTTCTTAGATTCCAAATAATTTGTGAGAATTCTTCTGCTGTTACCTTCCAACCTTAGATCCTGAAGAAGCATTAATTTTCAAAATTTTATTCATGCAAATTAATAATGTTAATATTATTGCATAGGATTTTCGTTAATAAAGCAAAGAATTCTGCAAAATATATTTTAAATATTATATCTTGGAAGTATTTAATGTCACGACGAAATGTATCGTGTTCTTTCTGCGATGGACCTTGATCATTGCTGATACGTTGAAAAAGGATTCTTCTAGTCTTGCAGTGTCACACACGGAAAGAAATTTGCTTCCTCATTTATAAACATGTCACCGTGACAGCTTGAACGTACTGACTGTATCAAACCTTATAGAACTAAAACGTAATCATTTGTAATTTTTATTCGACGCATCGGTGTTAGTTAATAGAAACAGCAATTTTGAAGCAGACTCGGATCGTTTCCATTCGAAATTACATGCTAATTTTATGGAAATCTAACGCGATTCTTTTAAAATAAAAGATTATTCCGGCATGATTTTACCTTAAAGCTATTGGAACCATTGAACACTTTCAATGTAATCGTACGAGTATACCTACCACGAGGAAATATCAGATTTACTATTACTTTTTAGTTTCAGATTGCATAACTTGAAGAAAACAGTTAAATACATAATATATTTTATCTCAAGATTATTGCAGTTAAAACCATTAATACAATTATGCAATTAAGTATATATACCATGAAGAAAAATAGAAATAGAATTTTTTACAAATTGCATAACTTAAGAAAAAAGTAAAAGGAAGAAAGTTGTGGTGATGGTAAATACAAAGAAGAAAAAGAGGAAATAATTGGATACCATAAATATTATTTAAGACAGTAAAAAAGACATGTATGTATTGCAAGTTAGTTGTATATTCTAATGTTAGAATGACTGTTTACTTAATGTTTTCACAATATCATGCGTGTTTGATGATGGGTAAATATTTTTGAATGACGGTGTAAGTAGGTAAACCGGGCAATGGTATCGCAGAAGACTCACCTTGATCCAGTTGATCTTGTACAAATAGGGAGCAAGGAAGATAGCAAAAAGCAGAAGAAAAACACCACCGAGGTTCCACCATCCGGCCATCGCTGTCTTCTTCACCCTCTGCCCCTGAACGAAGAAAAGCGAGTGCACTCTAAAAACTCGTCTCCCTCCGGAGCACCTTCGAAACCACTTCTCTTATTCCTTGCTCTCTCTCTCTCGTTCTCTCGTCTTTTCTTCCTTTTCCTTCCACTCTGTTCGCTTTTTCTTTTTCTTCCTTTCCTCCTTCCTCTACTCTAGCTTCTGCAATCTTCTTCCTTTCCTTCCTTTCTTCCTTTCTTCTTTTGCTCTTGCTTTTCTCCCTTCTTTCCTTCCTTCCTCTTCCACCGTTTCCTCTCCTTCTCTTTGTCCTTCTTCCCTTTGCTCTTGTTTGCCCTTTCCTTTTAATATTTTTCTCCACCTGTTGCGTGAACTTGTCTTTCAAACTTTCTTACTCCTGATCCTTCGTCCTTCTATCCGTACTACGCTTCTTCAAATCTCGTTTGTGCATTTACGTTCGATAACTTCTCTGAAGTTTTCATGCAACTAGATTATCCCCTTCTCCCGTTTTCCTTCAGGTACATTCGGTAGCAACCGTCTTTCCTTGCTGCTTCATCATGTATTATTTATGCCCGCTTTTATCAATGTCCTCACTTATTCCTCCTTTTCAGGGTCAGTGTGAATGCGTTAATTTCCTCGGTGATCTTCTTCGAACGGGACCAATGATACACACGACAGAACCAAAGAAGAACTAGAGAACGAAGAAGAAGAGAAGCAGACAGAAGGTCCTCCCAGACTGATTCCGAACCCTCGATCGTTTTTCGAACGACTGAGCCACTTCGTATCTTAGACAGAGCCTTTTATACCTTTCTGAGGTAGACCACCTTCCTCGTCGATTTCTGTTACAGAAAATCAACATCTTCTTCAAACCAGATCTTATATCTCCGTTTAACGTATTCCTCACACTTATCGTTAGTTGCTGATTTATTTACTACAGAGTTTTGATTAAATAATAGGAAGTAAAATTATGCAATTTTAATTATCACTGATATTATCTTTTAGATATATGATGAACCGGTGTCGAAGAGCTTATGGTACGTGTAGTGGAAAGGTGTTCTTGACTTTAATTCAGAAAAGGACTTGAAAACTCAAGCTTTGGAGTTGAGGAAGTTAGAAATTAGGTAAATGAAGATTTTACTAATGAGGACTTAGAAATGTAAAATTTCATAATTTGAAAATTTATAACAGTAAGAATTTTTTTTAATATAAGATAATATTTCACTTTGTACATTTGACCATATTTTGGGGTGGTTTACTCAGCTGAATGTTTGTCAAGGAACCATATTCTAAGACTATTGTGAAATATAATGCATAACGCATCGTGGTCGTTCGAATGTTCAGGGATATTTGTCAGCTTTAAATCGTATACCTGGCCTTTCCGACGAATGTCGATCGAACGATCACAACGGTTACCACATTTTTCCGCTTAGGATCATGTACAGATACGACCGATTTCCAAGTCCTTGTTGCATATCTTTTCTTCTATCGTGAATCGTTCTGCTTCTGTTTACCCTCCTTGCTTTTTCTCGCTCAGCTTTACTCTTATCGATTCTGTCCATTGGTTTCCGACTATTTCTATCTTTAGTTACGCTTTTCCGTAGTTATTTTCCCGTCATTCGACTTTTCTTCTCTTTTCTTTCGCTTATCTGCGGTTGACGATCAGGAATGTTTCGTTAACCGGTGATCCTTTTTTCTTTTCCAGGTTGCTGCGGAGACGGTGTGTCTTTATTTAATGCGGGGAATATCTCTTAGAAACGCATTTGAATTTTAAACTCTCGGAGACGGAAGATCTAGGTAAACACAACATTTAAAATACTAGAAAGTTCAAGGACGACGGAAATTTCCTTTAAATCAGTTACTACTCTCTAACAAAAAGTATATTTATGTGGAGTATGATATAACTATCAAGAAATAAGTAAATGAGTATTAAAATGATGCAAGTATTTATGAAAACCGTTTATGTAACACTGGTGTTTTAAAATAAACACTATTATTGTTGTCAATGAAACAAATCTTATTACTCTTTTTATTATACTTATTACTATTTTACTATTCTACAATTTGTAGTAAATTTATATGTATATCATTTATATATACTTGCTGTTCATAAATCTGTCAAAGAAGTATAACTTTTTATCTAATTTACAGGTATGAATGGTTTTGATTAGAAGTTGTGAAAAGAAATAAAACATGTTAACTTCAAATATACTAACAATACTGAATGCAGCAAAAATTATTATTATATCTAATTTCATTAAGAGTTGTTGGGTAAGGAATTACACAAAGTGATTACATAATTAATTATTTTATTACAAAATTTACATGTAAAATGTAAAAAAAAATCGTTGAAAATATTCTTCTCTCGTTAGTCATTAATGTTTACACCATTTACATTAAGACAGATAGAAGTCAAACGAAACTGAAGGACAGATATTCACTCGCACACACGGACTACTTAAATGCAAACGAACGAAATGCATTACAGATTACACAGATACAATCAACACACGAATTACATTGGGCGATACAATACAACGAATAAGTCTTTTTTACTCGATCTTTTCTCAAAACATTTTATTCAATACATTCGTCAACGATAAAAGGCAACGAAGAGTAATCGAACAAATAAATCAATTAATTTTAATCGTTCATTCATTTGTTCGATAGGTGCCCATAACGAAACATCAAATTGAACCGGTAATCTTAAAATTAGTTCGACCACCTGTGACCAAATAAATGAATGAATCAAACCGTACGTCAATTCATTCATATATTACCTCGTGACACGTGTTCGGATTTATTGATTCATTCATTCACAGAACAATTACATAACTTAAAACTGAAGGCACTAGGGTGAAAACCAAACAAGAAGAACAAGAAACGGAGAACAGTTCCTCGTATGTTTTGAAACAATTTTTTTCTTTTTTTCTTTTTTCTAAAATCAATAACTTAATTCGTAACGAAACTCAACAGTAAAAACAATGTTATTTTCTGTGAAACAATGAATAATAGAAAACAGTTATATAAATTAAACAAAAAATGCCCGTATGAAGCTTAAGTACACTTGAATATTTTACGTAAAAAGTATAACACAGATTTTACCGCACAATTTATCGTTCGATACGTTGTGCGTAAATATCAAAACACACTTTCGACGTAAAATACTTTGTTCATTTCCAGACGTACAACAAAAACATAACCGAACAGTAACTTTAACTTTTTTTTCAGTTTTCTACTCGTTTAACATCAACTTAATATACAGAGGGTCAACATTAACGAGAACAAGAGAGAACGATAAACTTAATAGTGAACATAATTAAATCTCTAACAAGGAACACAGAAAGTTTTTTAACATCGTTTGAAAATCAACAGATGACCAACAAACGAGGAGCAAACGTAATGAATCAACTGTAACCCTTGCGTGAGCAGTCGACCTGGAACTTATTTTTTAGATAAATCTTTTATTATTTTATAATGCTTAAAGACAATTTTTAATGTCGAAGAATTTAATGATTCAGTTTTGAAAGTTTTCCAAGATAAGAATTTTAAATATTGATATAAAAATTTTGTGCGTTAATGGTTCCCAGAGTAACAGGTTGAAATTTTTCAAAATCAAAATTTTAAGTTGACACTGCAATATGAACATTTCTAGTTGGAAATTTGGTAAAATAAAAATTCCAAATATTAAATTTTTCTAAAAACAAAATTTCAAGTATTGAATCTTTTCAAAATCAAAATTTGAAATATTAAATTTTTCCAAAATTAAAATTTCAAATATTAAATCTTTTCAAAATTAAAAGTTCAAATATTAAATCTTTCCAAAAACAAAATTTCAAGTATTGAATCTTTCCAAAATAAAAATTTTACATATAAAATTTGTCTAAAATTAAAATTTGAAATATTAAATTTTTCCAAAATTAAAATTTGAAATATTAAATTTTTCCAAAATTAAAATTTCAAATATTAAATCTTTTCAAAATTAAAAGTTCAAATATTAAATCTTTCCAAAACCAAAATTTCAAAAATAAAATCTTTCCAAAATCAAAATTTTAAAAATTGAATCATGAATAGCGATTGCTCACACAGGGGTTTTAGCTAAAAAACAAAAACAATTTTAACTAAACTGATAGATAACTGAAATAATATTTTTTTTATTATTTTACAAACGATCTTTTTATTAATTTATATGATATAAACGTAACGAAAAAATTTAGAAACAGTTATAAAATCTGAAAAGTATAAATTTTGTTCTTTTTTCTGTTCTAGTTTTGGCCTTAAGGAATTTGGATCTTTAAATTGGTTAATCGTTTATAAATCAATGCTTTTTGTACCACTTTGTTAGGTTTGAAAATAATTTTAAATCGAAAAAGAGAATTTGTGTCAGTATGAATATAATAAAATAAAAGTTTGGTTATGTAAGTCCAAAAATTCACTAAATTTAATTTTCTACTTGCTAATGCAAATGTCTTTTTTTAAAGTAACTTTTTTTTTAGGTGAAATTAAGTACAACAAATGAAATTTAAACTTCAGAAGTAAGCAGATAACAAATTTCCATTACTATTCTCATTGGTTCTGATTTCTTTTTTAATATAATTTAGCAAGAAAATTTATTTATACATACACCGAATCTCATGTGTGTTATTTTCATTTGTTCTGTAAAGTTTAGCTGGTATGGTCACATGGTTTTATTAGTCTTCTTTACATGTCCAGAAATCTTAATGTAGATGCTCCTCTTTGATTATAATGTAACAAATTATTGTGTCAGTATTTTCTTTTATAACAATTTTCAAAATCAGCCAAAATTTAATTACAACTTTTATTTAACCAAAATGTAGGTCCAATGTATTTCTGTTTATCATACTTCTACATTTATTTTTAGATATAATTATCTTATCTTCATCAAAGATTCAAAAAATCTTGTCTTTAGATGGGTGTTTTTATTTATTGGAACAGTCATATAGATTTGTTATTTTTTTCAGTAATATTGTAATAGTGTTTTCTTAATATTACATAATATTACTTTTAGTAGTAGTATTTGTACCATCATGTCATAATAGTCTTCAATTATTATTTGTAACACAAAATTAGCAAATTTTATATACTTGTTTTAGTTTAATTTTAGAGTCTTGAGGCTTCCAAATTAATATTTGAACTATTTCTAATTTGTTGAATTTGGTTGCTTCCAATTCTATTTAATGGTACAAACTATTGTTTCCTTAATTTGTTTTATTCATCTTCTTCATAACTTCTGTCTCCTACATTATGGAATATGAATTGTCCATAACATTAAGTTTAGGTATTTAATGCTTTGAATTCCTTAGTGTCCTTATTTTCCACTGGTACTTCATGGTAGTAACTTGTTCCTTTTCATCTTCCAAATAAATCATTTATTTCCACTGAAATGTTTAATGATATTTATGTTAAGCTTCTGAGTTAAATCCAGGTATGTTAGGTACATTCAACTTCCATAAACTGTCTTGATTCTTCTGATTAGCAGTTAGCTTCCTTCTTCCAAATTAATTTCCACAGAACTTGTATTTTTTATCTTGGGTTGTCCAGGTATGTTATCCCATAGCATGTCTTGATTTTCCTCTGGTACATTTCTTTTGGTTGGCAGTAGGGTAGCTTCTTTCTTCTTCCAAATTAGACTTCTTCCAATTAGATTTCCATAGAACTACTTGTTGGGTTATTTTGGCTTAAGTCCAGGTATGTTATCCCATAGAATGTCTTGATTTTCCTCTGGTACATTTCTTTTGGTTGGCAGTAAGGTAGCTTCTTTCTTCTTCCAATTAGATTTCCATAGAACTGCTTGTTGGGTTATTTTGGCTTAAGTCCAGGTATGTGATACTCTGAATCTTTCTGCTACATTTTTCCTCTTGATAGTAACTTCCTTTTCTTCATCCTAATTGACCATTCATTTTTACAGAACTGTTTGGTTTTATGGTTAAGTGCAGTCCTTTGAATTCTGTAGATTTCCAGACTTTTTCTTGCCATTTTCTTTGTTGACAGCAATTTTCAACCTTTCATTTTGCTTCTTTGAATCATTTGTTATCATTTATAGACTTCTGAACGTTTGAGTTGCTTCTTTTCTTCATAGTGAATTTTGGGTCTCTTTTCCAGGGTCCTTCATATTCATCTTTAGCTGCTTCTGGAGACCTGGAATTGTGTGAGCGTTAGCAAAACGGAATGCCAAATGAAATAATAGAAATAAAATTTGGAAATAAAAAATAAAAAATAAAAATGTTCAATTTTGACTGTAAAAGAAATACTAAAAGTAATTTTGAAAGAGGTGCAGAATTTGCTATTGCCCAGTTTCTATACTTTTTGTTTGTTAATCAAATTTTGAAAATTTTGAATAATTAATCGGGATCGTGTGGTCGTACAATTTTTCATATTCGAATAATAAACATCTATTTCTTTGTATAATTTTTTGCGAGAATGCACAATGAATGTCTTTTGCATATTTTTTTATTTGTCAGTCATATTAACAGTATTTGTAAATTTTGTTATAGAAATGTAGAAAATTATTACAAACAGAGATGTCATAGAAAACTCTATTTTATGTTCTTCCTTAAAGTGAAATTTTGCTGTAATTTTAATTATTTTTACATTTAGTATGCTTGATAATTTAGATATACACATTTCACAATTATTCCAGTAATTATAATTGGATGTATACTCAGATAAATATAACATTCAAACACCATTTTCTGATTTTGTACATTGTAATGTATGTGTATATGTCCAAAAATTATTGTTTGATATATTCTTTTCTAAACATGATTTTTATTTTTCAGATTTGCAGTCTTTAGTAATAAAACACACATTATTGCTGAACTGCAAGTTGTGGAAAGTTTACTTAAAATTTGCAGACTATATTTAATGTTGTGCTCAGTTTTGATTGAACAATACAATTGGTTTCAAGCACTGGAATATGCAACAAATTTGGATGAAAGCATGTCAATAATTTTACAATTCTGTATGGAACAGTTTCAGCCTTAAATCTACTTGAAAATATAAATTTAGCTTAACCAGGACAGACACTCAATTTTCTGCAATGAAATTTGTATGAACAAATAAATTTTGTTCAAATAATTGAGCAAATAAATTTGGAGTACATCTGGGAATATAAACATGGTTCTGTTGCATGTAATTTTTGTATAATACAATGTAGACATTTATTTTCTGTACCTATATTCTGTACTACATTTATGTATAATTTTAATGTATAATTTCTATTAATGTTTCAGATGTCTTTTACTATTAATTTGGAATAAGACAGCCTTTGGATTTAATAATGATGGTGAAATATGCTGTGAATTATAATAGAAACCTGAAATTATCCGAAACTATTCTGAAGTCTTCAAGCAGCAAAGGAATACAATACGTTTGCGCGCCACCCTCCTGAACGCACTATTTAATTAAAATTCAATTTGAAATAATTTCTCCAACGTCCTTTGAAAATTTGTATATCTAAGTTTGGTTAGTGTATCATTATATATTTTTTCATGTGCTCAATGCCCGGCTATTTCCAGTTTGGAATTATATAGAAGTATTGATAGTAGGCTTTGATATAAGTGAATTTCAAACATTACAATTATTGCTCTATTAATAAAATTTATTTAAGATTTCTTTAACAAAATTAGTAGGATTTTAATATATTTGAAGGGAGGAGTAATTTGAAATTTTGATATAAACACTAAAACCTGTTATTTTATGTTGTAGTTATTAGCATACTCTTATGGAAATATGTATTAATGGCTTTTGAGATCAAGAACGATTCTATATATTTATTTTCCATTATTCTCATTGATATATCTCTTCAATTTATTTTCAATTTCAAAGTAAATATGCATCCAACACTAGTTTTATTGTTAAATCAAATATTAATAGATTTGAAAGTGCTGGAAAAATTCAAATATGATTTCTTCTTAATGCAACATGAATTTGTATTTTCAGATAAACATTTTTGAATGCTATTCTTAAAGAACTTTTGTTGAAAACGAAAAGGTTTTTTCAAGATGTAACTTGTGAGATGGAGTCTATCAGAACCCAGTAATTTTTTCAAAATATAATTCAACTAATTCCCAGATGAAGTAACAAACATGAACATTAACTTCCTTTATCTTTTCAGTTACTTCTACGCTTCTGAATATTTCCATGGGGTCCTGTGATTTGTTGCAAAAGTTCGGAACGTTGAATTTTATCAGAATGACATCGGCCAGGAAACGGAATGCATGAGTTGAATTATTTTTGGTTGGAATTTCGAGAGCCACGCTTTTAGGACTATGCAGAATATAAAATGACTTCAATTTTACTTCTGAAGATTTAGTTTACTTCTGAAGGCTGTTCTAAACTGTTGGTATTATAGTTCAAATAATTCAATGTGGATTAATGTACCTAGTTATGTTATCAATTTCAAATGCTTACTAAAGATTATACATTCAGTATTAGTTATTATCTTCCACTGTACAGTTATATATCAAAATTTATCTCCATTGAAATCTTTGGTATTTAATACTTAAATTCAAGTTTTCCATGAAAGTTCAGCAACTTCTCAAAACATGATTCATTAAATAAGTCTTTATCAGATATCTTTCAATGTACAATTTTGTATCAAAATTTATCTACATTGAAATCTTTGGTATTTAATACTTGAATTCAAATTTTCCATGAAAGTTCAACAACTTGTCAAAACATAATTTATTAAATAACTCTTTATTGTGTACTAAAAATTCAGAAACTTCATTTGCAAAAGAAAGAGATTCTGTTAAATATCTGGAAGTACTCTCTGTTTTAATAGTTGGCTTCAGATTTGAAATTAATTTTGTTACCGACATTTTATATTGGTTATTTAAATAGTCAATTGATTGTATTTATCGTCCACAGTTTCGAAAACATTGCATTACAATCGAACAGTATTATCACGTTTTATGTGGTCTTAGTTTGTTCCAGTTGCGAACAATGGTATCGGTTTAACACGAAAAAGGCAAAAAACATCCATTTCATTGTGAGATGAATCAAATGTATTACAATCAGTTAAGCTCTGACAATAAGTGCAATATTTGTTCTCTATACAGTGATCAATTTTATTGAAAATGTATAACAAAAAATGAATAGTTTTTCCATCACTGTAAGGGTTAAACATTTTCTATTTTGTGATACAATTTTTGTCAGCTGTTTTCAAATAGAAGTAAAAGGAAAAGATTGTTTCTCTCAATGATAAATATTTTTGAATATTTGTATCAAAACTAATTTAAATAATCTGTTTTAGAATTTTGAAACTGATAATCGGTGACCAGGAAACGGAATACATGAAATTTGGAAAAAGTATTTTTGATTGGATCTTAGTGCCTGGATAGAGTATGGCCGAAAGAAATCAACCTTTTGAATGAAAAAAATCGGTGCTCCGTTGATCGACTTGTTTCACAGAAATGATAAGGATGAGCTGATAGAAGATTAAACGCCAACTAAGTGAATAATGAATAAAACAAGGAACAAATGCGTTTATATAACAATGCCGATGAAATATGAGTTGTTTTAAAATATTATTAGAACTGTACAGCAAGAAATGAGTTTTTGTAGTCGGTATTTAAAGTGAAATTGCTGTAATGTTCTGATGAAATTTTGAATATCTATTTGTTGCAAATTGTTTAGTTCATATTATTTGAATTTTCTAAAATAGTATAGTCTTCTTTATCTTTCTTTTTTATCTAGTCTTTCTCTCCATAAATTTCAAAACATATAAAATTATATTTTTGTATTATATTATGTTAAACTAGTATATATTTGAGTAAATGAATTTTGACTGGATGTTCAGGAATTTGCAGTGAATCTGCCAGAAAATATTTAGCTGTATTTTTATAAAATATATAACTAATGATCAGAATATTTTGGACTATCAGTTCTATCATCCAAAACAATATTTGATTACAGAGTCCTATGAATGTTCTTTCCCAATTTATTGTAAATATTTTATTAATTCTTTCATGTAAAAATTAGTTTGTTCCAAATGATCATGTATCTGTTAAAAGTCTGAATTATTAAGAGAAACTTCAAGATGTATATTGAAACAGAAAAGTTGAGGTCCAAATGAGTTTACTCAAGCTATATCTTCTTTTCTCTATTGCCTTCTTCAATTTGATTGCATATTATTGCACCACAGTGTAACAAACGTCGAAAATAATAAACACAGACCTTTCATCATTCAATGCAGTTATTTTCAATGACAGAGTTGCATTACAAATGAAAATCAGTTAATAAACTTCACTGTTGCTGTTCTTGTTTTATTACACAAAATATTGTCAGCCAGATGTTTAGCTATTGTTCATTCATGGTGAAGTGAAACATTTGTGCAATAATATTAAACTCAAAAAACGATCAATAACGTTTGTAACACGGGTGCAAATAAATTTGAAATAGTTTGATTGAAAACAGAGATGTACCAGGTGGTTCAGATGTATAGAAATACGAGCATTGTATTTAATTTAGCTAATGTGTAGTTTCTATGGTGAAATCAAATTTTATATCTTATTTCAGGTGGCACCATGAAAAAGGAAACAGCTGCAAAATTTGATTCTGTGTTCAACCTGATATGATCCATTTAATTTCAAAATGGCATACTATAGAGAAACATGAAGAGAATTGAAGTTTCTTGTCTGTATTTTTATAATATACTGCTTGAACGTTTTGAGACATTTTGAAGAGTTTTATTAAAAGCCTGCAACATGGAAGGTAATGAACAAAATATTTCATAAAATATTTTCTTCTTACCTTCCCTGCTTGGAATATGATTCAGAATACAAAATGAACTGGAGAATGTATTTCTTTTGCTTATTTTTTCAAGATGCCTCAGAACAGGGTTTTAGTTCAAATAATTTTTATCTGTTTCTATTCTGTACTTTTTGTCAAACTAACTTTGAAACTAATAACAAATTCTGTTTTTATAGATACAAGTGTGGTCAATTTTTGGTGGATATAAAGTACAACATAATTTTGAGATACATGTCTTAAGGAAGATATAAATCAAAAATAACTCTGTAAGTTAAAATGTTGAACACTGCAAGTTTTTTCAAAGCATCTATTTGGAAATTTGAAAGATTTATATTCAAATATTAGTATAATGCTGCATTTATTAATAGGATTAGTTTCAATTTGGAATAAATAATAATGTAAGCTCCACAGTATTTTTAAATATTTCTTAATTTTGTGATTCAACAATTTTTCAATGATCAAAATTTTATTCTATTTATTCATCCATTGTAAACGTGGGTGTTTCAATGAGTAAAAGTGTTCAAAAAGTTCATATAGTTTCTTTAAAGATTTTTAATAAATATTTCACTAATAGATTTGAAAAACACTTAATTGAAATGTATGGTCGTTAAAAATAAAATAAAACATGTAATGTCTGTTGTTACTGTTAAAAATAATATCTTTTGAATAGATTATTACAATAAAATAAAACCACTTTTGTATTAAAGTTAGATGTTAAAAATTTGTCATGTGTTCAAAACAAAATTTATAAACAAAAAATAAAAATGGATATGTTTATGCACTATGTTAATTTGGCAATAAAAATGTAAACAAAAATAGCAGTTTTGTAGTGAATCTGTTAAGTAAAAAATCTTTAAATTCAGTTGCTTCAGAAATGATGCTTTTAATGAATAAATTTTATTCTTGGTTTTAAAGAAAACTATATGTGAGCGTTTTTGCAATATAATTTTACTGATTTATCACAACAGTACATATTTATTATGTGAAATGACTTTTGGATGTTAAATGATTAAACGATAAATCTTTTGCAATTAATTTGTTCAAAAAAAAAATTTGCTAGTGGTAAGTTATTTGATTGGAAGATGAGTTGCAAAAACTTGAAATAAATTTCAGTTGCATTATGACAATTTCTTGTGCAATCAATTTGAAATAAATTTTAACACGAATGTAGACTATCGACACAGGTTTAATATAATCCAACGTCCGAAAGAAATAAACGAAAGAAACCAAAGATAAATAAAATAAATATCCCAATAATTCACAATATTTTAGCAAAACGACTATCACTGTTAGCCTGGTTAATCTGTTAATATCCGAGAAATCAGTATCTTTGTATCCTAAACCTGACCCACGTTTACCGGAGAGTTAATCAATTCACTCAAGCACAAATTTCTCAAATTGCAGGTTCAAAGTGGAATCAGAACGAAGTCGATCAAGCGTCAAAATGAAATGAAATTGAACAAAATACAACACGAATTGAAACGGAGGTAATAGAAAACCAAAACGTGAAATTTTGCGTAATCTATCGAAACACCAAGATCAGATTTGCCAGAAACGGGACTCACCATCTTCAGGAGATGAAGTCCTCCAAGACACCTCGTGCTCTCCTCTTCGACTTGCGAAACACTTCTGCGATACCTGGACGATGCGTCAGCCCTTAAATAGTCGTTTTGACCGGTGCAAACGGTGCGATGGTCCGTGAGAAAATTTCTCAACACAATGCATCCTCTTTGTACGATCCCACGGGTTCGAAGGTCACGCGAACGGAGATTTTTACCTGTTTCCGGACTGGCATAAGGGGATGTTTCGCTATTCGGAGGGTTGATCCAGGTTGATCGTAAGGGGAAAGATGGTAACGGTCGTTTCTTTCAAGTTTCCATCTGGGAAGGGTGTTTAGATTCGTGAGAATTGGGCTGCGTAGAGCGAGAAAATTCTACGCAATAGTCTAAGAAACGGTTACTTGATGGAAGAGTTTCATACTGTTTCTGTGTTAAAGATGTTGAAAAGTTTTTAATGTAATCTTGTAGTTTGGTGTAGCGTGAAATAGTAATTAATTACGCGTGATTTGTTGTGCTACTGCGAAGTGAAACATCTCTTCTTTAGCAGAAATATGTACACAAGCCTATTTGCTTTAATGTTTGTATGATTAAGAATATAAAAGTGAAATGGTGAGATATGAAGATAGTAATAACTCAAGAAATAAAGCAAAATAGTAAAACAGTGTAATAGTACAACTGTAAAATAGTGAAACAATAGAGTAATGGAATGGTACATTCATAAATGAGTATGATCAGGCAAACAGACACTGTTCTTTAACAGAATAATAAAACATAACAAATATTTGCTTAGATGTACAATATAAATATACATACAGATAAGAATTCATGACAATAAGATTAAACTTAAAATTAATAGAAGTTTCAGCATCAACAAAGAATGTAATTAATATGCACTACTGTGAACAAAGCAAATGTAGGTCTTCCATTTGTTATAATAATTGTGTAATGTACAATTAGTTATAACTATTATAAAAAACTTGAAACACACAAGAAAATAATATTTTGCCAATATTATTTTTACTAAATAATTATTATTTACTTAATAATATTTTTACTAGTGTGAAATTCATAAAAATTATACAAAGGTTCACTTATGTTCAGCTTTGTTATTAGATTTATAGAAGTAAAGGAATTATCTTCACTTCAAAAATAATTTTTAAACAAATGTAAGCTAAAGAATTATTATTGTGAAAATTCTTCAATTAATGCATCTTTTTTGTAAGCTTTTTGCATACATCTAAACATGTTTAAATATCATATAAGAATTTTATATACAGTTTCTGTTATTATTAATGAAGAAAGAAATTTATGTCCAGTGTAATGAACAAAGAAAAATAATTTCTTGCTTTATTGAATGTAACTGTATAGGCATAATACTTGGTTATAACTCTAACATAAAAATGATCATTATAAGAAAGTGTATGAAAAGATTTAGAAGGCATTTAATAAGAAGTGTATCCTCTTACATTTTAAAATAAGTTGAATCAACGAGGACAGAGAAGGATTGTTAATTATTAGATTAGTTATAATATGTGAAAAGTATTTTAACCGACAAATAATGCTAATGTACATTTGCACTTCTTGCGTCTGTTACTAAAATCGTTAAAAGCGGTTTCACGGCAAGAAGATCCAGTTTTACTTCGCATAACCATCAAGCTTTTCTTCTTCGTACCCCAACCCGTTTCGCATGAATTATCGTCTCCTAAACCGTTCTGCTCATTTTAATATAGAATCTGTGCACGCGTGTAACCGTCACATATCATGCAAAAAATAAATCTACAGAATCTTGAGGCAAGTTTCAGATACTTGTGCTAAGATTATCTTTGATTACTTTATTTAATAACTTTTATAGTATTAATGATAAGTTACAGTTAACTACGTGTATTTAATTCGACATAGCTTTGTTACTAACAAATATTTAATGTGAATCTAATTGTTATAAATACTGTTATTTGTTAGCATGTTTATCGCCGAAGCTCTCGATATTTTCTTTTAAATATATCTACAGCAACATATTGTACGTTTGCGAGCTAGTTCTAATATTTAAGAATACTTGTGTCGCTATATTAAAGGCAATATTTGTTTGTATCTTATACTTTTAAGTTTCAAAAAATATGCGCGCATTTTAGAAAACGTCACTAACGACACCTAACAGCAGGTAACTGCACTGGTAAATCAGATATTTCTTCTTTTTGCTAAATTTGATATTATCAGGCTGAATGAAACTAAACTCTTTAAAATAATTGTAAAAATTACATGAAAAATAATATATTTCAATATATACATCAATGATTTGATGAAGAAATTGTTATAAAATTAAAAATATTTGTACTCTGTAATCATTTTTTAATATCAGATAAAACTATAATAATTCAATAATAATTTACAGCATATATTACTGTGTGAAAGTTATAACAAAATATAATTTAAAGTATTAGGGAAGTTGTTCATAGCATGAATCCAAACTTTTTTCACTATCATGTTTTCCTGATACCAATTTTTCAGTTTGAGTACTTTTTGTACAGGGTCTGAAAAATTCTTGAAACAACCCCCATAAGATGATTGGTATACCTTATATGTTGTAAGATATGAAAATCAATAGCATTTTGTAAAATGCTTTGTATATCTGTATTTGTGTACATATATATTTTTATACATGTATGTAATATGTATATAAAATAAATAAATGTATACTTATATTCTCTATAAATACATCTAAATAGATAATATTAATGTATTATTGTCATTTTGAACTTTATATCAACAATGAAATAATGTATTAGAAAATTGAAAACTTATTGTAAATATTCTACTTGCTTTTAATTTCATATTTTCAATAAAACATACCTCAAAAATATATTAATTAAAAATTATATAATTTAATTTATAGAAGAAAACATTTACTTTTGAAGTGTTCTGAGATTTAGGATCTAATAAATTATTTAAAACATAAAAAGTATTCATACAACATGAATATTGAATGTTTTAAGTTTATGTTTATTTATCTATAAAATATAAATTAATTAAGGTAAAATTTAGGAACACTTGTAAATCATATTTTATTTACAAGTTTTAATGTAGTATGTGAAACAATCGATTAAAGGTATTAAGTATTCAAAAGAATATATTTTTCTGAGAATTATATAACAGATCTATTACATTTTTCATTGAACAAACTGCAGTTATATGATTTATTAAGACGGATGTTGTTAAGTCATACTATCTTTCTCATGTTTCAAAAACAAAATTATAAAATAGTCATCTATGTTTACTCTTAATTTATTTATTTTTATAGTTCATTCTACTTTAACTTAGACTAAGCTTAAATCTATAAATTTGAGTATTCTAGCTACTGTAAGCGTAACAGCTTGTTTACAGTAATACTTTTAAACTAGGAATCAAACATTTCTTCACTCAATATTTCACTGAATTTGTTTAGGCCTTATTTTTGTAACAATATGATAAAAGAACAGACTAGTAAATAAATGTGTTATAATTTATCAATAAAACGGATCCCATAAACTATAAATCACTAGTGTTAAAAATCTTATTATTAATACTGTTGATAAATAAATCTTTTTATATTGTTATGTGAAAATTTAATTTGAATATTTATTGTTATTGTATCAGACTAATAATTTTGAATCAAATTATTCAAATTTTAATTTTAATGTTTGATTCACAGTTTCTTTACATTCTAAATATGAATGTTGACATTGAGTTCGTTGTTAGTACACATATTTACAATACTAGGTATAATCTGCAACAATAATAGTACGTGTCAGATAAAGATCTATTTTTCTAAACCTAATATGGGCAAGCAATTTTTGTAATCTAAAAAAATACCTATTACACATTATCATTATTGAAACAAAAATAAAGTCGATTGTCTTGATGCAAAAAAATCACAGTGAAAGTATACGTCCAAATAATGTCTCATTTTGCTACTTCATGTAACACTTTCTAAGTTGCGTATTCTATACAAGTGATTTTTTGCACTTATTTGTTTGATCAGAACAGACGGAGTACACTAATACATTTAATGACTTTTTATTAAAAATAACATAAAAAACTAATAGAAAAGATAATTTACAATTAATTTAAGGTATTAAAAGAATTTAAGGCTGATATATGGCGAGGAACATGTTATGATTTAAAGAAAATATGTAACATGACATATAAATTTTATGAATGAGAAGTTTACAAATGTCGAATAGTTGAATAACTTAAACGTTTTACATTAATTGATATCATCAAATTTGTTTTTATTTTTAACAGAGTTATAGAGCTAAGGATTAAAAATATATGGTACATATAAATAAGCATTCCTTATTAAAATAATCAACACTAATGATTTGTACCAATACGAAAATACTGGAATTAAATTATGATTGAAGGATCTTTTATTTATTGCACGTACCTTATGAAACACCCTGTTTGTAGAATATTTTATAAACTGTAATTGGAAACAGAAAAATGTCTAATTCATGAAAGTAAAAATTGGTATGTTTCTATACAAAAATTTAGAACAACTTTTCTTGTTAATACTGTTTAGCATTTCAAAATTCTCCCCATTCAATACATAATTTTTACTATGAAAAATTCTAAGAATGAATTATCAATAGTTACGAAAAAATAATTTTATTTTAACCGTAATATTTTAATATTTTAGAAAAGCGTTTAACAAATCATTAATAGTAATTTTATGTATACATTCCTAGTAATGTATTATTTTAACATTTATAGCCAATTTTAGAAAGTACTACTTTTATGCTACTTTAAAAAAGAAAAATGCTAGAATATTTTGGTAAACCTATTTACTGAAAGATAACAATATCTTCAGTAATTAATAAAACATTACAAGACTAATAATACACTGCGCAGCAAATAAAGTAATATGGAATAAATGACACATGGCTAATATTACAATTTTTTAAATGAATTTAAAAATCAAATAATTACTTGACTAATTCGATATAAATTATATTATGTTAAAATAAATAATAACAGCCTATGTATTAAAACATCAGTAATCAGTAATAGCTATTTAAATGTTGATTAAATAATTAATAATTAAGTTAGCTCTCTGCCACAGCACCAAAGAGTATTATTAGAAGTACTATGATTTTCTCATGATAAATAAATAGATGTACAGTTTCACTTTTGAAGTTACGTAATTTTATATCAAGAATTATTATAAAATTGAATACAAAGATTCGATAAAATCTTCATTTACAAAATATTTTCCGTACAGAAACAACAAGAATAAGTACTACCTCAAATTTTGTGATATCGCCAGATAATAAAATCGCTGAAGCACTGAGAATAAAAAATTAAATAATTATTTAATTATTAATTATTTATTTGTGATAGTAACTAATTACGCACTTAATTAACTACACATTCATGCTAATTTCGTCGTGTAATTAATTATTACTTAATAAGTCAATTCTTGGAAACCGGTAAATCGATCATTTACAAAAATTTATTAACTTAATCGTTTCGCTAATTGAAAATAGACATTGTTAGAGCAGTTAGAGAGTTACTTTATCAACCGTCATATCATGGCGAATAAATTTATCGTGAACTCAAAGTGTCAAGTAAATGAATTCTAAGTTTCAGTGATTGATGAACGTTCTTTATCATATCACTTTTGTTTTGTCGTATCACAGGATGGCATGCATTTGAATCTAACATCATAATTAATCTGTTCTTCTGAAGGAAAAGAAGCAACTTCCACTTTTTCCAGATCCTCTTCTTCATTATCTTCATGTTCTTCTACGTCTTCATCCTCATCTTCTTCATCTTGCTCAAGTAACTGTTTTCGAGCCATTTGAACAACTTGCCATTCTCGATAATGGCTCTTTCTTTTTGCTTCAAATGCTTTTCGTTTTTCTAGAATTTTGTAAATTAATTGAAGTTGTCTTGATTGTTTGATATAATCATCGAATAATTATTTCTTTCCTTATGGAAATGAGGATGTAAACTAACTTTCTATCTTGTTCTTGACAATGTACTTAAAGTAGTAGTAATAATAATAATAATAATAATAATAATAATAGTAATATTCGTAGCGCAAATAATTTACAAATTATCATGAAGTAAATATTATTTATTTCGTAGTCTTTAAAATTGTATAGAATTTGGAAAATATGTGTTATAATAAATAATCTATATTTAAATAATTCTAAACATTAAGTGTAAATAAACTTCAATGGAATTTTAGTAAAGTAGAATTTAAAGATTATAACTAATACCTTACCTCTTTCCTCAGGTGTTTCTTTTTCTTCTTCATCTTCACTTGATTCTTCAAATATTTTTGGTTTACTGCCTCCTGCTAACCTACAGGAATTAAAAAACAAATTTTTGTCATTTCATTTATAATGCTTTCAATTAAAAATAAAAATGTAATATTCGTTCGGTTTAATCATTTTAATAAAATTTCATTCAAAAATTGCTGAAAGTACAATATATTTATATCTTTTGCAGTAATTTTTCACATTTTCTGAAACAATACTCTTTTCAACAAAACAATAATTTGTTCCATAATTTAATAAAAATCTGGTTATATAATTTCCATTAAAATTAGAATAAAAGTTAGTTGTTTGCTTAATCAACATTAGTTTCCTGAAGTACAAGTATCATTAAATTACACTGATAACCTATAACATTTTAGTAGTCTGCATGCGGTTCCCAAGATAAGGCATGGATACTTAATATTGCATTTAATGTTAAAATAAGATAAATTTAAAAATAAAGAGGCGTGCGTTTACAAATTTACATTTGTTTCTGATTGTGTATATACATTATGATGTTATCTTCATCATTTTTATGTAGTCAGATATTCAAAAATCCTATATTTATATTTAACAAAATCTTTTCATATTCATGTAACATTATTTAGGTATGTAACATTCCGAGTTAGAACGTAATTAGAATAGAAAATAAAACTATTTATAATATGGCATATGGTTATATGTTTCTAAAGTTATGCATTTGTAAAATTGCATATAACTGAACAAAAATAAACAAATTGGATATCATTATATTGTTGCGACGTGAAGTAGGAGTTGTAATGCTGCAACGTGAAGCAGGTCTTGACCATGGTCTGAAACCGTCCGCGGAAGTCTTCAAACGGACTGAGCGTATTCGAGTAGTATGTCAATTCCTCGACGCAACAATATGTATTGATTTAGTTACTCCAATAACTGGAACTTAATAAACAAATACTATCAAGCAAAGATTATATATGGAGCTTAATAAGAATTGTATTTACTAAAGTCAATAACTTAAAATATTTAATAGAAAAATTACTTTAGTTTTTACACACATTCATCTTTATCCTTAAATGGTAAGTTATGACCGTTTTATGATTGCAACAATATTTTAGTACTATCTTTGCTGAAAAAAACAACAATGCTGATTTCATAGTTCCTTAGTTTATATTGTAAAAAATATTTTAACAGACTGCTCAAATCTTACCACTTAAGGATTAATTTTATTGACAAAAAAAATAATTGAGTGCAACAAAGCATTGAACGTTACTCGATTTCCCATAAATATAGATGTATGTGTGTATACATATATGCATGTGTTGTTACTTCTTCAATATTGCAAAATTCTACTTGTAATGCTGCAAGCTCTAATTAAAGCTACATAACTATCTTTTCATCTTTTCTTGTAATACATGCCAAGTTTGTTTAAGTGCTTACATAACACAAAAGAAGAATAAATATTTTTCTGTAAGAGATGTAGAGATAAGAGTTTTTTGGAAGATGTGTAACACCTTAAATGAGCAAAGGAATCATAATAGGTATTAATTAAGTTATTCAATTTTTATATAACGTATAGTTATAAATTTGATTTCATTACTTATTGTTAAAATTGGATGCTTGACAGATATAATATCATTATTATAACTTTTATCGTTGTTGTAAGTTAGATTTATACAATATTCTAGAACCAATGATTAAATATATGTGCATTCAATTTTGACAATTAATAACATTAAAAAGATTATAACTATATTTCATGTAACTCTCAACTTCAGGATGTTACATACCTTCTGAAACCCTTTGTATATTTCTTGGTGTATATATTTGATAAAAATTGTTTGAGTATAGCATTTGAACATAATATGAACCATCTTAAAAACTGGTCCGATTTATTTGAGCTTGAAAATTAAATAATATTGTGCAGATGAACTCAAGTAGTTTTCCACACAAGTAGATCTTTTTGTGCAGAATTACTGAAAACAATAAAGGAATGTAACTCTAGGAAGCAAAAGTAACAAATGTACATTTCAAAGAGCTCTGAAACTTACCAATGAAGATTTATTCCAATAAATAGAATAAATCAACATGAAATTTCTACATACATTTGTACACATTCATAATATTGTTAACATTCAACTCCAACATCAACACTTCAGCATTATGTATGTAACAATGTTAGAACCTATATGGTGATGCTGCTTCTTAGTAGCAAATAGTTGCATAATTTAAATTTTTTTGCTGCCATTTAAGCCAATCCTGGTATAAAATTCTAAACAAATAGTATAAATTAGAGTGACCAAAGAACTTAGAAAAGATAAGAAATAGCATATTTTAGATTAAAGCTCCATAATGTGTCATTGGTAAATTTGCTTAGTACATAATAATACAGAAATAAAAAAGAGATTAAGTTTAAATAGTAATTAACACAAAATGGATGTAATTATTATTATTGAAGAAGTTATTTAAGAAAGAAAATTAATCACTAAAAAGATGCAAGAAGTAGAGGATGCAGAGAATGTACATTTGATTTAGCTTTAGTATTATTATTTCTTGTTGCTGCTTCAAATAGTTGTCAATAATTTATGGAAGTTAATACAAGATTTAGCCATACTACTTTAAAACTGACACTTCAAACAAATGTTTGGGTACCGCATGAATAAAATAAACCTTGATTCATATCTTCTCTTACACATATGTACATTATTATAATCCCATACCATAAAATATAGTAGTAATATTATTGCAATAAGTGTCAATGTGTTTTCACGTAATAAATAATCATCTATAATTTTTTATTTCTTGAATTTATAATTCAATCATGAAAGAAATCCTGAACAAAGAACAGAATGCTTACGATTAATAGATTAATGTAAACACTTACTTGGCAGCAACAGCAGTAGTATCTAATTGATCAAATTCAAAATCATTGTGCAGGCCTTCATAGTTGTATGGGGTTTTTGGTTCATCAATCTTCATGTGACCATAATCTTTTTCTGCTGGATGCAATGTTGCTATTATGTTCATTTCATCCCATTTTGTTTCTTTACTTTCTTTGCTTGGTCTATAATAGCAATTATAATAATACATTACAAATTTGTATTCAATAAAAATAAATATTTAATATGATCTGGTAAATTCTATATTACATTCATAGTTCAAGATGAATACATGCTTCTTACTTCTTACTTTGCCTGGATTCTCTTGACCCTTATATAGGTCAAAGAATTAACTTTATTTTACAAAATACAATAGTTAAAATAAATGCAAAGAGGCAACAATTAGCCATTAAGTTGTTATAGGATACCCTACCGCAATCATAATTACACAATCATATAATTGACATTAACTTTATAATGAGCGATACATTCAAGTTATAAAGTAGCCTTCATTAAAAATTAAGAATATATAAAACCAGAATATAGGCCTTTAAAATAGAATGTAATAAATTAGAGACAAAAATTGTTTAAATTAATTTTTAATAACTGAAAATGAACTGACATTAATCTGTCATTAGAAAATGCAGTTCATAAAGTAGAATTGATATTAAAAAAAAATCAAAGAACAATGAATTTATTTAACCTAACCTTAAAAATAGTTTCACTATAACATTTCTCATTGGTAACTACAAAAATTGATCACTGTACAGCTTTGTAAGATAATAAAACTTAAATTGTAATGCATGTTAATAGTTTTAATATATCATAATAATTATTACCTAGGTAAATCCGGATTATCGAAACTGCTAGATGATTTCAAAATTCCTTTGGGAGGTCGTTTTGAGAGATTCTCTGCCATTTTGAAAAAACTTGATTTACAGTTGATAATTATAAAACATCACGGACTTATAAAGCCAATATTTCGTTACAATGTTCTTACTAAAATTAGAAATAATCAGGTTGATAGTTATTTACAATCGCTGACAATTTACCACCTTAAGATCCAATCACAAAATAACCAGCTATGATTGGTAGCATGTTGCACAAAACCTTATACGGTGTAGAACGTTTGATATTTTACTTTGAAATACTTTGTCAAGCTCACTGCAACATTGAAATCGATTTTTTAATCATTATTAGAACGTGAAAAACAGAAGAATCACAAACAAGCATTTTTATGTAATAATTTGTCGGATAATCTTTTAATAAAATTAAAAATTGTACAAGAGAAGCCTTACATCTATACATAATATATGTCTTACATATTTAGGGATTTGGTTTCGTGTGTAAAACTACAGTAGCAATATGATACAAATTTGTCAAAAATCTTTTCTATTAAACTGTTCATGAATCCTCCAGAAATTTTAAAACAAATCGTTTATTTTTAACCACATTAGTATTTGCTTACCAGACGTAGTTTGAATTTTTTAATTGCAATATTATCGATATTTTAATTAAAATAAAACCGACTATTCAAATAAAATACCATTGTTTGATCAGCGTGAGATCATACTTATTTTTTGATGAGTTTTCGTACATTGTGCGCATGTTAACCCTAATTGGATCGAGTACTCTTCGTAACCAGGAGTAACGCGCATGTGTATTTATGACTTTTTTGATGTTAAAGCATATACCTAATGATCTTTTATTTTGTATACTTCTTGTTCATGATATTTCTCGTTTCTTTCTCACTTTTTTTTGTCACCATATATGCAACTAAAGACGTAGAAACTATAAGGTAGTGGGATGGCACTAAAAGGTGGGGAACGTCTTGAAGTTAGCGGTGTTGCGCGAAATAAACATGATCTTCTATTGAGCAAATAATAGATTCAACAGTCAAAATAATATAAATGTTGTTGCAATGTTTTGCATTGTATAATATTTTATATCTCTATATGTATGAATTTGGTAATTTTAGGATGTCGTAAATGTAACATTTAAATGGGATTGTATACCTGAGTGATTTTTCTGTATTAGACAAAAAGTTTTACATATAATTACTAGTTATATTATTTTGTATCATGTACATAGTTTTAATTATTATAACTAAAAACGATATAAATAATAATAAATAAATATAAATAAAAACGATATATGATTTTATTTTATTTAGATACTGGTTTAGTTAATCGTATTCTTGATTTTTATTGATAAATCGTATTTTAACAAATCGATGTATCGAATCGTAAACATTTATCGATATAACTTTTTCACTACACATGCCTTCTGAATTTTAATAAAATGGAAAATATTAAAAGAGCTTGAGCTCCAAGTTTAAATAAATATTCAGCGGTGCTACATACGCCCGGTAGTTAAATGTGCCCTGAAATTAATGTGATGTCGACTGTGTGTGATGGCGGGTAAAGAGTTAGTAAGCCATCAGCAACAGTTTGTTGAAGAAATTAATTACGATGAAATTGAAACCGAGCAGGTATCTCAATTGTACAGTAATTCTGCCAATTATTTGAAAACGTCGAATTTAACATTTACTTATTGTCTAATAAGCCATTTATAAAAGTCGAAATTTCTTTAATTGTTTTTAATTTTTGCAATTTTGTCGAATCTTTTTTTTTCAAACATAACCTAAGTAATGATTTTCGAATATTTTATAGGTATATGAGGTTGTGTTGACGAAATTCGTTTTGACATTTTACATTGATATTTTAAAATCACGATTTAGGTAATATATTTTGTGTGCAAGATTCGTATTTTATAAGGAGAATCAGTACCTATTTTGTCTGGATAAATTAAAAATATATGATTCTTTAAAATTGACAGTGCTGATAAAAATGAATATAATTAAAATTGTGTAAATAAAAAGGAAGTGCCGAATTGTTTTTTTTCTTTCTTATGTCATTGATGTTTTTTATATTTTTTCAAGTATTTTTTTATACTATAGTTGTAATTATTATCCTTCAAGCAATATTACTTTTTAATTTTGATTGTAAATAAATATAAGTATGATATTTGTCATATGTAATTTATCTTCAACTATAAATAAAATAATTTTATGTAGGTAGTAGGAAAAGGATCTTTTGGAGTAGTATGGAAAGGAAAATGGAGAGGACAATATGTTGCTATAAAATATATAAATTCAGAAGGTGAAAAGAAGGCCTTCACCGTAGAAGTTAGACAATTATCAAGGGTTGTGCATCCCAATATTGTAAAACTTTATGGTGCATGCACTAAGAATCCAGTCTGTTTAGTTATGGAGTATGCTGAAGGCGGTTCTTTATATAATGGTATTTTTCCTATCCAAATTTAAAAAGTGCATGTATATTTATTGCTCATTATCCTTTATTTATTTTATAGTTCTGCATTGCAATCCTCAGCCACGATATACTGCAGGACATGCAATGAGTTGGGCATTACAATGTGCACGTGGAGTAGCATATCTTCATAACATGAAACCAAAACCACTAATACATAGGTAAGGAAAATGAAATATTTTAAATATGTACATTTTTATGTTTATCTTAAAAGTTATTTTGATGCAACTTTTCAGAGATTTAAAGCCTCCCAATTTGTTATTGGTAATGGGGGGACAAACTCTTAAAATATGTGATTTTGGCACAGCATGTGATTTAAACACATATATGACCAATAACAAAGGTTCTGCTGCTTGGATGGCTCCAGAAGTATTTGAGGGTTCTAGATATACAGAAAAATGTGATGTGTTTAGTTGGGGTGTTATTTTATGGGAAATATTATCAAGAAAAAAACCATTTGATGAAATTGGTGGTTCAGCCTATAGAATAATGTGGGCAGTTCATGTTGGACAGAGGCCCCCTTTAATTGAAGGTTGTCCAAAGCCAATTGAAGATCTTCTGACCAGGTATCTATTAGAATTGATAACTGTTTACTTGTAATTTTATAAATAATTATATATGTTAAAATATTGAAAAAGTATTGGTAAAATTTTGTATAATATACATTTGATTGTATTTATGAAGCAATATTTCCTACTTTATTTATTATGTGTTACTAATTCTTATAATAAAAGCAATTAAAAATATAGTATATGCTTTAAAAAAAAATAACAATTTTATTAAAGCTTTTTGCAATGATTAACTGCATATTGCTAAAAATGTGAAAGTGTAACAATATGATTATAAATAGTACTAGATAAAAATCTTTCAAGAAAAATGTATGATGACTTCTTTTGGTAGTATTTAAAAGATTGTTATTTTATCCTTGAAATAAGCACATTTTATATTGATATTTATGTCCATTTTTCATACAAATGAATATTACAGAAATTTTCATTCATAAATATTTATTACTTATTCATTGCTGATTGTATTCAATCAGTGTTCCATATATTTACAATTTCCTGATAGACTCACAACGGATAAATATTTTTCTTCAGTAGAATGAATGCCTCATGATTTGAAATGTTAATTGTTTATAGCAGTATTAATATATTTTTTATTCACTCATCGAATGAATGGTGGAAAGTTCATTATGTTCAATTATTGTCCGTATCACACCTAAGATTTTATATCTTGGTATGTATTTAGGTGGTCAGACAAGTAGAACATGGTTCATAATATTAGGTTATTAAGTAGAGCGGTGGCCGTGGCTGGTCAGACAAGTAGAATATTTCAGGAGTCGCGTGCGGCCAGATAAGTAGAATATGGTCAGTAAGTCAGATCATCACATAAGTACAACGGTTCTGAAGGCCGTCGATAATCCGAGAATCGGAATATAGCCGAGAGTAGAGTATGCTAGATGATTCTATTAGGCAGAATATGGTTGAGGGTTGTATTGCAGAGCTGAGGATAGTTCAATGTGACTAGTTATATTATTTCTTCTTTTTAAACATTCTGTGAATTTCATAATTGCTAGCAGTATGTTAGTATCTGGTTATAGTGGCCCTGGTTATAGGGTGTCGATTAGTTAGGTGTTAGAATAATTTTAACAGTTCCAATAATTCTTCGCTCTGAGAGTGTTCTGTTAATTAGGGTTTCCTTTTCTAAATTTCTTCTTATGAATTTTAGGTTTTATCCTAGGTGAGGGTGAAGATTGGGGCACATAGTTCATCATAAAATTTTTTCTAAAGAAATTGAGGTCTTTTAGCAACTCTGGATTCTCCTTTGGGACAGCAATCCACTCTTTCATCCTCCTCAATGTTTAGGCACTGGGAGCAAATTTTAGTGGTAAGTGATATTGTCTTCAAATGATACTTGTCCATTAAGGATTTCATTGAGCCCAATGGCTTAATTACTTTCCCTTTCGTTTTTCTCTTAATGATTGAATATTCAGACATTTTTATCAAATGGTTATCGATGATAGTGCAAGTGGATTTTATTGTGAGAAATTTGATGAATGCTCCCAGTTAATTTCATCACAAAGTTTTCTAACAGTAAAATGTGGAAGGGAAAGTGTTGAATTTAGAAAAGGAAAAATATTGAACAGAATCATCGAATTTATATTATTTATGAGTAGCTGTGACTAGGTTTGAGTAATTTAAAGGAGAAAGTAAAATGTATATGTGTGTTCATTTGTACAGCAATAGTAATGGGTGATAGGACTACTTAGCGATTCTAATATAAATAGATACATTAAAAATAATTTTTTAAAAATATTTTCGGTTTTTAATTTTGCAATATTTTAAATATTAATGCTGTGCTAATATTGATGTTCTTTTAATTCAATCAATGTTTAATATTGTGGCTTTCTAAGGTACTTAACATCTTAAAAAATCTACTGTATTCAAGTTCATTTTTATAATCTATTAATTTCTTGGTAACTGATTAGCTGTTTGCTTGCTTTCTGTGTTAGTTTTATTGTTATCTGGCATATTATTCATTCTTCTATGTAAGGATAGATGATCCATTTTTTCATACTTATTGTGTCCTCTTTTGCTGCTATTTTTAAAAATCAATTATATAAACTTGGGAATATTGTTCATAGTACACTATTTGGATTAGTAAATATTTTATGTTTTTATTATTTAATACATTGACTGCTATAAAAATAAAATATTTTTTGACAGTCAATGTATTAAACATAATATGACTGGAAGTCATTTCTACTTAATAAAAAGAAGAAACATGTTATTTTTTCAGATGTTGGCACAAATTTCCTGCAGAGAGACCATCAATGGATGAAGTCGTTGAAATAATGACGATTTTATCACAATTTTTCAGTAGTCATTTAGAACCTGTTGAATATTCGCCAAGTACGTACATCATAAATATGTAAAAGCAGTTTTTAAATGATGTATAAAAATTGTGCATAAAGTAATCAGATGTATTGTAATCTTTTTATAGACGCTGAATCAGAAGAAGTTAACGAGAATCATAATTCTAAATACGACTCCGATTCAGAATATGATACTGAAAATAATGGATGCATTGATAACAGTACCATCAAAGCTAGTATTCCTGATTCTAAACAAGAACCAGAAGTTCAAAATGGAGAAAATAGTTCATCCAATTTGTTGCACGATTTCAAGAATCCGCCTCCTAAAAATAGTAATTCAGTAAATGATGTAACCAATAAAAAATCTCAAATAAATAATTTTCCACAACTTTACGTTGAGTGTGATCCGGTAAACATAAATTTTTGTTTTAAATATTTTAAATAACTTGATGTATTTACAAATTTTTGTTAACAATTCTACGTTATCATATTTATTTTCTTAATGTATATTTGTATGTTTCTAATTGCAGAATTCTTGGGAATTGTCGAGTTCTGAAGCTTCATTAGAATCACCCATTCTAAAGATAAAGAATCCTGGTCAGAGTAAGTTTTATTCCTATAAAATATTTAAACTATAAATAAATAACGTTTGCAGTTATTTTAATATAATGAATTCATTCAATCACTGCATCGTTTTTCAACGTGTAAAATGTTTCTACAAATATTTTAAATTTTGTTTACATATTGTTTATCTTACTCATCACATGGATGCAACATGAAAGAAATGATTAAGTTGCTATTTGTTGACGACCTCGTCGTTGTTCTATTACTACAGAAGAAGGGGAACTCGCACGAGAGGGACGAGAGCTTCGAATTTATGACTCACTGCGATAGTACTCTAATCCCAAAATAACATTCTCTGTATGTTCCACAAAACCTTCCTTTAAGTGCGGAATGTGGTGCGTTCAGACCCGTTGTCGCCGCTCAGAAGCTTTTTCAGCTAATTAACATTACTTACACGCTTCATACATAATATTTCATCCAGTTGTCATAATACATGTTCACTTTGATTCTTTTAACATAGAAAAACGTATTGCAAGAAGTCGATAAAAGATAATACTAATTTTTAAATCTGTTCCAAATTTCTTTATTTAACAGTTTGTTATGAAAGACATAGATATAGTTAGTATGTAAATTGCATCTATATTTATATTTGTTATGCTACGTTTCCTCATTGCACTTGATGCTCAAATGTGTTGCACTGTTCATTTTTTTTACAAGGAAATGAAAAGAAACTAAAACGTTGTACCTTGACACATGGTGACTTTACCATGACGAATTCCTTAGGAGTTCGTCGATCGGCGAAATCAAGTTTGGCAAAGGGCCCGCGAAAACAGTCGCATTGTGCGACTACCCTAAATTTAACTGAAGACTAATCGGTGGAAACTGTTTGCGATTGACACTTATTGATAACAATAAAAATCACGACTATGCAGAATTAGATTAAGTGTTAAAAGGCCATAAAAATTGTTCAATGCTATTGCCAAAACTTTTGTTTACTTAAATAAGTATTGCTGTTCTTTATCGTAGTACAGTCTATAAACTTTTTAACATATCAATTTTATTTCTTATCAAATTGTATAACAAGTTTATACTTAAATATCTGAAGTCATTGTTGTCATCTGAAACTATATTTCTGTTTGTATAGCTCCAGAAACTTTGTATACTCTCTAAACAGAAACAATCCAAGATGTGTCAGCTGCCGCCTCTTAGTCACCGTTTGCCTTTTTTTCTTAATTGCCGCCTATGAGATCAGCATGGGAATCGGAACTTCAACTTAATCCAGCCCTGAAGATGAATTAAGAGCCGAAGAACCGTATTTTCTTCTTGGCTCGCAATTGCACGTTCTGTCTGGTGGGGGATACCTCGAAGCAGGTGTGGCTGACTCACCAGGCCCAATATAGATGCACGTTTGTTTAGTGCTCTCCCGACACACCACCAAGAACGACGGCTTTCCTCTTCTTTCTTCTTTTTTTTCTTTCACTCTTGGTTATTTGAAAAATCTCGTTTCTTCGAATATCGTCACCCTGTTAACAATCGGCTCGATCAATCTCGTTGTAACAATTATAGGAAGTGGATTGTAGTAGCGTATCACAGTGACACTCTTCATGTGAATAATCTTGATTCTATTATGAACGAAGCCTCGACAGGCTTCAGTATTTGGAAATGTGCGAGGAATATCCAAACATCGTCGCCACGGACACCCTAAAGCGGTGCTGGGTTCTGTTACGTTAGTACATTTACTTGTTTCTTCTACTATCAGGAAGGAGCTGTCCAACATTAAAAGTTGCAGAGATTGAATGGATTCTGAATTTAACATAATTTTTAAGTTAAAAAATGTAGATTCTTCTAATCATATCAAAAGCAATTTGAGATTGGTCATTATTTCATGTGAAAAGAGTTGTAAACCACAAGTTTTATTTTATCAATGAATTGTGATATGTAAATTAAGAAGTAGGGATATTCAAAATACTTCAAGTTTAATAATTGATTTTTTTTATTTTATGCTTAAATAATTGATCTTATAGGTGTATAACAAGTCAGGTTAATCTTGTATATGAAGAAGTTACTTTTACAGTGACTAAGAAGAGTGACAACATAATTGTTTAGAAATTAACTTTCAGTCATGATTATTGATTAACAGGTAACAGTACAACGGATAAAGATTTGGACAATGTTTACCGCCTCCTGGATGCTGATCTGAGGCCACTGACACCTGATCAAACTTGTGAAAGGTCCAAAGAAATCTTTGAAGAGCATAAACAACTTGCGCAGGAATATTTGAAAGTCCAAACAGAGATCGCGTTGTTGAGCCAGCATAAAAACGAAATGCTTAAAAATTTGACTATAGACAGTCTGAGGCAGCAAGAGGAACTCAGGAAGCTTGAAGAGGAGAAGGTAAGTATCATTGTGAATTTAAACTGTATGGACAAATTTTTAAGTTTCTATCAAACAAAAGTCTCTTGCCTCTTAATTCTTAATGATTCCCAGAGGATCTTCATAAAATTTTAATCTAAATTTGTCCTTTTTCAGGGAGCCTTGATACAACTGTATCGCAACTTGAAACGACAGTTAGAAATTATGAAGAACCAAAGAGTGAACAATGCCCTATTGAGCAATGCTCAGATGGGACCAACAGTTTCAGGAAACAATGGATGGTTCGTGGTGCCGTGTCAAGATCCTTCGAGACATTCATGAATATCTATATTAGATAAGTTCGAGATTTAAGTCAAATTCTTTCTTGATATTATTTTTGTGAAAGAAGTTCCCTGCTTCCTTTTGGCGGCGAACATGAGACATCGATTTCCTCGCGAACCTAGCAAGAATTTTTTTTATAAAAATGGGTTCAATCGTTTCTGAAGAAACTAGTTTACAGTATATTTTATTTTGCGAGATGGTTCTGCGTGTCATGATGCAGTAATTAGGCGCGATTGAACACGTGAAAGGTACTGGTTTTTTTCTTTTTGCATTTGACAATTTTTACAGTGTAACTTGGTTAAAAATACTCATGCTACAATATTAAAAATTTACATGAAAACTTTTTTGTCTTTAGACTGCTTGGTGAACAAAATGTAATAGATGTAGCATGTGTCTCTTTTTCACTAAAGAATGAAAAGGACCATATAAATGGAACTTTCATTGCTAAACTTTTGCTACCAATAGTCTGCCGCTGAAAATTTGAATATTTTATATTTAGGAAGCACAAGTATGAAGGGGATTTTCTGCGGGTTAAAATATAGTGAAACTGCACTGTAATATATCTATGAAATTTTTTATTGAAAATGCTAGGTTTTTATTTAAAAAGAAAGAAATGTCTAGAAATTTTTTTTATTTTTATTTGTTATTTAAATGTCTTTCAGAATATCAGAATCTATGGTTTTAAGAGTATACTTTGCTTTATCTATAAAATTAAGAAAAAAAATCAAAAGTGATTTATTGTTCTAGCAGAAACGTTTAAGTTGTGATTCACTGAAAATTGCTAAATATAAATTGAAAACACAATGAAATAGTATTTATGATTCCTAAATGTGATTGTATACAGTTTGAAGTATTTCTTAAATCAACAATTGGCAATCAACTAATTGCCAGCGATATAGTGATTAGTGTACATGTTTATATAAGAAGTAACATTGATAAGTGATTAAGGATGTATTGTATCATTATTTTGCTATTTAATTATTTACCTATTTGTCACTACAATTATAAGGTATTACTGTATTTAAATAACTCAATCGTTTATAATAGAACTTTCTAATTTATCAAAAATATAATTTCAGACATTGAGATATGTAAGAAATCTTTTGAATTAGAACAACAATTGTTCCCAACAAAATTTGTATATGTATGTACAAAATCATGTGCAATACATATTTTCTGTTTGTGTCCTGTTTTTAATAAATGACTTTTTATTTCTCATTCAATACTAATCCTGCCAATGTTCCTTTTTAAATGACCAAAATTCAAGAGACTGAATAATTGTTAATTACCGTTTACTTTGCAGTTACATGAAAATGTATTTCAACGTGATAGAAGTACCGAATCCAGCTTATCACCACCGATAATTTCTATCAAAGGAGTTTTTTTCTCCTCGTTCAGTAATCGCATACGAATTAGAAGGTATATCTCCACAACAATAGAACTCCCTCACAATAACAGCTCCTTCCAATTGTCTGCAAGGAACACAAGGAACCCCCTGTTACATGAATCGTCTGTCGGATGGAAAATCACTTTGGCAGTATCCAAAACAATTAAATTACCCGCATCGCGTTCAATATATCATCGCGTTATAATCAACGACCTTTAAACTAGAAAAAGACTAAAACATGTCAGACGGATTGCATTTCACGAAATTGGGACTTTCCATCAGCGGTCGGAGGGTACCAGTATATCGTGCGTTGTCTCCCCGGGAAAAAGAAGGAGCCGAAAGGGTCGTGAAGGAATTCCTCAGCCAGAAGTCAACTAACGAGATCGTAAGACATAAGATAAGGAAGATATTGTCGTCTGATAACGCGTTAGAAACGCAAAGCGTGCGATGCGCACGCTCCCATCGAGACCACCATACGTGCATGTATTGTAGGGGTGAGAAGAGGGTGAAAAACGGAAGCCAGGGTTAGATAGGAAGGGTGCAGTCGCCTCAGACGTCTGCTTGATCCTGTTCTACGAACCTTCCCTTCGAAACTTTTCGTTCGTTCGATTCTACCTTTGGTTCTTCCCTTTCGACGATGGCCCTCGACGTCACCGAGAAAAGCTACATCCTGGATGCAAGGAGCAACTACGAGGATGTGAGTAAAATTAATCGTTTAATCCTCACGAGAAATGGACATTGTGTTGCTGATAAAAGTAGGTGATTAACGATATACATGCTGATCGAAGGGTAACTCAATTACGGGGCGGAATATAGGATTTCGTCTAATGTGGTTTGCTCGGGATTTGTGCGATTGCCACGATTCCTCTTTATCGTCTCATTGATTTGATTGCAAAATTGATTAGGAAGGGTATCGTGATCTGATTGAATAACGGCAAGGATTTATTGGGAAAATCGATGTTTGATTGATAGCCCGTGGAAGACGTAGTTTGAAGAAGACGTAGTAGGTTTTTTTTTGTGAATTGTAATGCATTGTATAAATGTTTGAGTCATTTATGTGAATTGTAATGCATTGTACGTCTTTTTTCTCGTATTATCAGAAATTGCGTGGAAAGAATACTATATTGATAGTATTATATAACAGAAGTACTATTACAGTGCACTCACCTTAGGTTTAGAGGGGGTATGACAAATAATACAGTACTATTATTGCATTATTTTATGTTGTAATACTGTGTTACATTTTTATACACTCTTTAAACTTATAATAAATTATAATATACAGTATTAATATTATAAATATTTTATTACTATATTATTGTAAGAGTTATAATATGTATATTATTATTTCTTACACTTGAGTTTTTATCCTACACAAAGTGTAACAAACACAATAACAATATTTTTGTTCTGTTTTATAATACTAAATTTCGTAGCTTAATTAGAACCGGAGCTATAAAAGTAAGATTGCATACCGTAAAAAATGTAAGTGGGAAAGAGGTGGAGACGTGGGCGTGAAGAACAACATAATGGTCTCTAATTTATTTTCCCTTTTCCCAAGAAGGATGCAATAGACGAGATTTTCTTTTAATTAAATTTTATCAAGTTCTTTTCGCATTTTCTCGAATTATGGGGAGAAAATGTAGAAATCGTTGAGCTATTTATTATTAAAAGAAATGAAAATAAATTTGATGATTCAGAGTTGCGGTAAAAGAAAGGAGAAAAATCTATAACTCATCGCACACGTACAGTGGCTCACATTGAAAATCGTCCACCGCGCTTGAACGTGTATTAAATCTGTATATAAAACACGGTTGTAATGAACGTAATTCTGTTCTTAATTACTACATGGCAATGCAATCTGAAGATACATCGTTTTAAAATAAAGCTTTGCGCATTAAAGGAATATCAAGCAAACATTGAATTTAAATAAATTATAGTACAATATTTAATCTCGATTTCTCGTAGTATTCTCTGTATTATAAATCTATAGTTACATTGTAAATATTTTGTATAACAAATTCGTTTTATTATTATGAATTTATATTATTAATAATTTACTGCAAGTTGATTTTATTCGTTCTTGTGATTGTTTAAAAAATTGATAATTTTCAATGTAAGTCCCAGTAAGTTTTTAAAGAAGAGAGAAAATTAATTACTATAACTTTTCAATTTTATTATGAATTAAGTGTAGTTAATATCTTAAGATTCATTGTTTAATTACTAAAAAAAGTAAACAGGTAATTCTTCTAAAGAATATTTTTAGTAAGGGTTTATTCAATAATCGATAAAGAAATGATAAAAATTATGATTATAAAAATAAACTATATCATTTGTTCGATATAATTATTATTTTATATTTTGAAATATTCTTATCATACTTAATTTCGTTACTTAAGGATTACTTCATTTGCGAGATAAGTTCATGCTTTCAATTTTTGATGCACAGGCCGGCAGTCTCGGATCAGAGGAATCTTATGATGATATGAGGCAACTTGTCGGGGCAAGTAACTAATTATAAACTCATAAACATCCACAATTTAGTTAACAATTTAGTTATACTAATAGAAATAGTTTACATAATTTTTTATAATTAAAAACATTACGAAATACTATGGAGATCATTTTACTTATATTCGTAATTTGATTTGTAGGAGAAGAAGGAAGAATCCGGAAAATTCAATAGTCTACCATTGGCCAGTTTTAATTTCATCAATTCCATTATCGGCAGTGGTGTTATCGGTAATTCACAGGCTTATTAAAAATAACTCTTAAACACCGAAATACTATTAACAAATATACAAATTTTTTGTAATATAATTTGTTTATATCTCGACTATAAATTTGATCGAATGTTCCATTTTACAATTATCAGAACGAATGAAAATTATCGTTATCGGTATTACAATTGCTCATTATAATTAAACGCAGACTCTCATCTAAAGAGAAATTTTAATGACCTCTTCGCTTTTCTTCGGTTGTTAAAAGTATGCGCATTACAAATGTAGGTTGTTAAAATCAGGAAGTTTGGCCTTTAAATTTAGGGATTCGTATTAGTTCTGTTTTTTCAGGCAAAATTGTTGGCTCTGTGCCCGCCCTCTTGATCACAATATGCGATGAATGATTCATCGGGGTTTACTTATTTAAATACCGATCATTCTTAAACGAATTAAATTCAGATATTAAAATTAGAAATAAAATTCGGTGTTTAAGAAATATTCATCTTAATAATGCAAGGAAACTTAATTCTGAACATTCTTTTTAGGCATACCCTATGCTCTTCACCAGGCTGGATTTGGCCTTGGAATAGTATTATTAGTCGTGGTAGCGGGCCTTACTGATTACTCTTTAATTTTAATGGTCAGAAGTGGCCACATTTGTGGAGAAATGAGTTATCAAGGTTTAATGAGGGCTAGCTTTGGTCGCACCGGATTTTATATTCTTACCACTCTGCAGTTTATTTATCCATTCATAGGTAAATATGATATACTAAATATGTTATAATATATTCAATATGATATACTGAACATGATACACTCAATATAATTTACTGAATATAATATACTCAATATAATATACTGAACATGATACACTCAATATAATTTACTGAATATAATATACTCAATATAATATACTGAACATGATACACTCAATATAATTTACTGAATATAATATACTGAATATAATATATTGAATATAATGTACTCAATATAATATAGTGAGCATAATACACTCAATATAATTTACTGAATATAATATACTGAATATAATATATTGAATATAATGTACTCAATATAATATAGTGAGCATAATACACTCAATATAATTTACTGAATATAATATACTGAATATAATATATTGAATATAATGTACTCAATATAATATAGTGAGCATAATACACTCAATATAATTTACTGAATATAATATACTGAATATAATATATTGAATATAATGTACTCAATATAATATAGTGAGCATAATACACTCAATATAATTTACTGAATATAATATACTGAATATAATATATTGAATATAATGTACTCAATATAATATAGTGAGCATAATACACTCAATATAATTTACTGAATATAATATACTGAATATAATATATTGAATATAATGTACTCAATATAATATAGTGAGCATAATACACTCAATATAATTTACTGAATATAATATACTGAATATAATATATTGAATATAATATACTCAATATAATATACTGAGCATAATACACTCAATATTATTTACTGAATATAATATACTCAATATAATATATTGAACATAATATATTCAATATAACATACTCAATATAATATACTCAATACATAGGTCATAATTAAATATATCCTTAATTCTATAAACTTGAATAGTGCAAGAGCTATATTTGTTAACTAGCCCTTTCTTTTCCAGCAATGGTCTCCTACAACGTCGTCGTCGGCGACACGGTGACTAAAGTGCTAATAAGGGTAACAGGAATGAGTGAGACGAGCATTTTTGCTCATCGTCAAGTGGTCATCTTCTTCGCGACGGTTTGCATCACTATACCATTGTGTCTTTATAGAAACGTAGCCCGTCTGGCCAAGATCTCTTTCCTCTCGTTGGTCTGCGTCGGTTTCATTCTCTTAGCTATCTTAATTCGGATGGGCACAATGTCCGCAATTGTGTGAGTGATCCAATCATTGTTTCCCTTTGACATCTTCATTGTGGGCATTCGTCGAATTACATCTAAAAATATAATCAAATTTGTACTAATTTGTTAATTGGATAAACTGGTACTTGAATGAACTGTTTATCTGAAAAAAGAATAACAGTATTGTTAATAATTATATATTAATAATTGTGTATTAAGAGTATTATTAATAACTATATATCAACAGTATTATTAATAACAATATATTACTAAAAAATAATAATGTAATTCAATACGACGTAACTTACAATGTCCGCGGCAAAGATGCTAAAGTTCTTCCTTCTTAAATAAGATTCTTTCTTCTCGTGAGACAAGCAGCTTTAATGTTCAAACAATAAAATTTTCCAGGCCAAGCCAAGAGGACAGCTGGCGATTCGCGAACTTCCGTGGCATTATCCCTTCCGTTGGAATCATGGCATTTGCCTTTATGTGCCATCATAATACTTTCCTTATCTACGAGTCCATAGAGAGGGCTACTCAACAGAAGTGGGACGTAGTCACTCATTGGTCACTCTTCACCTCGTTCTTGGTTGCCGCAGCTTTCGGGATTATTGGTTACGCCACCTTCACCGCTTACGTTCAGGGAGACCTTATGGAAAATTATTGTTGGGACGATGACTTAATGAATTTTGCGAGAGTCATGTTCAGTGGAACTATTCTTCTCACTTTTCCTATCGAATGCTTCGTCACTAGAGAAGTAAGTGTAATTTGGTGAGAGTAAGACCTGACATAATTATTAAGTATTTAATCTCATTATTAAGTTAATATATCCCAAGTTTAAAATAACTAGTAATATTATTTTACAGGTGATCCTAACAGCAATCAAAGGAACAGACGAACTCGAGGATCATACTGCATACGTTCCTAACTCGGACAGGAAGTATTTAATAATCACTCTGACAATAGTGATCGTGGCTTACCTGATCTCCATGTCCACGGATTGTCTAGGTGTTGTCTTAGAATTGAACGGCATCCTAGCAGCAGTACCTTTAGCCTACGTTCTTCCTGGACTCTGCTACCTCAAACTCGAAGAGGGACCAGTTCTCTCGCCCAAGAAACTCCCGGCTCTAGGTTTGATGACCGCTGGCGTATTTGCCGCTGTTTCCGGATTACTGCTCCTCATCGTGAACAGCGATACCTCCAGTTCCTGCGTACACGGAAAGGTAATGCCGTATTGTATCGACAACTCGAATAGCACGAGTTTTAATGCGACCTCGAAGATTACCGAAGCGATGTAACTTCCATGAGGAACACACGTAGGACACTGTTCTTGGGCAAAATAGTTTTGTACCTTCGAAGATGTGGTTGGAGTCGAGCTTGAGAAACAGAAACGCGTTTGTAGAACTGCTTCCATGTTTGTTTCACCCTCTTTCTGCGTTGCACTTTTGGAATTTAGGGTACCAAAAATATTAGCACGTTGACTGACATTTTACAATATTGTAAGTTATTGAGGACATAATTTAATTTGTAATTTAAATTTTACATTATTTTGTATATTAATAATGTTATTGTTTACTCTCTGTTAATAATCATATGAAATTTTTTAAGGTAATCTTGTTAATAGCCTCATAATAATTACCCCAGTAATTTCATTTAATTTTTCAGAATTATGTGATGGAATTAAATTTATGTTAGTCAACGTGTTAAAAGATTCTTTATTATTAAAATAGAGAAGATAGATTTTCTTTAAATTGAATAATTGAAAGCGACAAATTTCCCTCTTCACTTCTAACTGCATATATTTACGCAATAGGATACAGATGAGAATATTAAGATGAATATAAAAGTATTTGAAGTATCAAGCGTGAAGTTTCAAATGTAAGTCGAATACGAGGTACGTTGAAGATCGAGAAGCATCTATCTGTTGAATTTATCAGCATTTTATCTTGTTGAACGCGTGAAATGAAATATTTTTAAAATCAAACATTATAGACAATATCATAATATGCAGCTTGCGTTGCGTAGATTTTCTTTGATAATACAAGACTCTAAGGTTGTCTTGAACAGATAAACAAAGGTTGTTGCTATTAGGTTTGCAATTAATTTTAGTGTTTCCAAAATATGAGCTGAGTAAAACTCAGAATTTGCAAAATTGTAAAAAATATTTGGAAGATCAGAAATTTTTTTGAAACAACCCATTTTATCAGATAATTGTATATGAATCCTAAAAGATTAAAAGAGAGAAAAAATTGAAAATGAAATCATGTGAGACTACCTAAATTGATCACTGATATGCAACAATCTAATTGCAGTAATTGGTGATTTTTTAATTGATTCAATAATACACCAAAACATTTATATTTTGTGCAGTATGATTAACTAAAGGTCCATTGAATGTTTCATTTATAATTATGCAGAATTACTCAGCTCTTGTCAGTTGGAATTTATGCGTACCTGGATGAAAACTTATATAAAATATGTACAGTTAATCAAACGAATGAGTATCTTTATAATTGTCAGTACGACAGCTCTTTAGGAGAGGAATTGAATGATGATAAATTATTTGTATAAAACATTTAATTTCAAACAATATAAAGATTGGTGTAGGTATACCATCAAAGTAACAAGTTGGTAAATTAATTAGAATACAGTGTATATTTAATTGCTTGCGATGAAACGTGTCATGGCAGTGTAAAAGTGTTCCAACAAGGCAGGTTTTCTATTTAAAATTGAATTGCGTAGAGTATTTATTGATAAACATATAGCTGCCAAGAAATTACTATTTATAGAATCGCTAGCTCATTTCAATTACTTATTTTCTACACAATGAGAACTATTTTAGCTGACTTCAAACAAATTTTGATGAATTTAAAGAGAAAGACTATTTATTTAAAAAATGAAAATTCTATTCTTCCTTTTTGACAAATACACATTGAGTTGATATTTCAAATAATGCGACTACAGTGATGCATTTTGATGAAAGCATTATTTTCCCATCGACTCAATGTAACCAAAACTACAACTAATTGTTTATCGATAAGAATAATACTCATTATAGTTAAAAACCGAATGATATTAAGCCATTATTGACACTATTTTTCGAATCTTTATCGTAGGAGCATATTACGAACGATATGATGTAGAATATTACGATTTTGTATTAAAAAGAAGAAAAAAAAGTGTAATATAATAAATAACTATTTATTTGATATATATTGATATTTTTTATTCTGAAATAATTCATTTCATCGAGGATATTTGTTGAGAAAAGTAAATCTTTTTTTAATACAAAATCGAACCATTTGCTTTCTGGAAAAAGTTTAGGTGTATAAATATACAAAAGACGAAACATTGGAAAAACTGAAATAAGATAATTTCATCGTCCATGTTTTATACCATTACATTAATTTAAATTATAACTGGACTTTACAAAATTATGGCATATTACGTGTACGAATTAAATGTAAATCGGATCCAGCTTTAAAAAGGGCTCGGAAAATTTCGCGGGACTCGAATGCTCGAGTCTCCGGATTTGCCCGAATGTTTCCGATCCAATCCGAACCCTTTATCCGCGCATCGCTGAATATTATCTTGATTCAGATTTAAAAATATTTTGTCTTTTAGATGCGTTAAATCTTAAGAAGTGTGTGACGTATTAGGCCTAATAAGTATTATGTATCTAATATAAATGAACGCTAATTATTAGAAAGATGGCAAAAACAGAGACCACGATAACGAAAGTATTTAATGAAAATTAATAAGAGAATTATATTATTTAAATTATAATACAGTTGAAATTGTAAGAGTATGTACAAAAAATCTACCGGGTGTCCGTAAATTCTGTATATAATACGTATAATGTCTGTATCTAAATGTGTATTCAATTTTCTGCCTATCTGTGCATATATTATATAATATACACATAAAGTATTAAGGTGTGAGGGTATTACATTTTAAAAATTACAAATTGTCAGTGAAATATTATTTCTAATTCAATCAATTGAATTTTCAAATCATGATTTTTATTTTATTTCCATTTTATAAAAAAGACTTGAATGATCATTTTTTCATTAAGAACTTTAAAAAAAAGAAATGTAATACTTTCGTTCACGCTGATATACTAGACCACATATTTTGAAAATTAGCTAATACCAAAGACGAGTTTTTCGATTATAACTCTACACGAACTTTTTACATTATTCTGATGGATAGAATTGTTCTTAAACTAAGATCTCAATTTTTAACACTTCACATATATTACGTGTGTACAAGCGCGAGTGTATAAAAGTTTAGAGAATATAGACTAAAGTTAGCTTAGAATTTTTCGAGCATTGAAAAAGTTCGTAACGCTTAGAATAGCTTTAAAGCTTACGAAACTTTAGAACGATCTTTTACTATGTAAAACTTGCCAAAATTCGTAGCTGTTACTAAATTTGCCAAAACTCATAAAGTGATGTGCCGTAATGAAGTGTGATAAAATTTCGAAATTTTTCTTACAAAATTTTTATTTCAAAAAGGACTTTATTTGAGCCACGATTACTATTAGATCACCTTAATATAATTATGCACATCTTCTCAAATTCCCAAATTTTCAAACATCCAAATTTTTTAAATTGATTAAAAAATAATGTAATTTTTTTATTACATTTATTGTCCATTTAAATTAATTTAAATTACGAAGACTTCAAACATTTCGGAAATATACTCTGTAGTTAGATAGGGAACTCAAATGTGACTCTGATGCACAAGCTAAAACTTACTTTACGGACATTCGGTATATTTTTTAATAATTCAAAGAATATGTGCAACTAGAAGAAGCGTAGTCATTATATTGACAATCGTGTATCGCAGACCAACTAAGAGAAAGAAAAAAACAAAAGGACGATAATTTGAACCTACGATGAACAGACGAATAGATAAACGAAGCAGGTTCCTAATTCTCTGAAATAAATCAAAGGTCTTTCGTTAATAGTAATCATATTTTTCTATGATTGCTTCGCTCTGATCGCACGTTAAACAGCAAATTTTTGTACACATATACTTTCCATCGTCGCTTGTTTCTACAGCGATTAAATTCGAATCAAAATTTTACTCTTGAACTGATCGTTAAATAAGTTTTGCACACATTCTTTTATAGAACTATTTCTTGTAACAAAGAAATTTTTTCTAATATTTTTTTAATTGTATGAACAATGCACAAAAGTGAAATACTACGTAACTTGTATATAGATATTCTTTCTTCCTTGATATATAAAATAAATACAATAGTGCAATAATCAAGATTGTGATCGAACCCGTTAGACATAGGAAATTTCTTGAAATGTGTACATAGATTTTCCTTGCTACGAGTGTGATAAGATTTCACAGATGCTTTATTTTTTAAGACAGATACTTACAATCTAACGGGTTATGAGTAACTTTAGTGAAAATATGTAAGATTACTCTTCATTATTTTTTGCCTTCCACTGCTTATTTTAAACAGGAGTAATCAGTGAAATCCTGAAAAGTTAATATAATTAGTTTTCAATTTTACCATGATATTTTTTTAAGAACAATTATAATTGTACAGAGATGATGCAAAAATTTGGCAATTAATATATGAATATATAAATGGTTTAAAAATCTGATATTGAGAGAAAATTACAACTTTTACACTTTGAAAATATTTTACGTCTGAACAGTAACAGTTATCCGGCTGCAATTTACCTCAAATTATTCTATAAGTTCTCCCGAGTAAAATAACATAAGATTTTAATGTGTTATAACAATTAAAATGTGTTTAAATTACGTTCAAAGTGAAAAGAACAGCTGAAAGATACCAAGTCTTATTTGAATTTCAAATAAACTGAACATGCGCAGGTTATTTGAATTTCAAGTGAACTGAGCATGCGCAGACAGCGTTGCAATCAGACATTCGCGCCGTCAAATTCAAATATGATGAAATTATTTGCCTTACTTCTTTCCTTTTCTGTAAAAGGAATTTGTGTATTCCTGTAAATACAATTCATCTCTGTCAAGATTTATTTCCCCAGAACATGTAAAATATCTTCTGCGACACCGTAGGAATAACTTGTGTAATTAGGTTAACCTAAAGTAAAGAAATATGCTAACATTAATTTGAGGTTACAAAGAAATAAGCAAAGAGATCAAATTATTGATTCATGTTACGCTCCTATAACAGAACAGGTGCATTATAATTGTTGCCAGAAGATCCCTGGATACATGCAACTATATTTACTCTGTGATACCTGTACAGACAGTGTACTTGTATATGTTTCGTTGAAACGCGTCTATACTTAAAATACTCTATTGTAATGTTGACTGGACTAAAAAGAGTAAATTCGAATAATAAAAAAACAAATAAAGTATATCGAAATATACTCGCGCAGTTTTCTGCATACCTTTTCCATTTGAACTCTTTATCATAAAACTTGTTCTGTGTACAAAATCAATTACATTTCTGCACGATTTCTAAACGTATTTCCGAAAAAAAAATTCGAAAAATTAGTATTTATTTAATACTATAGGGGGCGTTGGCGTCTTATTCTCATTAATAGCCATTTTCCCTAGGGAAACCAGATTTGCACTTGAGTTGACTCGTGTGTACATACAAGTCAAACGAGTTTGAAAAACTTTGCTATTATTTTTGATTTTACGAAGTTAAAAATTGTGATTATGCACGTGGTTATGAAGGACAGTAACGTGAAAGAATACTTAGTATTTTTTAATTGTTAAAATCGAACGAAGCTTATATTTTTAAGAATTTATGAGCAATGGAAAATTTACCGTCTGACAGTATTTTACATCAAGCAATTACGGAAATTAACGAGCCGGTATTGTTTAAAAAAATATTGCAAGATTTAAAAGATGAGTATTCATGGAAACTATTTGATTGGAGTTTATTGGAGTTTGCTGAAAAAGTGGGAGACACTAAATTGCCCTTTCGAATTGGTTATAATGCTAGATCTACGGTAAATTATTATTTAAGCCTTTCTTTTTTATTTATATGCAATCTTGATATGATAAATTCTAAAATATTTTATTTTATAGAGTCCTCAATGGGAAGAAAATTGTTCTGTAATTTCTATGACATTATCAGAATTTATTAAGAATGTAAGTGTTAATGAAAATGACACAAAATGGTATTATTTTGATTATAAGTATATGCAAGAATGGTTCAAAAATAAGCCAGATATAATAAATTCAATAACTTGGAAAATGTTTGGTATCGATAAAGATGGTACCGATTCTACTCTTTGGATTGGAAATAAAGGTGCCCATACAAATTGCCATCAAGACTCTTATGGTTCTAATTTAGTAGCACAGATTCATGGAAGGTTGGTGATACTTAGTCTAATACTTTATTTTACTATACAAATTTGGATAGATTTAAATAAAGTTATTTCCAATGTGTTAGGAAGCAATGGTTACTGTTCCCTCCAGATTCAACCAGGTACCTCCAACCAACAAGAATTCCTTATGAAGAATCTACAGTGTACAGTAAATATAATTTCTTCTGTCCTACAGAAGACAATGAGATAAACATATTAAAAATACAGGAAAGACCAAAATTGGTAACTCTTGAACCAGGAGATGTGTTATTTGTTCCTCCTGGTTGGTGGCACTATGTTGAGTCGCTTGATCTTACTGTTAGTGTAAATGTATGGTTACCAGTAGAAACAGATCATATGTCACGAGTTAAAGAAGCTATTGTTAAACTGGTAATAGCAGGAATTGGAAAAAGTGTCTGTAATATGACCAATGAAGCTGAGTGTTCATTATCTGATTGCACAAATTTGGTAATTATATTGGGTGAACTATGTAATTTTTCTACATGCCAACATTGAGAATTAAAACTAATTTATTCCACAGCTAAACATTGCCCTTGAGCAGTACAAAAATATGGAAGCTGTAGAATCACCCTGTAAAAAGATGAAACATACTGCATGGACAGCAACAGATTTAGCAGCCCAATATCCAATATATGTAAAACTTCTTCATGAACTTGAAGCAACAGAGTTGGAACAATTTCTAAAAACGAACAGAAGAAGATTTTCTGAAAGTAGTGTTGAACTATTAAAAGATCAAGATGTACAAAATATATTTCCTAGAACTCAACAATTGTCTAAAGATATTGTTAATGCACTTTGTCATCCTGATGTTGTTAATAAAGTTACAGAATTACTTTTATCTTAAATGTATATATTTATCGTTTAAGAAATAGTAATTAAATATTTTTATAAGCTATTTTCGTTACAAATATTTAGAATTTATTCGATCTATGTTATACTTTTGTTGTTTGTTTACTGTTATTGTCCTTCATTGATCGGTATTGGTTAAGTTCGAAAACTTCAAGTGGCTCCACATCTTTTGTGTGTTTAGCATGTATAAATGTCAAATTGCATTGAGTAATAAAATTAACGAGCTTTACAATGGGATTACTGACGATACTTAAGAAACTGAAGCAGAAGGAGAAGGAAATGCGAATTTTAATGTTGTATGTATTTACTTTTCCATTTGTTTTAATGTTTATAGGTTAAAAAGGAGGTTACTTCTTGCATGAAATTTTATATATGTCTTTATAGAGGTTTGGACAATGCTGGTAAAACTACTGTCTTGAAAAGAATTAACGGAGAACCAATTGATACAATATCACCAACTCTAGGCTTTAACATTAAAACATTGGACCATCGTGGATACAAACTTAATATTTGGGATGTAGGTGGTCAGAAATCATTGCGTTCCTACTGGAGGAATTATTTTGAATCTACGGATGGCCTTGTGTGGGTGATTGATAGTGCAGATAAAAGAAGATTAGAAGATTGTAAAATAGAATTATACAAACTTCTACAAGAAGAAAGATTAGAAGGTGCAAGTCTGCTAATACTTGCGAATAAGCAAGATTTGCCTGGAGCATTATCTACAGCAGATATTGCAGAAATTTTGGAATTACCTAGTATTAAAACTCATCATTGGCAAATCTATAAATGTTCTGCAGTTACAGGAGAAAATCTTGTTGAGGGAATAAATTGGATTGTCGATGACATTTCTGCAAGGATATTTTATATAGATTAAGAATAAGGAATGTACTAAGTCATGTAACTAAAATTATTAGTATTTTTATTCTTTTTATAAAGCATTTGTCTCCTTCTTTTAAACGACTAAACTATAATATTATTGTACTTTATTTAAATTATTATAGCTATAGAATTATAACAATAAAATAAAATTTAGCATGTATTTTTTTAATATTTGTTAATATAATACTTCAGTTTTCTATTTTTTCGTTTTCTTCTTCACTTTTGTCCTCGCTTCTTTTTTCGGACTAGTTGCTTTTTTCTTCTTGGCAGGTTTTTCCGGTGGCAGTTTGGTATCCGGAAAATGTTTCATATAAGTTGATTTCAATAATCCTTGATCAACAGAATGTCTTGTAGCAGCGAATGCGCCCATTAATTCACGGATAAGAGATTGCGATAACTTTAGTTTGAAGTCCTTGACTAACTCCACAAACTTTCCTATACAGTTTAAAACAATATGAATTTAAGACATATATATATATGTTACTTTTAGGTACCTCTCGAAATAACATTATCCTCAAGTGATAGCACGAAGTGGCCAAAATTCCTGCGACGTCGTTTATTTTTGGGTTTCATTGCTTCAAAGTTTGCCCTCTTCAAAAGTATCGCTTTCACATCTGGGCCTTCTACTTTGTAATTGCTAAATATTCCTCCAAGTTTGATTTGAAGCCACGGTTTGCTATCTTTGATTGCCTGAAGATCCGGTAATATATCTTTGTTTGCCCAAATGTTTGTAAGGTCTAAAACTTGTAGTTGACTCTCCGGAGCTTTGTCTGGGGTGAGTGCTTTGACAAGAGCCAATGCACCCTCCGCTTTGAAAGGGTTGTCCCCAAAATATATTTCTTCTAACACATCGTTTCTTGACAAACTTCTTGCTATGAGGTCTATATCCTCATTATAGAATCGATTCCCTAGAAATAAAATCTGTCAACTGTAGTTACATAAATGTTAAAAGTCATTTTTAGAAAAACATATTACCACTTAAATCTAATTTTTTCAGTGCAAGCGAACGTTGCAATAATCGACGCAGATGCGGCACGCATTCTTTGCCTAACGCGTTCCAGGATAAGTCAAGATCCACCAGGGCTTCGTTACTCTCTAGTGCTCTGCACATCTTCCTCCAGGTGTCTGCAGTGTATAAGGAATTCCACGAGAGATCTAAATATTGCAGCATGTACGAAGAGAGCAACTTCTGTAACGTGTCTGCACAAGATTCGTCGAGATGATTGTTGTTCAAAGAGAGGTTGTGAATACTCTCGTTGTTGCTCATAGCACTTGCAATGTGATCGAGCCCCTCGCTTCCAATGTTGCAATTGGAAAGATCTAGTGTCGTTAAGGTTACGTTCCTCGTGAGTCCATCGTAAAGCTTCGCTGCACCTTTTGGCCCGATTTGACATCCGGCTAACAGTAGAGTAGTTATTACATTATTTGTCCTCAGCAAGTCATTCAGGTGATAGCAGGCGTCCTCTGATAGCCAGTTACCCTTCAAGATGTAATTAAACAGATTTGTTCTTAAAGTATTAACGGGCTTTTAAAAGAATCCAAATGAGGTTACCGTAAGATCAACAGTTTCCACTGAATGATTTTTCATGAGAGCCTCGCAGAGAGGTCTTATAATGCGAGAGTTCACACCATAGTACTGTAAGCTGATCTTATCAGACATAAACATGGTTTTCAACGATCGTATAGGTCGGATGCCCGACATTTTAATGAGATCTTCAAACTTTTGTACACCATCTTCTGGATAAATTGCCTGATACTCTTGAGTGGTCCAAAAGGCTGGTACCAAGCCGGGATCGTCGGGTATCGGGAATTTTGTATACAGATTGTGCAATTTCAATTGAGAGTCACTGATGTCGATATCCTTGAGGCAAGGATGGGTAGAACTTTCGGTGGACAATTTCGAGGAAACTGAAGAAACTTCTTCAGGGGTGATCAGTGTTGATCTCGAGACATCTTTTTCTCTTCTTATCTGCAAATTTTATGTACGATTATTTATCAATTTAATTAACGAGTACGAGAGTTCTTTAATCGAGCTATGGTTACCGAAACTAGATACCAAACTACGATTACCGAAATACGGTTACCAAAATAGAATTACACCAATCAATTCCCGTAAAAATTCCTTCTTCGCTTCGGCTGCAACCGTCAGTCTATCGGTTCTTCGCTCCTCGAATTGTGCCATTAAATCAGCGTATATATCTACTTCTTCCACTTCGTCTTCAGCTTCTTCTTCCTCCTCCTCTTCTTCTTCGTCATCTTCTGGAATTCCTTCCTCGTATTCACCATAGTCTGAGTAATAATCCGATAATTTAGTTAAATAATCGTCTTCGACGTCCGTCTGAAATGCGAATTATTTGGTTGTTAAGGAAAAAATCAAGAAGAAATTGTAGCGTTACTTCGTATTCTCCGTAAGGTTCCATTTTTGGGAGAGTCTCTAGTAGGAGCAAGAATAATGCTAAATTTCTACGTAGGTAAATTAGTTCTGTAAATAGTTTAAAGTTTAAATTGCAAGGAGACAAGGTAAGTAGCTTACTTCAGTTTGGAGGCTGTAGGAGCAAACTTTAGGTGTGTGAAGGAATTTCGGATTTTTAAATTTTCAAATTTCCAAATTTTGGAATTTCGGATTTTTAAATTTTCAAATTTCCAAATTTTGGAATTTCGGATTTTTAAATTTTCAAATTTACAAATTTACAAATTTACAAATTTCGGAATTTCGGAATTTTGGGATTTTGGAATTTTGGAATTTTCAAATTTTCAAATTTCCAAATTCCCAAATTCCCAAATTCCCAAATTTCTAAATTTCCAAATCTCTGAATTTCCCAATTTCCAAATTTCCAAATTTCCAAATTTCCAAATTTCCAAATTTCCAAATTTCCAAATTTCCAAATTCCCAAATTTCCAAATTTGCCAAATCTCCACATCCCTAAACTCTCAAATTCCCAAATTCCCAAATCCCCAAATTTCTAAATTTCAAAATCCCTAAGTCTCCAAACCAAAAATTTTCGTATTTCCTAACCTTGAAATCCCCACATCCCCAAATTCCCAAATCCCCAAATCTCCTCACCTCCAAACTCCTCAAATCCCAAATATCCAAATTTCCAAACTCTCCAAATCCCAAATTTCCAAATTTGAAATCACCGTTAATGTCTTCCCAGAATGCCCTACTTGCATCATGGCTCCCGAAGACGCGGTTCACACGGGCCTTATTCGGCCACCGTTGGCTGACTCATTTACCGGGTATTCGTCAAGTGGTTCTTCTGGGCCATTGTATTGTAATTTCGGCAGATCGTTCATTTAACGGTCACGCGGGTGTACGCGGCTCGTGTGTCGTGGTCAAGATCGCCCGATGGCCACCGGTGCTTGTCTCGGTCACGAAATTGCTCGCACACAGGGTCTTTGTTAATCTCAGACGCGCTTTCGATGTTAATGAACACTGTATTATCCCCAATGAAACGATCTATTGAAATTCTTGGCTGGTTTGCAGGCAACGGGCAAGAACTTGCAAGATGGGGTCCATATTCTTACAAGGCGATCGGTGAGTTTTTGGTTCTCTGAAAATATTGATATTGATGCATAAATTTAACTAAAACAGTTTATAATGATTTATGAGGCGCCTTTAATATTTTTGTTAAACTGTATAATTTTGACACGTGGAAAATTTGATGTAGTTTGATGATATAATTGTTGTAAAGTAACGGTAGATTTGAAATTTAAAATTTGAGATGTTCATATAAATATTTTATCAGTATTATGAGTTAAGAATGATTAGTATTCCGTTAGTGTTTAAACAAACAAGCAATAAGTTTGTAGATCAGCATTTTTGTATATTTAATTTTTACTTAAATATAATTTTAAAATAAGTACTTTGAAATAGTAACTGAATATACTGTTTTTAAAATTCCCGCCTTTTTGACGCCATCTAGCAGTGAAGTGCTCAAGCTTGTCGTCGAAAACTCAGTCGGTAACGAGTGACTCCTTAATTTAGTTACTGTCTGTCACCGCCAGATGGCGTAACGAATTCTTTTTAAAAATATGTGACGAACTTTCGAATGCAATTAATTTTTTCGATTCATTAACGCTTGAAAATCACTGGAGAGTCAATTTAAAAATGCTATTTAAAGTATATCGTTGTTCAACAAGTTAATATTTCTTGTGATACACTGTTTTAATTTAGTCCGATTAGTTCCGGGGTTCACCGCTAGATGGATGGCAATTCTGATGTCCATAAAATGCACTTTTTGCAATTTTCGTTTTTAACGCACTTATGCAAATATTGTTGAATTAATTATGTATTATTTAAGTCGTAGAACGTTATATTTGTCTCAGAAATGCATACAAAACACTATATTTGTAGAAAAACGTAACTTTCTAATCGACTAGTACAGTGATATTGACAGGGTTGTTCTGCGCATGCGCGGGAACTGCAGCGTAATCTGCGCGCATGGCGTAATCTTGTTGGCGGGAAGACACCAGTCAAATACTGTCAAGTTTCAACTATTTTCCTTATCTTAAACAAATATTGTTGCATTGCATACCTATATAATCTAATAATAGAACTTTTGAAAAACAATGGAGGGTAATTAAGATATTTTATTAAAGCTTGTACTTTACTGAGTTTAAAATTGCCGCGCATGCGCGAGAAGGCCCGATATCTCATCAGTGGAGTAGTATCTCCGTTCACCGCTAGGTGACGCTAGTTACACTTCTCTAAAAATGCGCTCATATATTATTTTAAATTCTTTCAAAGTATTTAAAATTTGTTTATATTAAATACTTTACATTAATCTTCTTCTTGAACTCTTTGCGAATCTTTACATAAGACTACAAACTTGAATTAAAAAAAATTATTGACCCACATAAATCTGATGCACGAGAAAAGTAATTTCTATGCCAATATAAAACTATTCAAAGAATTTCTCCATATTGAAAAAAGTAGAAAAAATGTAAAAACGCAGACTGGGTGCAATAAAGACACCGACATGAAAGGGTTGTACTTTTTATTAAAACACGTTCATCATCGTTATCATCATGATCGTTGTCGCCGGAAACCCTAGGCGATAAAGTGCGGGGGTCGGAAGGGAGCTTAATATTATTTACACACACTCATTCGAGCTTCCTTCGTTATCTGACACGGGGGGCTGATCACAACGCGTGTATTACATTAGCTACCTATTAATCAGGGACCAAGGACATTAGCGGTTTTACAAAATTTATAGCAAACGAACATCTTATAGCCTGGAACTATTGTCCGTGATCTCTCAACAACGAATACAAAGGCAATCAAATAAAAAATAATATAATATAATATAAAATAAAATAATATGTATATATATATATATTCATATATATATATTTTTTGTTTTTCTCATCGCTTCTATATATTTCGTATAATAATATAGATTTCTTTATAAAATAAACTATCTTTAATAAAAAATGTAAAGAAACTTCATTCCGTTACAGATTACGTACAACTTAATACGAGCTTACGTCCATCTTGTTAAAGACTGGTTCTAAAAGAGAAAAGAAAAATAAAATTGCACATCTAAAAGGGGGGGTTGAGGAAAGGAAATACTGGCGAGGGAAAAAAATGAAAGGAAGGGGGTGATTGGATCTATTTACCGTGGGTCTATTTACATCGTAGCTATTTATGTCGTTAAGCTTGACAATCGCTTACGGATCGCAAAATGGCGCCGTCCGCTCTCTCCGAGGGACCATCCCGGTCACGAGGAAATTTCCGACTCTCGACAAAACGCAAGCTTCGGCACTACAATGGCTGCGAGGTCAGGGCCGAATTAAGATTCCCAAGGGCTACCCGAACTTCACTCGGGGAGTACTCCTCCCTTTCTATGAGTATCACAATAATTATCGTCCTAACGGAACGCTCGATATTAGGTTCGCCTACGTGCTACGGTGCTCCCGACATCTGGGAGCACGATTACCACTAACGCGGATACAACGTCGATAACCTTAGAGCTTAAGAGAGCCGAACGACGGCGTTCAGAGGTGGATACAGGCTTAGCGAAATTAATAAGTACGGGCTATGTACATATGTACAATTAAACAACTCGTTATTTAATTATTGTCGCGTCTCGTGAAGTGCCGATCTGCAGAAGGGCCGCAGGGAATTTCCTCCAATCGTAATTACCAATCAACTTCTCTGCAACCCTGCTCGAGGCGACTCCACGAGAAAAGAATATCAAGGTCACCTTCACGCAGAGTCTCCGTTAATACGTCACCACGAGATTAATCACCACAAGACCTCTTCTTCGATGTCTTCGTTATCTTCGATGCTAGTTCTTCGTTGTTCCGGTCGTTGCTGAAGAGAGTTACACGTGCACCGTGAGAACCTGATGCGGACCAGACGTCTGGCTCGTGCCGGGCTGCTGATGAGAGTACGTCGGCTCCTGTAGTCTGGGCTTGCTGTAGGGTTTATGCGGTCCCTCCTCGTAGCTGAAACTGGCAGTGTTGTTCCTGGCCTCTGCACTGGGGGGCTTGTAGAGCGGCGGTAGACGATGTCTACCTTCTTCGGAGACCATCTCCAAGCTCTCCTCCGTCGTGCTGAGAGGACCCAGCGATGTGCCGGACAGGGGTCTCACGACGGAGACCCTCGGTTCACCTTGGTCCTGATCTTTCAGTGGATTCGCGTACCTCCTCAGGTTCTCCTCGTTCTGAAGGTTGTTGGATTTCTCGTCCAGGTCGCTGCGGTGTCTGTGTAACGAGGTCTCGCTGCTGGTCGTTGCGGTCAGGCTGGATCGCTGTCTGACCGATCGCAGGTACCACAGACCACCGAACAGAGCCAGCACCAAAATGGTCGCTAGAGCTCCGCCCAAAACAGCTACGTAACTACCGGCGCTGCCGGCGTTCACCGAGCTGGGTTCGCTGAGCAGGGCCGTCTCCACTTTGACCTCCAGCACGGAGGCCAGAGCGAGTGGTCTGCCCAGAGGTCGACTGAGGGCCTCGCCCAGGTCCCTGGCGGCGTCCGCGGCGGCTTCGGAGAAGATGGTCACCTCCACCGTGTCGTTGTCTCCGGGTTTCAGATCGCAGAGTAACACGATCGACTGCGGTCTTCTTGGATCGGCCAGGAGCTTCCTGAGGCGTCTGCAGAGGTTCTCCACGGACGTGCCTGCTGCTAGGGTGTCTCTCCTCAGGAGGATGGTGAGTCTGGAGCAGGTTGGTCCGGGAGTGGCCTGTCCTGGCCAACAGGACGGAGGTGCAGGCAGAGCGGGTGGTCCTACTCTTCTGCCGGTCTCCACGGGTCGACACTCGCCCCAGGCTGGACAGGGTGGTGCCAGACAGCTCTCGCTGGGGCTAGGCACGCAGACCTCGTGAGCCAGGCACGATGTTCCGTTCAGGCAGTTACCGGGTCCGCACCAGATGTTGCTGCATTGGTTCTTGCCGTTGCGGCACTCGCAGATATTGCAGTCGTCGTCCCAGCTCGCCACCATGCATCCAGGTCCTCCGGCGGTGCGGATCTCGCAGCGGGTCCCGGTCCTCCCGGGCGGACAGACGCAGG